ATCACTTGGTACTTTAGTAGATGTTGCTTGCTTGGTTGCTTGCTTGCTCGAAGCCGGACAGCGCAACCACACGACACACTACGCAGCCGGGTCACACGATGCATCATTGGCGGTTGCTTTACCCTGCTCAGCGCGCTAAAGCAAGCTTCTCGTACGGCTGATCGAGATGCTTACTGGCTGGCGAACCAGCGGTGTCGTTGTGCTGATACATCCTTTGAGTACGCGGTCGGCCAGCCAAGAAAACGCGCAAGCCGGACTGCCGGATCCGGATACAAAGTAAACAAAACAAGGAGGACACCGCAGATCGTACGTTTGATGATGATGTTGACACGCAAAAAAGATGAAAATCCACAATTGGAGACGTGATCAGTCTCATGAAGAGAGAGACTTCATCGAGATCTTTGTATGTCAAGAGTAATAGAATAAAAAGATGAATAAGGCTGCCAGTTCCCGGTGGGCCAGGCAAGGGCATCCAAAGAGTGGGCTACTGCTCCATGGGCGCGTCGACGCGCCCTGTTGTTTGCCTTGATTTCTCTTGGGGATAAGATCACCCACCGGTTGACCGCCCGGATGACGTCGGGGCCTGGCCGACAGATCACCAGCTGAGCGTGGGATCGGAATAATTGAGACAAGTCCCAAAAATGAGCCTGAGAGGCAGGCAGCCTTGGAAGCCCGTTCCTTGTCGCAGGACGCGAGGAGGAGGATCCATGAACCTCTCCGGAACGAACTAGATGATGGTGGGCGCGTGGCTGTCAGGGTGTCTCCCAGTGCGGGAAGAGCCATAGCTGCTCTTGGATTTTTCTTAGACCAATCCGGATCTTATTGCTTCGTTCTTGGAGGGTCGTGTAGTGTAATATTGCCACTAGATTCCTCCCGGATGTGGACCTGCTGATCACATTCTCTGTACCATACTACTATGGTACATACTATGGTAAATGACTCCTACTCTCTCTCTCTCTCTCTCTCTCTCTTTCTCTCGGGGGAGAGACCAGGCAAAGAGACGATTTTACGCGGGATCTACCGGCATCGTTGGCGCGTTCCGTCGGCCGCTCAAGTGTGTGTGTGGCTTTTGAGCTTCCTCAGGATCCTGATTGGAAGCTTGCACTTAAATAAGCCCATCGTTTGCGTCTTGGATGTCGGAAAGACACCAAACAAGAACCAGTCAGCCTTTTCCTACGGCTGGTCCGACAGGGTCCGGAGGCTGTATGTACTATGGTATGTCTGTATTGTTGCCCAGCAGGTTGGCAGGGAATCGCGAGTGACGACATCTTTGCCTGTTTCGAGAGTACAGCTTCGTAAGTACATAGTATGGGTCTGTTTTGAACCACCGGGCCTCGAGCGCTGCTCAGAAACAAGACCGAAAGCGGGTCAGTTTTGAGATAGAGGTTGCCCGAGCCACTACCAGCAGCATCAGCGAGCGGTTGTTGGCGGTTTCCGGAGAGTGAGGAGCGAGTAGGAAGACCAAGTTGCAGTTCAGTCGTCGTGGAAACAGCCAGGCCAGCGAGTATGGAGATTGCCAGCGTCATGAATGGGTCCCCTTCGCTGTTGCACCGGCTTCTTTCTTTTTCTTTCTGACTTCTTTCTTTTCTCGTCCTTCGTTAGAACTTGACAGCAAAGGAGCCAAGCAATATCAGGTCTCCGCCGGGATTGGACGCTGGAGTTGGAAGCTGGGGTCTGCATCGAATGATCCGTCCTGTCGAGTCAGTCCACAGGGCTGAAAGAGCATCATGCTTCAACTATAGCCGGACTTGTTTTTCTTATCTTTTTGCGGTGCCGGGTTGACATGAAATTGAGATCAGGCCTGGTATAGAAACTCGGGAACTGTAGACATATTATAGCGAGTGTCCAACACGCGATTGACCGCCGTGTATCATCCATCCCTCTGGAGGAGGTTGATGAGATCTCACGAGTCCGTCGTGGGAACTTGAAAAACGCAGATAGCTTGGTACGGCACTATTACTGTAACCTTCTGCGGACATTGCCGTGATTGACGTTGAGGGTTCACCGGCTATAACTGCATGGACGTACCCTGATCTGCCCAATTTTACAGAGCCAGCATGCCAGCCAGGTCCTAGGCACCTTGGCACGGGAAAAGCTGGTTAGATTTCTGTCCTGGGCCTTCATATCTGCGAGGTCATGGCTGCCGCTCAGTGTCTCAGTCCCTGATGTGAGCTGGACGACATATGGCCGGACAAACATTTCTTGCGGGCCAGATGACTGGAGAAGCAACGAGTGTACTCGTCTGAGCTATCGTGGTATCCAGAATACCATAGCCGACAGCACTTTCTCAGCACGCCGCGATTGACGACAGCGCATATGTATGCATGATACTGTATGACCAGGTTCCAAAGACTGGTGGAGTCAATGCTCATGTGGACTGTGCGAGCTGTTGCTGCAGAAACAAGCTCGGTTGTTGTTTCTAGAACAAAACGGGGCCTGCGGGCTGCATAACCGTGACAACTGTAACCTGCAACCGCAGTGTACCATGAGGAAAACGCCTGATCAATCATCTGAGTTGGCCTCCTGGGCCGTTTCTCTGGCCGCATGAGAAGGAAGAATACCCAGAATTCCACAAAGTCTTTGGCTGTTGAGTTCTGAGAGACTCCCTCCTCCGACCACGAGCCCAAATCAGGGCTGGACTGCCTGTCTAGCCTTGCCCGGAGCTTTGAACAGTGCATAGTCGACGAGCATGAGATTTACGAAAAGGACTCTGGTTGCTGTGGACCGCCTGCCGTAAGGAGTTTGCTAACCGTCAGACGAGAGCTGATAGGATTTTCGGGTGGCGAGGGCGAGTGAGCTCCACAGCCCGAGCATTTTCCTTTTTTCCTGCTTCTTCCTTTCTCATTGCGGCTCTCCCAGGCTGGTGTCTGTCTCGCTTTCATATGGCGGTTCCCGAGCCGCAAGACATGAATGACGACTAGCTGGTGTTTCTGGAATCTGAAGGCGAACCACCAGATTGGTTCTCCGGAGCAAATGGTGCTGAAAATGGGGGAGGAATCTGGGGAACATAAGCCAGGCTCCGCCAGCTCCTTTCAGAGACTGCCAGTGGTCATTTCATACAGACCCTCCCTTATGATATTGACAGACGAGGCTCAATGGACAACTTCGTCATTGGTGATGATGTGAGGGTTGAATTGGAGAAAAGCCCCCCCCCCCTGGAGCGATTCTCGTTTCCTGCTTCCACAGTGCTCATCTGCAAACAAAGCTTGGAAAGGGAAAAGCCCTTGTCAGTGCAATCCATCGTGTAGTTCGCCGAGCAACCAGACGGAGGGGTGGAGATCTGTCCTGCATCCCTTGCGTTGACGAGGCTTTGACTGGCGGCAAGAGCTCTTTGCTGAGAGAGGGCTGTAACCAGAGCTGCTGCTGCTGCTGCGGCAAGCATAGAGTCGCCCAAGCAACAGAGCTATCAGACAGGCCCCCTTGGCCCCTGCCATAGCTCTCTGTACCCTGCTGTGTGGCCAAGGGCCCCCTGATACTCAACCCTTGTCTGAGCCCCACATGGACAAGACAAAGACATGTTCAGCGTGCCAGGCCATGACACCTTGTAGCGCCTTTCACCTTTTGCAGTTATGCCCTGTTCTAGGCTAACCTTGTGAACTTCCAAAAGCAATCCAGGTTGGTTGATACTTCTCGTCCTTGGCAACGACTTTGCTCTCGTTGCCCTTTGTGCTTCTCGATAAAGGTAGTTGGGCAGCCCTTGCCTTGGTATCTTCTCACAACTCTTTCCCTCCTCTTTCGACTTGTCCTGACTCCCTCAACGTCACCTTTCCTTCCTCTCTCTCTCTCTCTCTCTCAACACCACAAATTCGACCGTTGAGATTCAACTCCGGTCTGTGGTTTCCCTCCTCCTTCCCACCTCCTCCCTCCGTTCCCCCCCCCCCCCCAGGTTGCTGCCGACGAATTAATTCATCTCTACTCCACCTGCGACATTCGTCTGGATGCGGAGTGTCCACTAACCCTGGTTTGAGCAGGAGCAACAGCAGTGCCAACAGCAAGGACTCCACTCCTTCTCTCTCTCGCCACAGCTGCTGCTGCTGCTGCTGCTGCTGCTGCTACACGCGCGCTCATCCAGTCGAACTGTGTGCCTTAATCCTGCTAGGGCCACCACATTCTCAGAGAAGGGCCTTGAGAAAGACGTCTCCGTACTCCTACATCCTACTACGGCCACGATCCTAAATGGTGTCGACTCCTGTTGGACTTGAAGAAGCCAGTATCAGATTAGGGTTCCAGTGATCTTCTTCAGTTCTTCAGTTCCAGCAATTCTGATTCCAGCGTCTGTGTGCTATTTGCAACCTTCTCTGCTTGGCCGATATCTCACTTCACGCGCACGGCTTTCCCCGGAACATCTACCCTCTCTTTTCCCATGAACCCTGAGAGACCATCTCTTACTTCCTAGCTCAGCACCCCAGTTGAAACCCTCGCGCACACGACTCGCCCTGCCCTGTGCTTTACCTTGGGATCGTCAGAGACCCTCAGTCAGAAGACCCACACCACTTCACTGTGTCCGGGGTCGAGGAAAGGGTCTTGGTACATCAATCCGCCAAAAATTGGTGCTCAACGTGGACCTGTTCCGTTGCACTGGGCGACCGGAGCTGGGGGCAGCCTCCCTTTTAATTCGAACGCAAACCTCGAAATTTCAATTCTTCTCTGGTCTCAACTTGTTCTCCAAGAGAGGTCCAAGACCTCCAACAGCTTGACGACAGCAGCCTTTCGGGTTCGATTATCACCATCTAGTTGCAGCTTTAGGTTCCTCTACACCTACCTACCCACCTTGTCGGTCCACGACCGGCACATTCTTGCACGGCATTGACCTCAGTCGCTCTCACCTGCTCAGCTACCCTCACCACAATCCTTAAGCTTCAGTTCCGAGACCGTGATCTTGCATGCAGCTCCCAAGGCTGACCGACTGAAGGCTCGTGGTTTGTGCCGCCTAGACCTGCATTGTCTTCGCTCCCTCTCTCTCTCTCTGGGTCTAGGCTGTCTGCCACTTCTCCCGAACCATGGAGGCGTCTTCTCCCCTCGCTGCCATGCGCCCACCGGCCATGCCCTCCTTTGGCCACCCGGACATGTTTCGTCCTCGCGGCCACAATGCCTTCAATGGCGAGTCGAGAGGGTCCAGCATACTCTTCCGGGACCGTATTATGCCCAAGGGCAAGCCAGACTACTTTAACGTTAAGGGCGTGAACGGCTCCTCTCCCACTGCCAGCCTCGCAGCAGACCTGTCCCAGAACTTTCGTATCGACAACGAGGCAAGGTATGTACATCCTTCAGCCAAAGCTACCAGCCAATGTTCTTCACTAATACCTCTTCTTGTTCCTGTGACAGTCCGCGTTTTCCAACTCCTCGTCGAGCCCTCTTCACGACCAATACTATAATACATGCTTTTGACGGACGAGGTAAGAGCATACACCAGCATTGCTATTGGAACAAGTAGAATTGATAGCTTGCAGAGTACCAGACGACCCCTCCACTGCCGGCCACATCTTCTCCGAGTGGTATGGACATGGACGTGTCTCCTGTGCCCATGCACAAGGGCGCCTACGTGGCCCAGGTCGAGATACATTCGCCTACCCCGACGCTGAGTACTGATGACGACGAGGACATGATGCTGGACTCTCCTGCTCCTATAGCACGGCGTATCTCCGCGGACAGACAGAAACCTGTGGCTGAGTAAGTGCACATGTCCAGCCTTCGGGCTCCGGCCTGTCGTTATTGACCCCTCTCTCTTGAGTAGCTGCCGCAAGTTGAACCTGCGTCGACCATCTCTGACCAGGGGGAAGGGTTTCTCAACCAATACCATCCCCAGCCGCCTCCATCCCGAGAGCCAAGTCTCTGGCTTCAAGTTTGGCAACGATGGTCGGCCGGGCTCGTCGTCCTCGAACCTCTCCCTGAGCGAGTGCTTCGAGGACTCGCCGCCCCAGGAGAGGAGAGTGGTCTCTGCTCACAGCCCATGCGCAGCTGTATCCGGGGCCGGTCGGATTAGCAAACCTCAATTCACCAGCCTGAGCGCTGCGCCGACCAGGAACGGTTCTCCCATCACGTCGCAGTCCCGTCGTGGAGCCAACCCAATCCGCCCAAGGAAGCAGTACAGGCGGTCACTGAGCATGTTTGAGAACTCTGGTGACGTGATCAAGCCCAAAGAGAAGTTGCAGTCTGTGGTGGACATGGAAGAACCAGCAGAGCTCATACTCCCGCATTTCTTCCCGGAGGGCCAGAATGACAGCATTCCCCGCCTCTCCAGGTCCACGTTCCTCGAGATCCTCGATGGCAGATACAATGAGCAATACGACAACAAGCTGATCATTGATTGTCGCTTTGAGTACGAGTTTGCCGGGGGCCACGTCGGTGGTGCCATCAACTTCAACGACAAGGAGGCCCTTGCAACCCAGCTCTTCCCGAGCCCGCCTGAGCTGGAGGGCCGAACCCTCATCGTGTTTCACTGCGAGTACTCGGCGCATAGGGCACCCTTGATGGCCCGCCACATCCGGTCCGAGGACCGTGCTTTCAATGCTGAGTGCTATCCTAGGCTGACCTACCCCGAGATATACATCTTGGAAGGGGGCTACAGTGGTTTCTTCTCCGAGCACCGTGAGCGATGTGAGCCGCAGGCGTATGTGGAGATGGACGCCGTCGAGCACGCCACAACTTGTGAGCAGGAGATGGATCGTCTCCGCCAGACCCGCAAGGGCCTGGGCCGCGCACAGACTTACGCCTTTGGTCAGAAGGTTGTTGTTGGCTGTGAATCTCCCACGCCTGCCTATCAAGACAGCTTTGACGAATCACCCATGCAGCTCATGGAGTCACCAAGCTTGTGCCAGGACAGAAGCCATGCTAGGCGGATGGCTTCGTACTGATACCGCTTCCCACCCTCTGACACTGGCCAAGTGTTTGTCGAGTCTCCGATCAGCGTTGTAGACTGCCTCTTGGGGACATCAGCGCGACTGACAGGATGAACACTGGGCAGGTCTTGACTCGACTGAGAAGGCACCCATTGAGCGCGGCCTGATCATCCAAGCCTTCATCTCGCTCCTGGGCCTTCACCACTTAGAACTACGTCTTCGCCAGCCATGTGGTCTCTCGCTTTTTGATACCCGCTGTAGACCAACCCAGCAGCCTCAGATTTCTGTATTCACCCGGACACCTTGGACCATGCCCCGCCGCCACTCTACATCCACATCTTTAATTGCAACATCCAAGTCTCTCGCCTCGCGGTCTCGACAGACGTTTGCTTCGATGGCCCGTTGCGGGCTGTCTGCCATCTACTCGAGAAAACATAGGTCTCATTCTTTCCGGCATCAGACGCATTGGCATAGAATTGCATCGCATCAACGTTCGGCATTTTTCTGGAGCTTCTTGGATCCGATGCCCAAGAGGCCCATTGCATTTGGTCTTTCCAACCCCCGCGCACCAGCAACATTTCCTCTTTTACAGTTTTTTCTTTGTCAAAGGCGTCGAATGTCACATCCGGCGGCCCATGTCCATGATACGACTCTTACGAATTTCGATTTTCTTTGCGACAGATTCGCTCCGTCATCAGCAGATCATCACCATGTCGCTTCTTCATATTTCCGACACGTGCGCGGCCTTCGAGCTTGTGTACTTTTTTTCCTGAATACATTCCCGGTTCGTCATATACCGGGCAGACAAAATTTCCTTTTGAAAGTCCGATGTCGACAAGTCATCATCACACAAGAATTTCTTTGTCTCTTTTTTCTCGGTCTCTGTTGTATATGTTATTACTGAGCGGAGGTGATGTCCTTGCGCACCGTGCAGTCTCGTGGTCTTCACAAGACACGGCGGGATGAAGTCTCAAAAATAAAGAATGAGGAGGTCAATGTGAGCCGTGCAAGCAGCGAAAAAGATATGGTTTGACGAGATGGAGCGTCTTCCCTGATCCTACTATACCAGCGATCTACCTGCTGCCGCTATCGCACATTGCTGCTTTCTTGCCGCCAGGCATTGCGTGGCCTTTCACTTCTCTACTATACTCTTGAAAAAGGGGTTTCTGTCGGGAAAACCAGGGGCTCACGGCCAGCGGCAAATGACGAGAATAGTTCGTCTTCTTCATGTCTTAATAGTAGGGCGAAGCCTCTATTGGCCCTTTTCGTCCTTTGTTGTACTAAAATGACAGAATAGAGATGAAAGCAAGGACAGAGCAAATACCGTACAATTCTTCCATTCTTATCCTTGCTTGTGTATGTCTTCTCATGCTTGTCATAAGTGTTCTCGTAAGTGCCGGAGATCAAGATTTTTCATTGCTCAAAGTAAGCTCTAACTCTTGATTCAAAATTATCATGGGAGACTACATACATCATAAATCTACGTGGTGTCCAAGGTGTTGATTGCCAGTTTTTTATGCGAAGCGAACTATCCGCAGTCGGCCATATGCCTGGACATGCCAATTTGACCTTGTAGAACGCTGAATATCAAATCGTGGCTGATTTGCACCGGATTGCCTTTCAATCGAATAGTGCCAAGGCACATACATTAATGGCCGAATGAAATGGTGTAGAGAAATCAGGTAAGTTGTTCATGAAGCTGAACTGCAAGTGTGTGGTCAGTATCGCAACCTCTGAGGCTGAAATAACGATTACTCATATATTTTGTAAGTATTTGGGCACTTTGATGTTGCTACAACGGCCACATATCTTGGCTGTTCACAATCATATCCTTTGACTTTGACTCAATATTCAAGGTGACGATGAAATCAGAATTGTTGTCCTGACTTGAGTCTGTCAACATTGAAATGTATTTACACTGCCCGGATCACTCCAAGACCCATCACTTAACACTTTCATACAAAGGGGCTTAGGAGAACGTTTTGGTGAGACTGTCCGAGTTTTACGCTATCAGTGGTACATAGTGAAGCGATAGAATTGCGATTCTACCTCAGAGCACGCATGTCTACTTATAAACGAAAGGGGTACGGAATGGGCAGTATCGCCGACGATAAGAGTCATCCTAAGCAAGAATTTCACTGGATATGGTGAAGTGTGGTAACAGGCCTGAGACATGCTTTGGACGGACTTGCCATTCAGTAAGATGACTTGGCTTTGAATTCATGGATCAATGCCCAAGTGGTCTATCTGGCGATCCATTCAACTTTTGCCAACCGCCCCCCCCCCCCCCCCCAAGAAAAAGATATCTGAAAAAAAGTTAGGTATCATCGCCCAAGGTAAATGATATGGGCCCAGTGGATTGCTTTCCTTACTTCCTAATTGAAAGCCTTCCTTGGTTAGATTAGCAATCATAGATATCGCGTCTGATGGTATCAGTTTGGCGGAGAGTATCGACGCAGACGCCTCTGAAAGCCTTTCACAAAATACATCTGGTCTCCCGTGCTGTGTTCGATAGGTTCCATGGAGGTCTGCTGAGCCAGCTGATCAAAACGAGCGGCCGGGGTTGGATCGCTCCTGAGATGCTCGCTCTTTGTGGCGACTTGCTCTGGGGTAATAGGCACAGCATTGGCCATGATGACATCGACGATACTGTTAGTCTGATCCAAAGGAGAACGAGATGGCTCCTAGCCCATCAGCGTGAAGTCCCACTCCTGGAACGTCTCTCGGAACTTGGTGGTATCCTGTGCCTCCTCTTCTGTCGTCTGTGTGCACTCCTGCCAGATGACCCGTTTCTCCAGGCCTAGTAGCTTCGCCATCACCTTCCGCGGGTATTGTAAGTCAAAACGGACGTTCTCATCGAATCGCATCAGCAGACACTTGCTGACTATCTTGCCGCCGTCCTCGTGTCCCTCACCCTCATCCTCATACCATATCCAGACCCGTACGTAGTCTCCAGGCACCTCATCGCTGATACCAAAGTCTTTAAAAACCAGGCCTGGTAAACGGAGGTTCTCTGCTTCTACCTTGAATGCAGCTTCTACAAGGCCCTTTGTAATCAGGTCGGCCGGAACCGGCATGAACTGCCAGTGTGCGTGAATGTTGGTGCTCCGGTTGATCTCCCACGTGACACCGCCCAGCTTGTGCTTCGATTTCTTCGACACCGTAGCCTGCAGTGCCTCACGGAAGCGCGACATCTCCGCAAATGCCCGATCAGCTCCCTCTTGACCCATTGCAGCGCGGCTGATGGAGGGTACGTGTTCCTGAGGGACGATGATCATGTGAGAGGGACAATCCAGACCGTGCTCGTGAAATGTGTCCGAAGTGGTAAGAGGTCCCTTGGCAGTAGCAAGGTAGGTGTCGTCACCGATCGAACACACCATATGGTTCTCTGCATTCTCACTAGCCAGACAAAAGAAACATTGATCTGGACCGGGTAGAGGGAGTCTTTGGCCACGATTGCCTTTGCGGCGGCGGTTATGTCGGTGGTCATCGTGATGGCCATTAGAGAATCGCGAAAAGCCCTCTTCCTCTGGAGCAGAGCGTTTCTTCGCCAAGTTGCCTCGAGAAAGGAATGGCGAAACGGTGCTGCCCTGAGGTAGTGGGCCAGGGGAGGATGTGAGTGAGAAGGCGTACATAGCTTTGGCTTTCTGGGTGTTGCCAAAGGGTGCCAAAGAGATGAACCGGGTGACTTCTGGGTCTGAAGATGGGTCCTTGGGAGGATGGAAGAACGGCTCGCGCTCATAGACGAAGGCGTCTGGAGAGGGACAGAAGTGGTAGCGGGGCTTGAGCGTAGCACAGAGGTCTGCAATATCGTCGCTAGTAACCACGCTGGCGCGATCGAAAGGAAGCGCCATAGGAGACGCGTTCCAGATCGAGGACGGCCACATGGTGGTCAAGAGAATGTCAGCCGAGCTGGCGCCGCGCAGGGCTTTGGCATCGTCGGCAGTGTGGAAAGGCAGGTGTTGCTCCTGCGATTGACCACCCACGATCTCCGTATCCAGTATGCCAGCAAGTGTCACAATGCGCACTCCCTCTGATGTCTTGGTGACGCTCCGCTTATTTATGTAGTGTAGGTTCGGGCAGATCTCGCCATCGTCATTGGTAACTTTCTCGACAATTCGCTCGGGTAGAGGGTGTGTACCGACGGTGAAGTATGTTGTGACGGGGACTTCGATTTTGCCCGAGATCAGGTCGCTGACGGCGTCGTCGTCTGCAGGTCCGAACAGATTTCCTACGACAATCGCGAAAGAGAAGTTGTTCTTAGAGTGAAGGGCTGCCAGCTTGCTGAAGGCTGGCTGAAGTTGTCCATTGACATTTCCAAAAACGAAACTGTAGTATTACTTTGTCAGATGCGACAGCCAACCCACCGGGGTCTGAGAGGCAGGTACTCACATCTTTGGAGCTGACATTTTGATCTATCTCCTCAGTAGACCACCGTGACAGAGAAAGAGAGAGAGACGGAGGAGTTGTTGATGGTAGGAAGGGAAGAGACGGGAAGCGCACTACCGCAGCGAAGAGTCGCGAACTATTAAGTTCTGGGCGTCAAGAGCTAAGTACCTCTGTACTTTCTTATCAAGGTTATCTTAGCGCTGTTTGGCAGTCAGACCCCCACTTGGGCCTCGAATCCCTGCCAAAAAATTCCAGGTTCGTCCCCAAGAAAGTTCGATCTGGGTGGTCGTCTACTCGTCTTGACAATTCATCATACACCAAATACCTGAAGGCCGGAGTTGAGGTGTGTCTCCAGCGACCACCACCCCGATACAGCCAAGATGCCGGCCACCGTCGCTTCAGGAAGGATTGCAAAGGTCCGAAAATCCAAAAATACAACACCACACCAGAAGAATCACCGATGGGAGTCCTTCTCTACCAAGGTCTCCAAGCTCAACTCCCTCGATCCTTTGCGCAAAGTGCGCCGACATGACCTCGACGAAGAAGATCTTTCCGCGACCACCTCCTACTTCCGAAACGGCGTGACAAAATGGGCAGACCTCAATATTTCCAAACACTTCACGAACTTCAAGCGGGAGGTTCTGCCTCTCTGCGAGACCCTGCCTCAGATCGTCCTTTTCCAGGACAAGATCATGGACCTCCTCGCCACATACATCAGCGCCCAAGACAAGGAGGCACTTGAGCCACTGCTAGATCTTTTGACAGCCTTTGCGCATGATCTCGGCCTCAAGTTTGAGAAATATTACCAGAGAAGCCTGGAGCTACTGGTGGCAATTGCCCGCAAGCCGCAGGATGTGGACGTGATCGAGTGGACGTTTGCTGCGCTGGCATGGCTGTTCAAATACCTCTCGAGACTGCTGGTTTCGGACTTGCGGCCTACATATGACATGCTGGCGGGACTACTGGGAAAGACGAAGCACCCGTACCACATCAACAGGTTCGCTGCAGAGGCCATGAGCTTCTTGGTCAAAAAGGCTGCCGCGCCTTCACACCGAGAGAACGCACTGCCCCGAATTGTCGAACATGTTAGGGACGATCTGAAAGATTTGGCGAGGTCGTTGGCCAGGAAGGATCAGGGTGCCGATTACGATGTGCCTGATTATGAACTCGAAGCAGCATTCAAGTCGAAGCAATTCGACATGTACCGGGAAGGTGTCATGACGATGTTCTCCGAGGGCATGAAGAGTGCCGGTAATACGCTTCACTCCACAGCACCCTATATTTTCCAGGCGGTTCTCAAAGCCGTATCGACAGACGAGCTCCAGCCTGGTAGCTCCTCATTCTGGATTCCTGTCTGCTGCGGCGTTCTCACCAATGTCATCCACCATTCGACTGTTGATTCGTTCAAAGTCCTCATCGACCCTCTCCTCGAATTCATTTCCACGACTCTCGATGGCCCAGAAGTCCAGGAGAACCCATACCGCCTTACATTGTTCCTCCGACTATTCGGGATACTTGCAGGCGTGCGCGATGGTTCTCGAGTGAGTGAATGGGGCATGCTGATGAAGATCCTGGTCAAAACTCTCGAGAACCTCTCGAGACGGGGTCAAGATATATCGAGGCTGGCGGGACCGATCATATGGGAAAGCGTGGTGGCCAATGCGGTCATTTGCTGGAACCAAGCGCCGATGGATGCACTCATCCCTTCTCTTAACGAGTTCAACAAAACTATGACTGGAGAACCACTTATGAGATGGTACATTCCGTTCTGCGCTTATCTCGCCGAGCTTAACGCAGCCAGGTTTCGCAGTCTATTTCAAAAATCGTTTCAGAAATTCATCGCGGCTCACTGGTCACAAGATGAAAACGAGGATCTCCTTTACGTGCTGCTCCCGAGATTGGTCGAGTGCGGCGCACTGCCCCCAGGGGACCAGAAAGAAGGCTGTCCTATGCCGCAGTCTTGGCAAGACCAAATTGTCAGCAGATTTGAAGAGCTTGGAAACACACCCTTTCCGGAGCGGGTATCTCATGGCAAGAATGCAGATGTCTGGAGAGAGCAGTGCTTGCCAAGGTATGCCGCAACCCTCAGAGTTCTCGAGTCGACGAAGATCCATCCATCTATCAATGCTAGAATCGCGGAGTTGCTGCTTAAGAAGCTGAAACTCGCTTTACGGCCATCTTCCTCACTCGACACAGAGGAGACCCGGTTTATTGTCACGCAAGGCTTTCTCGCATACTTGGGGATGAGTAAAGCAGCCGGGTCTGTCGACAAGTCATTGCGTCCGCTGCTTCAGGCTGCTGCGCCGAGGTTCTCCAGCAATGCAGCCTTCATCGAGGCTCTTCTGGGCTATGAGAAAGAAATGAACCGGGTCGAAAAGGATAGAGGCAGCGAAAGCCCTGTCGCAATGAACGATCCATTCGTCTTGTCGCTCATCAACAATTTGGCAAGCTCGTCTCGACCCTTACGGATGGCATCTCTGCGGATGTTTGAAGCTCTCTCTTTCACCCCTGATCAGGACTCATGTCTGGCTACCATGATCTTGGTGGAGCAGTTGCCCCTCGATCACCAAAGTCCTCGAGCCATTGCGGTCCACCTGCGTCGTCTCACTCAAGCATATGAGCATCTGGACGAGGGATCGTGGCTGCGCCAAGCGGTTCCAGCCTACCTTTTTGGGATGCTCACGATCTCTCTGGCTCCTGTCTGGGACGAAGCTGTGGAGGCTCTGAAACAGATTGCGCAATCGAAGTCAGCTGGCGAACTCATTTTCGACCGTGCGTTTGAATGGCTTCAGATACCCTCGCCCCGATGGACTCCGCCCCAGCTGCGTCCCACCGAATCCAACAAGTACGCAGGCTCCAATTTTGAATGCATGAATTTCTCGGGGTTGCAGGAGCAGGCTCGAAAAATCAACGAGGCGATCGAGGAGCCGTCCGGTGTCCTTCTGAGAGAGTTTGAGCAGCAGCAAACCATCATCCCGGCCCACGTTGCAAACGCAAGGGGCAAGGCACTCAAAGTCCTCTCCGCCGCCCCAGCCCTGGCTGAGAAACGTTCGAGAAAGATTGTGCCGTTCCTACTTTCTCTTGACGATGCTCAGAGCACTTCCCTGGAAGAGGAAGATGAGGCTGCGATCGTTCCAGAAGATGACTTCTGGTCTCTGCCCGACAGAAAATCCCTCCTTGGAATCTTTGCTCAGTTCGGAAACCCGAAAGTGCTGTACAAGAGCCGGGAGGCTTTTGCCACACTGCTTAGCCTTCTGGCGAATCGCGACATCGAGGTTCAGAAGGTTGCTCTGAAGGCTGTTCTCACCTGGAAACAAGAGGGCGTCAAGCCTTACAGGGAGAATCTGGAGTTCCTTCTCGACGAGTCACGTTTCAAGAACGAGTTGACCGTGTTCCTGCAAGGCGAGAATACGATTCAACCACAACATCGAGCCGAGTTGATGCCCGTTCTGTTGCGGGTGCTCTACGGAAGGGCAACGTCAAAGAAAGGTGCCGCTAGTGGTAGAAATGGACTTCATGCGACCAGGCTTGCGATTATCAGGAATTTGTCGATTCAGGATATTGGTGGCTTCCTCGACATCGCATTTGGTGATCTTCAGGGCATACGCATTGCAGATGCGTCAGGTCTCAAGCAAGATCTTTTCCTCGAAGAGAAAATCAGTCCCCGCAAACAGGTTGGCTTTCTCAACATGATTCAGTCCATCATCAACGAACTTGGAACGAGCATCGAGCAGTACATGGACGATCTCGTCAATGCTGTACTTTACTGCCTGTTCTCGGCATCTCGTAGCTTGCGTCAAGCAGAGCAACAGGATGAGGAAGACGACGACGGCAGCGTCGACGATGACAAGACGAGCAACGCCTCACTTTACAAAGTGGCCAGGACGACAGCGCTAAAGTGTCTCTGCGCTCTTGTAAGGAACAATCAAAGCTTCGATTGGGCACCCTATCAGAACTCAATAGTCGCCGAAATTGTGTCCCCTGTAGTCAGCTTGCCCTCGGAGGAAATGGCGCAAGGTGTGTCGTGGACCTGGAGACTTCTTGAGACGTGGTCCTTGCTACCGCGTACAGCATGCATCCTTGCCATCGATGACAAGATCATGCCCAAGATTGCTGATTGCATTGGTTTTGAGAAGAGCAAGACCGAAGTCAGGATGTTTGCTCTTGGTATCATACAGAATCTGGTCAAGCTTGCGCAAGCACCGGAGGCCGGATCAGAATTCGATGGCCTCGTCAAAGCAGAGCTTCTTGATCCTTTCGCAGACAAGCTTCTGAGTGAAATCGGGGCCTTGCTGCGGGCACGACAGGACATTGAGAACAGAGTGTTGGAAACTTGTGTCGATACTGTGGTCGAGCTGTCTTCTGTCGTCGATGGCTCACGGAACGCAAGAAATTTGGTCGACATTTCTACACATCTCCTGAACCAACCGGCACGGCGTGTCAGTCCCAAAGTCAAGGGGTCGCTGCTCCTCGTTCTGGAGCACTACATCACCGTCGATGACATCCATAATGATTCGGCGCTGAAAAACAGTGTCTACAAGACACTGGCTTCGCTGTTTGGTTTCTTCAAGGACAAGCGCAACAGGGAGTCTCTGTCGAAGGTCTTGTCTGTCTTTGCGACACGGGAACCTGCTGTTGAGGAGGTTGCTCGACTTTGTGCGGACCTGAACTCCTACGTGGCTGAGAGGCTGGACGAGCCTGACTACGACCGTCGTCTCGCTGCCTTCAACGCCGTGTCTCAGAGGCAGACTCCTTTGACGATTGATCAATGGATGCCGCTACTCCACAACATGGTTTTCTTCCTCAACCAAGATGAAGAGTTTGGCATCCTTTCCTCCAACTCAGTCGACAGCCTGTGCAAATTCGTCAATGCTGCGGCTGAGGCATGGGCAACAGAGATGCAGGCCCCTTACCTTGATGTTCTCGGCGAGGTTATCTTGCCGGCAATCCATGCTGGCGTCCGGGAACCCTCAGAGACTGTCCGACGAGAGACTATAAGATTGCTTGCTCACTTGGTCACCAGACTCGGAGAGTGGGCGCCGGTAGCTGACCTGGTCGTTTTAGCACCGTTGGCTGAGGATGACTCTAACAAAGCCTTCTTCGCCAACATCCTCACGCCTTCCGTGTCGAAACAACTCCAGGCTGTCCAATTACTCGCATCGGTCAACGAACGCGCTGAGTTGAGCGGCAAGAACATCAGCCACATATTCCTACCGCTTCTGGAGCACTTCATATGGGGTCGTGCCGGCAGTGACGACCACGGACTGGGCGCGCAGGCCGCCGCCGCAATTGCTAGCCTCGCTGGGTCTCTCGAGTGGTCACAGTATAGGGCAGTGCTGCGACGGTACATATCGTACCTATCGTCAAGACCTGAAATGCACAAGCAGGTCATCCGCTTATTGGACAAAACTGTTGAGTCCCTGGTCTCAGCTGTCGATGCTGCCAACGGGGCGCCTATGGAAGTCGACAACACAGATGTCCCTGTTGTCGGCTTCAAGCGCCGTCTTTCGCGGACCCTGCCGGCTCAGGAGAAGATGGCAGATGAATTTTCCGCCTACTTCACACCTCCCTTGTTGGAGCACCTCCATGACAAGAACGAAGAGACTGTCAGCGCAAGGGTGCCAGTTGCTGTGATATTGGTCAAGCTCTTGCGACTGCTTCCAGATAACCTACTCAGCCAACAGCTCCCCAGCGTTCTGACGGACATATGCCACATCCTGAGAAGCAAATCCTGGGAGGCTCGAGAGATGTCGCGGACCACACTGGCCAAGATTGCGTGCATCCTGGGCGCTCCATCTTTCGGTTTCATCCTCAAGGAGCTGCGTGGTGCCTTGAAAATGGGAACGCAGTTACACGTTTTGTCCTACACGATGCACACTTTGCTGTTGGCTGTGATACCCGAATTCCAACAAGGCGACCTCGACTACTGCTTGGAGTCAATGGTTGCCGTCATCATGGACGATGTTTTCGGCGTGGCTGGACAAGAAAAGGACGCTGAAGGCTACGTCAGCAAATTGAAGGAGGTCAAGAGCAGCAAGAGTCAGGACAGCATGGAGCTCATCGCCTCGACGGCGTCAATTACGGCTCTTGTGGAGTTGGTCAAGCCTCTGCAGGCCCTCCTGCTGGAGAAGCTTGACCTTCGTATGGTCCGTAAGATCGATGAGCTGCTCAACAGGATTGCATCCGGCCTGCAGAAGAATCCGGCGTCTGACAGCAGGGATACTATGGTGTTCTGTTATGAGGTTGTGCAAGAGGTGTACAACAGCAGAAAGCCCCGCGCGGAGGCCACCATTGATCCAAGACTGAAGCGATATCTCGTTCAGCGGGGAGCCAAGAGGGAAGATCGTGGTGCAGCAAGCAAGCACGCCCACAAGCTCATGCGCTTTGCCATTGATATACTCAGATCTGTGCTTCGGAAGCATGAAAGCCTGCGGACTGCAGGAAATATCAGTGGCTTCCTTCCGATCCTTGGTGATGCCATTGTCGCGGGAGAGGAAGAAGTAAAAATTGCAGCCTTCAAGCTGCTCACGGTCTTGGTGCGAGTGCCGTCTCGGACACCCGAGCTGAACGACCTGTACAAGGTCGCTTCGAAGGATGCCATCAAGTGCATAGCCCAATCAATCTCGACGACCACAGAGCTGTCTCAGACCGCCCTCAAGCTCTTAGCCGTCATCCTTCGAGAGCGTCGCGAGGTCGTCGTCAAGGACGCGGCCATTGATACCCTCCTTGGCAAGCTCAAGGACGACCTCACGGAGCCATTGTATCGACACGTCACGTTCAACTTCTTACGCTCAGTTCTGGATCGCAAGATCGAGACAGCCGTCGTCTACGACACGCTCGACTACGTGGGCACTGTCATGATCACCAACGACGACAAGGACACACGTGATCTGGCCAGGGGTGCATTCTTCCAGTTCCTGCGAGAGTACCCACAGAAGAAGAGCAGATGGGCCAAACAGATCGAGTTCATTCTCGCGAATTTCAAGTATCCCCGTGAGGGAGGTCGCTTGTCTGTCATGGAGATTGTCCATCTGCTCCTTATGAAATCCGCAAATGATTTTGTCAAGGAGATTGCTGCGACATGTTTCTTCCCGCTTGTTTTACTGCTTGGCAATGATGACAGTGAACGATGTAGGCTTGCTGCTGCCGAGCTTATCAAGGAGATCTTTCGCAAGGCCGATCATGATCGGCTGCACGAGTTCCTGGCGCGGCTGAGATCTTGGGTCGAGCAAGATGGAAATCTGTCAGTACTGAAGCTTGCCTTCAAGATCTTCGGGCTCTACTTCGAAGCGAGGGATCCCAGCGAGAAAGATAAAAAAGATCTGAAGCTACTTATTGGCAAGATCACTGGTGTTCTCGAAGATGAGGACAAGGCGGATTGGGAGCTGGTCAACACGGCCCTGGACCTGATGCACATCTTGGTCGACCAGCACCCTGCGAGAATATTATCCAAGGACACCACTGGGCTATGGATTGGCGTCTTTGGCTGCATGTCCCATGAGCGCCCGGCTGTGAAACTCAACGCCGTCAAGCTACTGTCGAGGTATCTGACCGACTTCGCCAGCAATGCTTCGGGAGCAAGCAGAGGGCAAGCAGTCATCGGTTCTCACGGACAGAAACTGGACCAGGACCAGATTGCGCAGGTCATCCGCCTGCTGCTCGGGACCCTGAGGGGTCTTGAGGTTGATCAATCACTGGCCCAGGAGAGTCTACAAATTTTGGTCTTCCTCTCTCGCTTCCTGGATGACACACCAGCTGCGGGCGACAGTGATGACGCTTCTGACGAGGAGGAAGACGGGGAGAATGACTTGAAAGAGCAAGACGAGGAAGATGCCCAAGAGACACAAGCCACAAACATGAGCATGCGCTACATTTTCTCTCGCCTCGCCGCCACCATCCGCCGCGAAGTCCCACCGCGGGCCCCAGCACTAGTAAGCAAGCTTGCCGCAATGGAAGCCCTCGAGGCGTTGGTCACGCAATCCGACGCGCCCGTCCTCACAGTCTCGGCGCGCACGATCCTCCGACCCCTCCGCAACCTCACCGACGCCTCCATACCCGCTCCATTCTCGACAGACGAGGTCTTCAAGACGCGCTACGAAACGCTCAGGACCAAAGCGCAGGGAATTATGGACACACTGCAGACAAAGCTTGGCACTGCCGAGTACACAAAACAGTTGCTGGCGGTCGGTGAGGACATGCGCGAGAGGAGGATGGCGAGGTCGAGCAAGAGGAAGGTAGAGGCTGTTACGGCGCCGGAGAAATGGGGGCGGGAGAAGAAGAGAAAGATGGATAGAAAGAAGGATCGGAGAAAGGAGAGAGGACTGGAGCACCGGAGTGCTAGGAGAGGATATTGACCTGTTGAGGGGTTATACATGTGTGTATGCTACACAAGAGATTGAGTACCAAAATGGAACTTGTACATATTGAATTTAATGCCCTGGCGACCAGGTCAGAGTTGTGAGGAGGTTTGTCTTATCTATGAAATGGAATCTAAATCATCTTGGGTATTTCGAAACGCCGACCTATGCTTTGTATGCGAATATCTATCGCCGCAATTCTTTTTCTTTTTTTTCTTATCCTCTTGATTGCTGCTGTTCCCTGCCTATCAGATCGCTGAGACACTGATGAGATGTCTTAGGAGTCGAGCCTCTCAAGCCTTCCCAAAGGTCGAACCCGGCGCTTCATCGTCTCCATCGGCCTCCTTGGCCTCTTTTCTGGCAGCAGGTACCGGGTCTTTGCCGTCGCCCGTCCTCTCCTCCCTGCTCGTGGTGCTCCCGTCCTCCCAGAACTCCAAATCGCCGTCCTCGCCCAATGTGCCCCGCTTCACGAGCTGCCCGCGCTCCTTCATCAGCTCCTCGACCGTGATGCTGCGGTTGCCAAAGATGTTGAGATGGTCGCTGATGATGTGTCGGTTCCGGCAGGAGGGGCAAGTGATGAGGACGGAGCCGTGGTGGTAGCCCTGCTTGGAGACGTTGTGGGCGGAGCGGGTACCGCAGGGGACGCAGGTGAAGGTGAGCTCGTAGGAGGGCTGCTTGGACGTGTTTGGCTTTGGGATAGAGGAGGAGGTGGAAGGTGTGGAGGAGGGTGGACGTGGGATCGAGTGTGCGTAGCGGTGGAAAGTCGTGTTGAAGGGCGCGGTGAGGCGAGATGGTGTTGATGCAGGTATTGCAAGGCGTGTTGGTGTAGAGAGAATGGACGTCTGATTTGGGCTGTATAGATGCCTCTGTGTTGCCAGTTGCCTTGTTAAAGACCTCATATTTCTGGTTAAAAGATGTAGGCTTGATGGAAAGGTCTTCATGGTGAGGTGTTGGGCTGATGATTGCTACTTAGAAGGGATTCAATGTAAAGTACTAGCATAGCAGAAGTATACTTTCTAAAATATTCTAGCCGTCCCTTCTGCAATGACGTGCATTTTTCAAAGATTTCGTGGCAGGCAAATCACAAGCTTCTATTGAGCATGGGCTCAAATGTGGGGATACCTTGCAGATGACTGGCCAATCATATGACGGGACTAACTTACCAAGTTCAAGAGGGCTTGGAGGGGCAATTCATGGCGAAGGCTTACATACTATGGCACATTCCAAAGTAACTGTACTTGGTGTATAGTGCTGTATACTGCTTGCTGGTGTGGGGTTGATGTGCCTTTGACCTTGCTGCCGGGGCGGAGGCAGCATCACCAACACCAGATCGAGGTTCGCAGATCGACAAGGTGCTTTCCCAGCTGGGGCTTTCCAGTGGCCTCTGTGGTGAGCTCTGTTGTTGACTCTTCTTTTCCTTCCTCACGATCAGAGACTTGACTACTATCAAGGGTTGCGGAGTCGACATATATACCCTTCTTGTTTGTTCCGGGACCCTCCGTCTCCTTCTGCTGCCTCCCTCTCCTTCCTGTACTTAACCAACACCCTCCCACCCCTCCTCTTGCCAGACCTCTCCTCTCTTTCTCCTCTTCCTTCAAATCATCTCAGGAGATCTGCTAGAAGGCCTCTTTGTCCTCTGCTTGTCTCTCTTCCTCTTCAATCCTTTGTTTCTGAACCAACAAACCACTACCAGCCAGTCCAGATGGGCAAGCAATGATGCATAGATCATCAAACAAGATTCGGCCTCCTCGTAAGGTATGTATTGGGTTTTCTTGTTAGCTAGTCCGTTATGCCCTCACTTCGGGAACAGCTCATCCCCTTTTATGTCCTTCCTCAAACAGCCTCCTTGCCCCCTCCTTCCTTGCCTTCTTCCTCTCCGTCCGTTCTCCTCGAGACTGCGGCTGGGTTGGGAAGCAGACACAACTGACGTGAAGAAACAAAAAGCCCGTTGGCCGCGGCTCTCCCAATGGCCAGCTTACCGAGGAGCAGGAGTTCGAGGCCTGCTGGTCCATGCTCTGCGGCGCCCTGACCGATATCCACCGACGCGATGCCGGCAAACTCTCCTTCGAACAGTTGTATCGCGCTTCCTATAAAATTGTCATAAAGCGACGAGGCTTGGAATTGTACGAGAAGGTCGGCGCTTTCGAGGAGAAATGGTTCCGCGACGAGGTCATCCCCCCCATCTACGAGCTGGTCTCGGGAAAACTTGTCAACCTGGCCCTGGGCGACCTGCCCGGTACCTCCACAAACGAGCGGCGTGAGATGGGCGAGAAGTTCCTCAAGGGTATGCGGGACTCGTGGGAGCGTCATGTCAGTGCTATGGGTATGATTACAGACATTATGATGTACCTCGACCGAGGCCAAGTCCACCACGCCGACCAGACCAGCGATCGGCCCCCCCTCTACATGGTCGTCCTCGGCCTGTACCGCGACAATATCCTGCGCTTCGAGTTTCCTTCCATTGAGGGTCCCCTGACAAATGTCATCAACGCCGTCGTGCTCGACCTGATCAACATGGACCGCGATGGCGAGATCGTCGACCGCAACCTCGTCAAGAGGGTCCTGGTCATGTACGAGCAGTTGGCAGAGACGGACGAGACGATAGACGACAACCGCCTCTACATTACCACATTCGAGCCAGCCTACATTGAGGCGGCCCGTCAATACTACGCCCAAGAGGCTGATCGCCTGTTGCAGGACGGCGATGCGGGCACCTGGATCCGCCAGACGAACCGTCGTCTGCAGGAAGAGGTGGCGCGGTGCGAGACCACAGTCTCTAAGCTGAGCCAGGCCAAGATCCTTGCTGTCGTCGAGGACGAGCTCATCTCGAAGCACCTGGACAAGTTCTTGGCGCTGGAAACTACTGGTCTCCGCGCCATGATCGACAATGATCGCTTCGAGGACCTGTCTATCCTCTACCGCCTGGTCTCCCGCCCTGGAGTCAAGAATGGCATCGACAAGCTCAAGAAGATCCTCTCTGTGCGCATCGTGGAGCTTGGTGTGGAGATCGAGAAGGGTCTGACCGAGGCCAACCTTTCTGGCTCGAATGCCAAGACTGACGAGGATGCCGCCCCGACTGAGGGCGCTGAGAAGACGAAGGCATTGACTGGCACCGCTCGACAGACGGCTGCGGCCGTCAAGTGGGTCGACAATGTTCTGCGCCTCAAATTCAAATTCGACAAATACTTGTCTGACTGTTTCGAGGGTTGCAAGATCTTGGAGTCTGCTGTCACCAAGAGCTTTGCCGACTTTATCAACCTCTTCCCTCGCTGCGCAGAGGTTGTCTCGCTCTTCATCGACGACACCCTAAAGAACGGCATGCGAGAGAAGTCGGAGGCTGAGATTGATGCGACGATGGACAGGGCTATCACGCTCATCCGATACCTGCAGGACCGTGACATGTTCCAGCGCTACTATCAGAAGCATCTGGGACGGCGCCTCCTGCATGGCAAGAACGAGAGCCACGAGGCCGAGAAGCAGCTCATCTCGCGCATGAAGCAGGAGATCGGCAGCCATTTTACCTCCAAATTCGAGGGCATGTTCAAGGATATGGACACCTCGGCTGACCTCACATCTGGATACCGCGATCATATCCGTGCCCTGGGTGATGTGGACCGCAAGAACGTCGAGCTCACTATCAATGTGCTCACCAGCAACAACTGGCCTTCGGACAGCATGTATTCTGCCAAGCCTGGTGGCAATGATGGTCTCAGGGTTGAGTGCACCTGGCCTGTTCAGGTCAAGCGGCTGCAGGAGAGCTTTCTAAAGTACTACCTCAGCGAGCGTAACGGTCGAGTCCTCACATGGATGGGCAGTCTCGGCACTGCCGATATCAAGTGTGTTTTTCCCAAGGTCCCTGATAAGGACAGTGGACCTCTGAGCAAGGAGCGCCGGTACGAGCTCACCGTATCTACCTATGGTATGGTAGTCTTGATGATGTTCAACGAACTGCCCGAGGGCGAGTGGCTCAGCTATGAGGACATCCGGGCCACCACCAACATCCCTACAGGCGAGCTGAACCGCACGCTCGCGTCTCTGTCACTTGCTCCCCGGTCCAAAGTCTTGTTGAAGGAGCCCATGAACAAGACGATCAAGTCTGGAGATAAGTTCGCCTATAATAATTCCTTTGCCAGCAAGACTGTCAAGATCCGGGCCCCTATCGTCAGCGCCCAGTCCAAGGTCGAGGACATGGATGAGCGCAAGGAGACGGAGAAGCGTAACGATGAGAGCCGCGCTCACATCGTGGATGCCGCGATCGTTCGCATCATGAAGTACGTATCCCACACTGCATATCCTCTATTTCAAGTGAGCCTGGCTAATTTTCACCCCTTTTCTTTCCCCTCTTCCAGGGCCCGCAAGGAGCTTCCTCACAACCGTGTCATCACCGAGGTCATCAACGTCCTCCATGGCCGCTTCAAGCCTGACGTGTCTCTTGTCAAGAAGCGCATCGAAGATCTCATCTCTCGAGAGTACCTTGAGCGTGCTGAGATCAGCGACGCTACCCAGCAGGTCTACCGTTACCTGGCTTGATGGTCCCCTTCCCATCATCAAAATGGTCCTCGTCGAAGGGAGAGAGAGTGACCCACTCATTGTATTGTTTTCTCTGCTTGTTTCTATTTTTTTCGGACTCAATACCTCGTGCTTTTTCCAACAACCAAAATGAGGCGAGGCGTCTGGTCATTTTGCGCACTTCAAATCAGCATTGCTGCATGGTCGGCCGGGACCGGCATCTGGTAAAGAATCATGGATGAAGGAAGCACAGGCATTCAAAGAATTACCCATTTGGTTTTGCATGTGAATTGGCCTCCCTGGACGACTAGATGTATGGATAAGGCAAGATACCAGTGGGCGAGTCTTTTGAGTCCCGGGGGGGCAGCTACACTGGGCGTTTTATGGTATGATAACTCTTACGATAGGTCTGGATCACCATGTGGCCAGATGCAAATAAAAAGTATGTTTCCCAATGTGCGGGTCCTTCTCCTTCTTGTTTCTGCTGTTGATGAGTGGAATCTATGAGAAATCCATACCAGTGGGCATCTTGCGGGATGGCTACGTTGACTTGTGTGAGTGCAGCCAGGATACACGAGCAGGATATTGACTGAACTCTTACCTAGTGGGCAGAATTCCAACCTCCCACTAGAAGTTCCCAACTGCAGAGGACTGCGAGACTTGACAGTGGCCAGATCCTTCCTCCATTTGCTACAGGCGGTCATGAAACCTAATACCGGCCTGATCGGACATCTCTTATCTGGCAAACCTCATGTGCTCAATTCCTAGATGATAGTCTGTTCTCTTCCCCGCCGCACCTGGTCAGTCTTAAAACACCTCTTTCATTCTCTCGCCTATGTGTGTCTCCATGATCAAAAGACATCTCGAGCTAACGGCGATGACCTACGGCGTGGTAGTAGAAGCCAAGAAGTGGATAGTCATGTGAGGCTGTGCCGGGAAAGTAGACGATCGGAGAGGCCAGCGGATAGCAGGGCATGGTAGTAGTGGTGGTGGTGGTGATGGTGGTAGTGGTTATCATGGCTGTAGCAGCAGGAGGAGAATATAGATGGTGGTAGTAGTTGGGTAAGGTGGCGATGGAGGTGCCATTGACGGGGAGGCGGACGTTGCGAGGGGGGTAGGTGCCTGGGACGGGGAGGCTGTAGTAGGGGCCGCCGGTGTAGGGCCGGGTGTAGATTATGTTGGTGGCCATTTGTTGCTAGAGAGCTATGTTCTGGTGGTTGTTGAGTTGAGGCTCGAGGTGAATTTGGCTTCGGCTACTGGTGCTGCTGCTGCTGCTGCTGCTACTGCTGCTACTGTTGAGACTGGGGAGCGGGTGGGAGAAGGAGCTGCTGCGGGAGAGAGGGGAGAGGGTTTGATTGGGCCTTGAAGGCAGATCTATGTTTCCTCTTCGAATACTGTCTGCTAAGAGATGGTACTGGATATTTTGTTTGTCACGATGTCCTCATGACGAGACGATCTCGTGTGATGGTTAGTAGAAGGCTGGTCAGCTAGACTGGACAAGGCAAGGAGAAAGTGTTCGCTAAGCCACTCAATACAGCGATTATTTAGCTAGATCATAGACGTCAAAAGAATTCTGGGTGTCATTTGATATAATACTGTATCATACATTCACCACTGGTAGTGGATGACTTGATGAAAATTCTTGGAGAGCTCAAATAGAAAAGCTGCCGTCTCAATATACTTTGACCTCACCTACACAAGAAACGTCTGTCTTGATCATCTGGGGGAAAAACAAAAAGGGCATACTGTGACCAGCATCATCATGCCAATCGAGGCCTGGGCCTGGATGAGTAGACTGGTGACGATGGTGGAAAATGGGTACTGACCTGCCGTATATTTTTTTTTTTTTGGTGGTGGTCGAGAGAGAAATATTGAGACGTTGGTCCGTGCTTTCCCTCGGGCTAACTCGGAGGCCAGCTTACGACGAGATGTGATTGGCTCATTACAAGGCAGAAAGGGCCCACCCCACTGCTAGCCTCTGGGCCCCATCTCCCCGAGGAAAGGACCTCTGCCCTGCCGTGGCCACTTTCGCTGAAGCGGGCCAGCGCAGTTTTTGCTCTCGTCCTCGTTCCAAGGTCCCCTTCCTAAACAACGCAACCGCTTTTCCTTGCCCATCGAATCTCCTCTCCACACAGTTGCAAGGCAATTGCAATTGTTTTTTTTCCTTTTCTCTCTAGGCACATAGAGAACCCCCCATCAATATGTTCCGAACCGCCCTCCGCCAGAGCACGCGCGCCGCCGGTGCCCTCTCTGCCTCGAGCAGAGTTGCTGCCGTAAGTTTTGGTCCGGAGAGAAAGGGCTTTGACGACATCACCACCCACCCACACCCACACATCCACACACACACAACACTTTTCCACCACGCCGACCCGACCTCAATCCCATCGAGAACTACCTCCAGACGGTCCCGAAAAGCTTCTAGAGGCGCTGTCGAGCTCAATTGAGGTCCACGCGCGCCCGCTTGGCTTGTGCGCGAGGTCCTGCCCGAGCTCCATGGGGAGCGTGCGAGGTTTTCCGGGCTGCCGAGCTGGAGCTGTTTTCGATCCGACCGGGGTGGTTGGCGTGTGCGGTTGGTTGGGGGAAAGTGTGGAATGAACATCTAGAGACACAAACCGAGACACCAGACGCCGTGCCGCACCACCATCACATCAAATATGGTCGGCAACACTGCTGACGTACCCTTCTCATTGTTGAATACAGGTTCGGTCCGCCGCTCCCGCCGTCGCCTCGATACAAGCTCGCACCTATGCCGACAAGGCTACTCCCACCGAGGTCTCCTCTATCCTGGAGCAGCGCATCCGAGGTGTGCAGGAGGAGTCCAACCTCGCCGAGACTGGCCGTGTCTTGTCTGTCGGGTACGTTTAAAATGAAGAACCGTCACGCATTCGTCGTCGCCGTCGCCGTCACCCATCTCCACTAGTCAGCAGGCCTACCACGGAGATGATGATCATCGTCGTGTTGGTGGTGGTGGTGCTGCTACCATATAGCTCAGGAGAAGAGATGCGAACACTAAATTCGTGCGATTGATGGTGGGAAATCGTGGCTGACACTTAGCTTTACAGTGATGGTATCGCCCGTGTGCACGGTATGGCCAACGTCCAGGCCGAGGAGCTGGTCGAGTATGTCTATTCACCCATCTATCTCACATCCGAACCCGCGCCGCCGAGATCGATGACTGACATGTATCACTACCTAGGTTTGCCTCTGGCGTCAAGGGCATGTGCATGAACCTCGAGGCCGGCCAGGTCGGTGTCGTGCTTTTCGGTTCTGACCGTCTCGTCAAGGAGGGCGAGACCGTCAAGCGTACCGGAGAGATTGTGAGTGATCCCGTACGGCGACAACCCTTGCTTTGAGCTACTGAACTGACCCTCCTCTTAGGTTGATGTCCCCGTCGGCCCTGAGCTGCTCGGTCGTGTCATCGACGCTCTCGGCAACCCCATCGATGGCAAGGGCCCTCTCAACACCAAGGAGAAGCGCCGTGCCCAGCTCAAGGCTCCTGGCATTCTCCCCCGCCGCTCCGTCAACCAGCCCGTGCAGACCGGTCTCAAGTCCATCGACGCTATGGTTCCCATCGGCCGTGGCCAGCGTGAGCTGATTATCGGTGACCGTCAGACCGGAAAGACCGCCGTCGCTCTGGATGCCATGCTCAACCAGAAGCGTTGGAACAACACCAGCGACGAGACCAAGAAGCTGTACTGTGTTTATGTTGCTGTCGGCCAGAAGCGGTCCACTGTTGCCCAGCTCGTCAAGACCCTCGAGGAAAACGACGCCATGAAGTACTCCATCGTCGTTGCCGCCACCGCCTCCGAGGCTGCTCCCCTGCAGTACCTGGCTCCCTTCACCGGTAGGTCCTTCCCTGTTTATCTTCATATCTGCCAAGGACAAGATCGTCGCTGCCGCTACAAGCGAATGGAATCTTTTCTTCCGTCCCAAACTTTTCAGTGGCGGGCTCACCCACGACAAAAACTTTGATAACCAACTTGCAACAACCTTTACAACATCGATGCTAATTCGCTTTTACAAGGCTCTGCTGTGGGAGAGTGGTTTCGCGATTCTGGCAAGCACTCTCTGGTTATCTACGACGATCTTTCCAAGCAGGCTGTGGCCTACCGTCAGATGTCTCTGCTGCTGCGTCGTCCCCCTGGACGTGAGGCCTACCCCGGTGATGTCTTCTACCTGCACTCTCGTCTGCTCGAGCGTGCTGCCAAGATGAACGAGAAGCACGGTGGTGGCTCCATGACTGCGCTGCCCGTCATTGAGACCCAGGGTGGTGATGTGTCTGCCTACATTCCCACCAATGTCATTTCCATCACCGACGGCCAGATCTTCCTGGAGGCTGAGCTGTTCTACAAGGGTGTTCGTCCTGCCATCAACGTCGGTCTGTCCGTGTCTCGTGTCGGCTCCGCCGCCCAGCTCAAGGCCATGAAGCAGGTCGCTGGTTCCCTGAAGCTCTTCTTGGCCCAGTACCGTGAGGTCGCTGCTTTCGCCCAGTTCGGTTCCGATCTGGATGCCGCCACCAAGCAGACCCTGAACCGTGGTGAGCGTGTAAGTATCATGCCTAATCTCTTCCCCCTCCAATGACCCACCGTGTACGAACATGTGGCTGATCACTTGATACCTCTATAGTTGACCGAGCTTCTCAAGCAGAAGCAGTACTCTCCCATGGCCGTCAACGAGATGGTGCCTCTTATCTTCGCCGGTGTCAACGGTTACCTCGACTCCGTCCCCGTCGGCAAGATCCTCCAGTGGGAGGCTGACTTCCTGTCCCACCTGAAGACCAACGAGTCCGAGCTGATCGCCACCATCGACAAGGAGGGTGCTCTCAGCAAGGAACTCGAGGCCAAGCTGAAGGATGTTATCGTCAGCTTCACCAAGAGCTTCACCTCCTAAACGGTTTTATAATCTTGGTATGACCGGGAAAGAAAAACAAAAAAGGGCTATCTTTGAGGAAGGGCGATCTTAGGGGGCATATGGAGAGACACAAAAGAAAAAGGCGTCTTCACCATGTGTAGTTCGTTTCCCAACTTGGAGAGAGACAGAGACAGGGAGGAGGCAGGCTTTCATGATCGGGGTGCCGGTGACTGAAAGATGGCATGAGTGAGAGGGTGATGTCGGTTGCACCATTGTAAAAATAGAGTCGTCAACCAAACTAGCACTCGATTTCTTTTGTCCGTGAAGGCATTCAGCTCCAGTACTACGCTTCTCCAGTGCACTCTTGTTGCCTCAGTATGGTTTCCAACGCCTGAAATGTTTTGCTGTACTTTGCGAATCGCCCTGCGAAACTTTTTTGGTGGTCATTAGGTAAGGTAGGCCGACAGTAACGTACAGAAAAGCTCTTTCCTCATGTAATACTCCCTATTCGTGACATCATCACCGGCCCACCACAAGACTCCCGCAACATCGACACACGTTAGAAGAAACTCGACCAGTCATCGTCATTGTATCCGTCTCCCTCTCATACATAACTGCCCTCTCCGAAATTTACCTCTACCTGTCCAAGTTGAGAAAGAATTGTCTGTCCAAGCATACCACTCCTTCGACGTCAATTGCTTTTACACGCACAAGCACCTAGAGCAGATCCGCGCTTCCGGACAACCCTCCTAGACAACTGTCCGAGGGAAGCTGAAGCGTGTAGCACGAACTTGGATCACGCCCGCCTGAGAAGCACAGGATTCATCCAGATGGCATCGGATATGTCTCCCGCCACCAGAGAGCTCCTGGGCCGCGTGCGCCAGCTGGTGCCGCCCATGCTGGACAAGTTTCACAAAGGTTCGCCCACTCGAGACGTGGGGAAGGTTGGCCTGTGGCTTTTGGAGAGATAGTTTGCTGATTATACTCTGGCCAACGGCATAGGACAGCAGGGCCGCATAGGAGTTATCGGCGGCAGCGAGGATTACACGGGTGCACCGTACTTTTCGGCCATGGCGAGCGCGAGATTGGGATGTGATATGGTAAGCTTTCCTCTTCACCCCGTCGATTAGATCCTCCAGCTGACGATGTCCCTCCTCTCTTTCTCTCTTTCTCTCTTCTAGTCCCACGTTATCTGTACTCCCGGCGCCGCCTCCGTGATCAAGACTTACTCCCCAAACCTCATGGTCCACCCCCTCATGCGACAATCCCCATCCCCTAACACGTCCGACGAATCTTCCACCACCGACTCCGCAGACACCGTCGCCTCTCCCATCATAGACATGCTCGCCCGGCTCCACGTGCTCGTCGTGGGGCCGGGCCTGGGCCGCGACCCGCTGATGCAAGACACCGTGGCCAAGGTCATCAGCGCGGCGCGGGAGAAGAACACGCCCGTGGTGCTGGACGCGGACGCGCTATTCGTCGTGCAAAAGCGGCCAGAGATCGTGAAGGGGTACAAGCTGGCCGTGCTGACGCCCAACGTGGTGGAGTTTGGCAGGCTGTGCAAGGCGCTGGGGCTCGAGGAGGACGAGGAGGACGAGGAAAAGAACAAAAAAGAGACCGCCAAGGTTGAGGCCCTCGCTCGCGCGCTAGGCGGCGTGACGGTCGTGCAGAAAGGGTTTCACGACTTTGTCAGCGATGGGGAGACGACACTGGTTGTCGACCTGGAGGGCGGGAAGAAGAGGAGCGGTGGGCAGGGGGACACGCTGACGGGGTCGGTCGCGACGTTCCTGGGCTGGAGGCAGGCGTACCTGGAGGGGCTGTGGGATCACGGGGGAAAGTTGGACAAAGGGGAGCTGGTGCAGCTTGCAGCCTTTGGGGGATGTGCTATTACAAGGGTGAGTCTTAACTCTCTCTCTCTCTCTCTCTCTCTCTCTCTCTCTCTCTCTCTCTCTCTCTCTCTCTCTCTCTCTCTCTCTCTCTCTCTCTCTCTCTCTGTCTCTCTCCTCTTCTTCTTTTTCTTTTCTCGCGCGCTCAGAGGGAAAGCGAGGGGGAGGGGCTCCCTTACTTGTCAACAAAACATGATGGAACATGAAGCTGACTTTTACTTTTCACAATGAACAATAGGCATCTTCTCGCCAGGCCTTTGAGAAGAAGGGCCGCAGTCTCCAGGCGAGCGACCTCACGGACGAGGTCCACATCGCCTTCCTCAAGCTTTTCGGGGAGGACGAGCCGGACGTGGGCAGCTTGAAGTTATAGACAAGGGAGGGAAGGGGGCTGGGTGGTCTTTGATTCCCCCACCCACTAAGCTGCTACACTCCTCTTCAGGCGGCACAGTTCTACGAGCGCAGGCAGGCCATGCGATTGTTACTCAGTACGTATGGTTGCAACCTGTACTCCTGCCTACTACGCAGAGGCCAGACCCAGCATACTCGTGCCGAACTAGGTATTGGCACAAACAGCATGGAGAGTATCGGATAGCAATAGTGTCTGGTCTGAGCAGTTCACTAGATGATCTACAGATTATAATTTAGCATTATCTTGTTGAGTCGGTGTGCAATGCAAATGGAGAGACGTATAAGCCAGCAAGAGCAGCCGAACAAAACCCCGCGGCTTTTTTTTTTAAAAATTAAAAAAGTTTACAATAAAAAAAGGACAGAGAGAAGAAGTCCTTTCCCGTCACCCAACCTGACACCACCGGCTCTCCTACGCGGAAGAGAAAGAACAAGAAAGAAAAAAAATGAAGAAAAAAAAAGACAGGCCCCGCTGCCGCCCCCTCCCCTCGCATGCCGTGATGCAGCAGAGCACCTGGGCCGTGCCGAGATGCAGAGAGAGCTAGACACGCAAGGAGGAGAGGGCTGGATGTGGATCTCCCGTGAAAGACATGGGAAGAAGGAAAGGAAAAAACCGTTGTGTCGAGGGTGAGACATCAGTTAGGGTTGAAAATGAAGGACCAGAAGGAAAGAGGGGGAAAGGAGGGGGGTTGTCGTGACGTCGTCGTCGAGGACGCTTTTTGTTTTTTATCTCTTCTTTTTCATCTAAAAAGAAATCCAAGCAAAAAATGATAAAGAGTATGTCATATCGACAGATCACGTAAGAGAAAACAGAGGATTAATATGAATAATAAAGCAGATAGAGAAAAAGAGAGATATGATATCGATGAAGTCCCTGCGGATAGGAGCAACTGCTTTTGATTGTGGTACTAGACCCCATTCAACGCCTACCATCAGCAGTGGAGACTTTTCTGCATAACCGGATGAACGAGGGAACCAGCCGAGATGCCACAGAGGGGAAAAGAAAGATATTGTCCACACACAGCATGATCGAGGATGTACTTTCTCCACAGCGGGAAACATGGGCGTCACAGGGAGGAACACATTGTTGCAAAAGCGGGAAGCTAGCCGTTCCAGAACCACACAAAACATAGAAGGCTCCTGTCGCAAAAAGATGGCAAAGCAGCACGAGCTCAAGGGGAAGGAACTTGGTCCCGCTCCATGGGCAACGGGGCGAGGGCCCGGCCTGTATCGAGGGTCGAGATCGAGAGAGGTAGGATAGATAGATCCTGCGTTGCATCGTGGGCCCGACTTTTTGGCGGGTTCTGGCGAGATGCTCAAGCGAGGGTGGCTTGGTCTAGATGATTTTGTCCTCCATGAGAAGAAAAGAATACAGACCAAGTCAGCCAGCCTCATCATCTCGAGATATCGACCCAAGGAGCGACGGTACCTATAGTCTTTGTATCTCGTCAATTACTAAAGGAGGCTTGATGATGGTGGTGTGAGAGAGGGTGCATATGCCTTGGCTCCCGCAAAAGACTGTCACTGTAGAATGCCCACAATGGCCAACCCCATAGGCACAGCAAGAGGGGAAGAACGAAAAAAAGGAAGGAAAAAAGATAAGGAAAAAAAATAAGGAAGAAAGAAACAAACAACCAAAGAGGATCTGAGCCTGAATGATGAGAGGGGCGACCTTCCCTTGCCTACACTAATTGGGTTTGTGAGGTTATGGTCCGCGTTGGAAGAAGCAAAGTGATCAGCGGTCCTCCCGCCTGCGGGTGGAACATGTCTCGTAAGTAGGGAGAAGATGGCGAGAGGAGGGCCCAGAACCCATTGGCCCAAATCATGGATGACCAGGTCTTCGCTTGCGCATGAGAGAGTAAGAGAGGAAAGAGAGCCAATTCGAGCCTAGAAAGCAGGGCGTAGGTAGGTCGTACTCCCTTCCCTCCACCCCCGACTTGACCGAGTCACAGCGGTGACTGACTGACTTGCGGCGCGGTGCGGCGCATAGCACAAAGGTCAGGTAATGCAGTGCGACACGTCTGGACCACGACCTCGGAAGCCCTCGCTTCTGATGGGTACCCATTGGCTGCTCTGGCGGCCGCCTGCCTGCGCAATGGATCGGATGAGAGCATCAGCGAGGACGTCCCATGCTGTCTCAGTCGAACAATACTCCCACCCCTCTCGCGCGTCCCTTGGCTTTTTCTCCTGTTGCTGCCGCGGCTGAGACATGCTGGTGGCGGGGCGTTTGAAGGACCAGAGTAGCTTCCAGATTTTCTCTCGATTCCTCCTACGGAGGATAGGTGGACAAGAGTTGAAAATATCCATCCGCTTGGGAACCTTCCTCGATGAAGCAAGTGATCACGCGGGTGGAAGTTGTTTGTATCTCTGGAGAGGGAAATGAGAATAGAATGCCTGTCCCGCAACCTGCAGAGCTCATGGCGGGTCAGCCGAATGTCTCGACAGCGTCCTGAATCTTGAACTAGGTCGTTATTCCGGCCTCCTCCTCTGGGAGGCAGTGTGTGTTCCAACAAAAGCCATTTGAACAGCGCCGTTTGACGACTCGGGTGCCGACGCAAGTCTAGCGCCGTCGACAGACAAAGCTCTTGAAGGTTGCTCGCTGACTTCTCCTTCACAGGACTGAATCAGAGACCTACCTATTCCCCCAGCACCACAGATGCCAATTGAAGTGACGCCAGTGGCGGCGCCGAAGTTAAGCTCAAGTCCATCAACGATCTTTTACTCACTTGTTATTTTTTTTTTTATTGGAGCCTTTCATCTTGCGAGGAAATGATGATCGACCAATCACATATATCGAGCGAGATTCACGACCCTCTCCGTCGATCCGGGAGCGAATAAGAAGAAGCGCTGCAGAAGGAAAGAAAAGGTAGAGCCCTCAGAAAAATTTTCTGGGAAACATAATTTGTTTTCTTTTGGGACCCCCCTTGTTGGTCTCCCATACTGTTGGTCTTGGTGAACGATGTGACGATGTGACGATGTTTGCAAGGTCAGGAAGAAGATGAACTTGAAGTTACTTTTTTGGGACGGGGACGGGGCAGGGATGGCGAGATTGGATCTGCTGGTGGTTCATTCGGCCTAGCTTGAGCCAAGGTACTAGGGTCGAAGACCTAGCCAACCAGCCATCACCCCCTTCGCTCCTTCTCTCTTCCTCTCCTGGACTTGGTGGACTAGACTGGACGGGACTTCGGTCCTCCCTGCATCCGTCATGGAACGACCAGCCTCTCCATATGTATCCATCTCGAAACATTGTTCCCTTGCGCTGCCTGTCTGATTCGGTAGCAAACTCCTACAGTCAGACGCGTCTTCGTGAGAGAGTGTGTGCGCCCCACCAGACAATGACGAAAGGCAAGCGGTAAAGCTGGAGGAGAGAAAGGCGGAGGAGGAGGAGAGGGGGCCCCGCGCCCCCCAATTCATCCGTCGTCAGTCAAGATTTGAACAACACCGTGCTCAAAGTCCCAGTGTTTGGTGGGGCCTGCTAGCAACGATTGCCGCTCACCGGTGATTTGTGGCCACTGATTGTGTCGAATCGTCCTGCACGGAGCTCCATCCGCGCGGATCTGGCCCTTCCACTGATGATGAGAGCTGAATGGAGCCACGCGGCAAAAGGAACACTCGGTCGACAACTTCTCAGCACAATGGGGGTCTCGATGGGAAAAGAAGGAACAAAAATGAGAGGCAAGGAGGTTGTCATCCTCCCTCGCGCACCAATGTATCCACAGCAACCCTGACAAGCTTGCTGGCTTGCTTGACCCTCGATCGATGCCTGGGCCGCTCTGCATATGCCGTAACTCGACTCCCATGCATGAGACTACTGCACCACACTAAAGCATCTCGGGATGGGCGAGCCGGACGACGAACCCTTGCTGGGTTGACAGCCCTGACAGCGTGGATGGGTGACGGTCTGTCTCTGTCGCGCGCGCAGGGCTGAGCCTCATTCAACTCTGGGCAAGGCCACTCATCCGCTGCTAACATGTACCATACGTCCACGCGCGGCCGTACTCCACTCCCTTCCGAGCTAGAGCTAGCAAGGCACGGCTCCAGAAGATGGAACTCTCTCTCTCTCAACTTTCTTTCGCCTGGGCCCATATGTAGGTCGACCGCTGGCTAAGACGTTCTGCTACGTGGCTGGTGGTTGTCTCCCGTTTTCTTCTTTCCGCGCGGTAAGGGCATATAACATTCCAGTGGCTGCTTCTCCATCTGGCTTCTAGAAGTTCAAGCCGTTCTCTCTGAGTCTCATCTTGGTTTCTTGATACTGAGATCTTCATCAAGGACGACCCTCGGTGTGAAGAAGAACAAAAAAAGAAGGGCCGGAAGGGCTTCATTCGGTATTGGCCATGTCCATACCCAGATAATTCATTGGGACAGGTGTGAGCAAGGTTTGGTCCCTCCAGTCACCGTGAGTGAGTCCTGCGCAACACCCGTATTGGTGAATCTCACCTTTGAATCAGACAATAAGTCCTGACTTCTCTTCCAATACAGAACCTTTTCCAATTGGGCATGGGTCAAGCCCAAAGAGGGCCACACAAGATTCAGCCCTCAGGGAACACAATAACACACCACTTAGCACCTGGCACAGGAACCTGATTGTCCATTGTGTCCCACAGCGAAGCCTTCACTATCACCACCATTGAAAGTGTTCCCATTGTTCTCACGCTCACTTCCACGAGGCCTCAACCTGGAGGTCACTCAATACACTGACTCCCTCTTCCAAACTAGAAGTGAAAAAAAAAAAGGAAGAAAAAAGTTCCCCTGAGGTTGCACTTGCCTAGACTCTCATAGCCTGTTTCCCCCCTTCTTCCTAACGACCGTCTGTGCACCCTCAACCGAATCGTTTACACATCGCTCCGAGACAAATTTACCTCAGAAATTACGATACCCTCGTAAGACGATCGGTACCGTCGACCCTGGACCACGAGCCCCAGAGACAATTTCTCAACAACGAATAACCGGCCCTCGTTTCTGTCAGACCGTGGAAACCTCCCACCGATTCTTTGCTTCTTCCTCGCTGGGCTAGCCTCATGGGCGGCCAAGGATACTGAGTCCTTATACGACGAGGATCCCACACTACACCTTGTCCCGCCAGCCACTTGCGTTCTTGCCTTTCGTATGTGCTCCCACATCGCCCGAGGAGGTCCTGCATGAGCACTGCATAGCAGATGCGGTGGCAACCTTGGTTGGATACAGCTGACAAGATAGATTACGCACGCAGCCCCCCTCCTCAATCCCCGTCACCATGGCCAATGGGTTGGACAAACTGGAGCGGCTGTTCTCCAACAAAAAGAAAGCTGCACACAGCCGTCACACATCCGAGTCTTACATAAACGGCAGTATTCCCGACCCTCGCGCGCTGCCACAGGAAGCCGCCTCACCGTGCCAGTTCCCCCAGTCCCCCTTCATAAGACCAAAGGCCAATGTGATGCAACCGCGCAACGAGCTTCTGCGCTGCTCCCCTCGATCTATTGCTCGCACCAACTCGTCCAGGTCAAAAAGATTTAGCAAGACGTCATCAGCTGGTGACAGCCTCAAAGAAACGATGAGTGATCGACGTCGACCCAACAGCTACTCCACGACCGCCTCATTCCATATCCCCAGCAGGACCTCGTCGCTCCTGTCGAGAAGAAATGACAGATTTCCGGGAGGGCTGGTTCAGCTGCAACTCCCTCGTGAAACCGCATTCGCTGATGGGTCTACACAATCCAAGCCGTCTTCAGAGGCAAGAACATTGCCCCGCAAGGGTGAGAAGCCGACCACCACCATCAACACCACTACCATCCAGAGAGGTTTGTTGGATGCTTTGCCAATCTACCCAGCAGCGCGAGTCGAAACGCCTCCGCCCTCAGATCAGGATGAGATCAGCTTTCCCTCACTTCCCCAGCATGGACATAACCCTTCGACAGTCCTGCTACAGCTCACACCAGAGCCGTCTCCTGAGATGACCCCCCAGCGCGACTCACCGCTCAGTGAGCCCAAGTCAAGCCCTGGGGTGAAGAGGGAGACGGCATCTGCACCATCCAGACGTGCCACAGATGCAAGTGCGCCACTGCTGCTGGATGACGACTGGCGAGACCCATACATTCACGATCCTCAGAGCAACAGCACCAGCACCAACACCAGCACCAACACCAGCCCAAATACAAAAGTCGTCTTCCGCGACCCTCCTGTCGAAGACTTCCTCTCCATGACTTACGAAGACCTTGCTGAGGTTAAAATGACCTACCCATCAGATCCGCCCCCGACGCGCGCACCTCCCCCACCCGTCCTGCCACCAAACGCTCTCTCGCCATTGTCGCCTGTGTCGTCCACATCGCCCATGTCACCCATTTCTCCCGTGTTGCCCTTGGTTCGCAGTCCGATGCCCTCCTCATCACCCGCAATGGCCTATAGCCAGGTAGCTGCCTGGGAGGCCGCACGAATTGCCAAGAAGTTCGATTTCGATGTCGTTTACGTCGCCAACTTCTGGCCGGCCAGGATGAACCATCTACACAACCCTCGGAAACCAAGCACAATGGCAGCTGTCTCGGACCTGTCGCCCACCTCAGCGGCCTCGTCTGCCAACAGCTCCTTCTCGCATTCTATACCCGCCTCGCTGCTCTCCTCACCTGCCTCTGACCGGCACACCACAGCGACGCGCAGCTCGACCCCGCGCAACTCCCTCCAAGGCGCGACCTCCTCAGCACACATGCCCTCGGAGCTTTTTGCCCAGCCTCTGGTCCCCAATCCTGACTGTTGCCCTGAGTCAGGCAGGCCTGTACGCAACTCCGGCCCGATGAGAGGCTGCCTCCTGGCGGGCTACGGCCTAGAGACCATCGCCGCGCCTTTCAAACTGAACACGAGAGTCCACAAGAAGATCCTGCGCACCGTTGGCTGGATTGAGCACCGGAACAGTGCCGCCAAGGAGAATGAGTTTGCGCGGGGCTATGCACGGTCGTTCTACACCGGCTCGACACTGCCTTTTGCCGCTACGCCTTCCACGCCGAGACGCTCATCCGCACCGGATGCGTCTGTACAGGCTTCGTTTGCTGCGAAGTCTACGCCAAGCACGCCGCCTCCTCTATGCACGAAGGAGGGCCCCAAGAGGCACGAAATTGCGCAGAGCAAACACAACGTCAATCGCGGCCTGGTCTTTGTGGCGTATCGTCGGCCTCGCGGTCCAAGTGGTTCGGTAAACAGCAGCACGGCGGAACTGGAGGCGCTGGGAAAGGAAGCTGAGGCACTGGTGGAATTGATACTAGATTTCCATGTGGAGAGAAGACGTTGGGAGGCTGCCCAGGAGGCAAGGAGGGCGAGCGGATGAGAGGCCCCACCCAAGAGCATCTCACCTTGACCTTGCTCCCTTGCATTGCAAAACAGGCTTCCCCTCTGGCTTGATGATACACAACATCAAGATGGGCGATGGGAGGCTGATAGTGTGTTTTGGATTTTATATGTGATGGGCTCCTGAACGAGTTGACGTTCAGGGAGGATGGTTCGATGCAGAGGCAGTGACATCGGACTTCCTCCATATTGCTTGCTAGTACGACACCCAAGCAGCCGTCAGCGCGAAAGGGCGCAGAAGGAAGCTCGGGTGGACGGCGGCATTTGATCTCATGACGAGAGCATGAGATCATCATCAGATGGCAACACCCCCCGGCAGATAGCCTGCAACCGTCTTGACTTGGTGAGACGGAGGTGCTGCCTGTCCGAGGATGCCCATCTCTTTCATATCCTTGAGTCTTCAACGCTCGAGATGTAACGATGCTACGGATGCTTGGCCGGAGACATAGGCTTCTATCTATCTAGCCGGCTGGCTGGCAACCAATGAAATGATCATGACCAATAATTTGTCGCCTTTCTTTCCCTCCCCTTTTTGTGACGCTGATAATGGGGGAGGGGTTTTGTTGGGCCCTTGGACAAGTGACTTGGCTGTGTTACCTGGACGCTGTCCAGCGCGACCATCTTGGAGATACAAAGACACCAAAGCAATACTTTGTTTGCTGTCCGTATCTCCTTTATATGAGAATGTAGAGAAAATGTGGGACACAGGGAGGGCTCGCAATGAATTGGCTGCGCTGTTGAGGTCCCTCGTTAGGTCAGCATCCAGAGGTGGACTTTCGGCCAATGGACTTACATGTTTTTCTCTTGGCCCCACACACAAATGCCGGAAGACGAAAGGAATTTTGGCAGTCTGGAATTGAGGACAGAAAGCCTTGAAGGAAGTGGTTTTGATGGATAGATTTGAGGGTTCTTTTTATTATTTTTTTCTCTTTTCTTATCCTTTCAAACTCGTTAGTCTTAGATTCATTAATTGCATAGCACAGCGTTGCACAATTGATTACCTACTGAGAGGGGGGAAGAAGGCAATGGAGGCTTTTTAGACAGAAAGATTCTCAAAGGATTGCATCGTTCTCACGACTGCGCTCTATATTGTATGCAATAAATAAGTTTAATTTTCTCGGGGAAAAGAGAGCTCTTTCAAGGGTCCTTCGTATTTGTGACGTTGTTTCGTTGAGCATACCGCGCTCTCTTTTTGCCCTGGTTCTTTAAGTTCGGTCACGGGTGTCTGGTGAAGCCAGCCGTTGTTTGCCAATATAATTCTACAATACCAAAAACCAAGCACATACGACCATAGGTAGTGGAGAACTTGGGATCCCGTCTGCTCTCCCCTAAATAAGCCGCTAACCGCCGGATTAGTAGTTAAGTGGGTGACCATTAGCGAATACCCGGTGTTGTATGTTTTGCTCTTTTTTCACTCTTTTTTCTTTGTCTTCGGTATTCTTTCTGGATTTCTCGAGGCAAGCATGATGAGGATTTGTGACGCGCTTTGATCACATATTTGGCTTATTTGGATATCAGGTTGTTTGAGCCGTAAATGTGCAGTCAATTGATTTCCTTATCTCAGCCCAGACCGACAGCTTCAAGATCCTGACATTCTCAACAAGACTATCAAACCAGAACACCGTCTCAGTCAGCACCGCATTTATTCCCTCCCTCTCTCTTTGTTTTCTTCCTTCTTTGGAATCGTGCCCAAATACAGATGGACAGGTTCTTCTCAGATTTTAGTGGACATCGAGACAAGGGAACTGTGCTGAGTCATCATGTACTATAGCTTGTACTAGGACAGGGATGATAAGGTACGACATGGTGTCGTCCGTTGTCCGTTGTCAAGGACCCTTTTGGAAACAACAAAGATACGCTCGAGCATCAATACCGAATTGGGTTCTCAATAGCAGGCACTGGCTGCCCTGACCCGACTTCATTGCCAACCAATCAAGCCCTTCTCTCATACAGGCGCCACAGTCGAGTCTCGGTCGCGAGGGAACTCGCCCGCGCTCCTTTGAACATTGGCCGCCCCAAGCACAGCCTGTCGCTCTGTTGTGTTGTGGTTGTCAAATTGACCAAGCCTTCCAGCTGAGGATCGATACGCCACGATGCATGATCGTCCTCTCGGCACAATTGTTTGCTTCTCTGTATCGTCTGGGCGCGTCTGTCTGACTGGAGCGATCCAGTCCTGGTCAAACTAGCTTGGACGTCCGGGCAACTGACTCCTTCCTACGAAACTTGTCTCATATTTATTTGACGCTTCCACCGCCGACTCTCGAACATGGCTTCCTCCGATAAGGGACCGCTCATCGGTCCTGTCGATGGCACCGCAAGCCCCAGAATGTCCCGCGAGTCCGACTCATCTGTCTCGACCACGAGCATCGTCTTCGACCGTATCAGCGAGCGTCTATCGAGCCATAACCGCTCCTCCTCCAAACGCCGTACCTCCCCAAGCCCTCGCCGAGGCAATGAGACCCCGTATGTGGACGATGATACCCTCACAGACTTCAATGAGGAGGATCCCCTCAAGGAAGAGACCACCAGCGACCTGGAGACCGGGCCCTTCCTCGGGAATGGCGCAGCAGTCACAGGGCCGAAGCGTATGGACAAGACGCTGAAGCGTATGCTTTTCGTCTCTGCCGGCGTCTTTGTTGCTGCCTGGGTCGTCGCACTCGTCATGTTCATATCCTCAAAGTCCTACTTGCATCCGTCCGACTTTGAACACGATCCGCAAGCTACGGTCTCGCGGGGTAGTGGCAAGAAGCTCACCCTGGACACCGTCATGTCGGGGTCATGGGTGGCCAATACACACACTCTTGCGTGGGTTGCTGGCCCGAATGGAGAAGACGGGCTGCTGCTCGAGCAGGGCGACTCGACAGACGGGTACCTGGTAGTAGGAGACGTCAGAAACAAGAATCCAGAGCTGGCCCCCAGCGTGAATACTGCAGAGACGAAAGTCCTGATGAAGAATGGCTGGTTCTCCTACGGCGGGTTACAACATCAGGCCTCTACGGCAACTCCTTCTTCCGACATGAGCAAAGTGCTCGTGAGCAGCGATGACGAACGCGTTTTCAGGCACTCGTCCACAGCCAAGTACTGGCTCTTCGATGTGGCATCGCAGAGCGCCGAGCCGTTGGTCCCTGGAGATGCCAACGCGATTATCCAGCTGGCCAAGTGGAGCCCTGCGAGCAATGCAGTGGCCTTTGTCAGGGACAACAATCTATACGTGCGCTTCATCGGGTCGCAGGAGTTGCGGCAGGTCACGAACGATGGCGGTGCAAATTATTTCTACGGCCGTCCTGACTGGGTGTACGAGGAGGAAGTTCTCGGCGGCGATACGGCCACCTGGTGGTCCAAGGACGGCAAATACCTTGCCTTCTTCCGGACGAACGACACTGCGGTGCCCGAGTACCCCGTACAATACTTCATCTCGAAGCCCAAAGGCAGCCAGACGGAGAGCTCTGACAGCTACCCGCAAGAGATGAACATGAAGTATCCCAAAGCCGGCGCGCCGAACCCCGTCGTGGACCTGCTCTTCTACGACGTTGATCGAGGCGACCAGTTCGAGGTCAAGATCGACGGCGGCTTCGCAGACGACGACCGGCTGATCACCGAGGTCGTGTGGGCTGGTCAGAATGTCATCATCAAGGAGACAAATCGCGTGTCAGATATCATGCGTGTCGTCCTCGTGGATGTAGCTTCGCGCACGGGCAAGACTGTGCGGACCGACGATGTTGGCAAGCTGGACGGCGGCTGGTTCGAGATATCCCAGAACACGCGCTATATCCCGGCGGACGCTACGAAGCAACGGCCGTACGATGGCTATATTGATACTGTCATCTATGAAGATGGCGACCACCTCGCCTACTTCACACCCCTCGACAACCCAGACCCTATCATGTTGACAAAGGGGAAGTGGGAAGTTGAACAGGGTCCTTCCGCTGTGGATCTGAACAAGAATCTCGTGTACTTCATTGCGACCAAGGAATCGTCGATCCAGAGGCACGCCTATAGTGTCAAGCTCGACGGTACCGGTCTCGAGCCCGTGACAGATGTCAGCAAGGAGGGCTACTACAGCTTGTCCTTCTCTTCTGGTGCTGGCTATGCCCTTGTGAATTACCAGGGGCCCAACATCCCATGGCAAAAGGTGATCAGCACGCCGAGTCAATCTGAGAAATATGAACATGTGGTCGAGAAGAACGCAGACCTTGCGGATCGTGCCAAGAAGTACGAACTCCCGATCAAGATTTATGGCACCCTGGAAGTAGATGACGGCATCCAGCTGAACTACGTCGAGCGACGTCCTCCGCACTTTGATCCCAACAAGAAGTACCCAGTCTTGTTCTTCCAGTACAGCGGCCCGGGATCGCAGTCAGTCAACAAGAGGTTTGCCGTGGATTTCCAATCCAGCATTGCCAGCTTGGGGTATCTCTGCGTCACGGTCGACGGCCGCGGCACTGGCTTCATTGGGCGCAAGAACCGCGTCATCGTCCGCGAACACCTGGGCCACTGGGAATCACACGACCAAATCGCGGCGGCAAAACACTGGGCGTCTCTGCCCTACGTTGATCCTGCACGGCTCGCCATCTGGGGATGGTCCTATGGTGGTTACAACACGCTCAAGACGCTGGAACAGGATGCAGGCCAGACCTTCAGCTACGGCATGGCGGTGGCTCCTGTGACGGACTGGCGGTACTATGACTCGATCTACACAGAGCGGTACATGAAGACACCACAAGAAAACGAGGCCGGCTATGATGGGACGGCCATCAATAATGCCACTGCGCTCGGGGAGAACAAGCGGTTTCTGATCATGCACGGCACAGGGGACGACAATGTGCATGTGCAGAATACGCTGACGCTGCTTGACAAGCTGGATCTGGCCAGCGTGGAGAACTATGATGTGCACGTGTTCCCGGACAGCGATCACAGCATTTACTTCCACAACGCCAACAAGATTGTGTATGAAAGTGAGTGAAAAGACAAGGCTCCAGCTCTGCTCTGGTCCAATAGACTATCGCTGACAAATTTTACTACAGAACTGCAAAATTGGATCATCAACGCCTTTAACGGGGAGTGGCTCAAGGTCAGCCATGCAGTGCCCATCGACAAGAGACGCATTGTAGCTGAGATTGAGGCCACGATGGCATAAGGCTGCGAGACCGGTGTGTCTTGCCGCTGGCGTTTGGTTGCTATCATAGAAGGCGCGTCGGCATGGCGTTCGGGTGGCAATTTGTTTCTTGTCTTTCTTCTTCTCTTCCTCAAGCATTATTCATCTCGCATACATCCGTTACCGAACACGGGACCGAGTTCCTGGCATGCAAAAATTATACAATCATTACGATATCTTCTTCATGCTCCCCTTGACCAGATACTGAGCTCGCTGGAGAAGAGGTTGTAACGTTGGATAAACCGTCCACTAGGCGCCAAGAAACAATACTTGGCAGGACTGCACGAAGTCGGGACTGAGTGTACTGGCTTCACTAATCATAACTTGTCGGCGCGCCATGCAGAGTTATTGCTTGAACTTTGGTGAGATGCACCTGGTCTGGCATCTGCTTCTTGCACGGATCTGAATAATGTTTCTGGTTAAAGTTTCGGGAGTGCCAGAGGACCTGGCAGCAAACTTTAATTTAGACAGCACATCCTGACGATCCGGAATGGGCCACCTTGCCCCAGCGAGATGGATCAAAAGAAACGACCTGTCGAGATTTCCAGGAGTTACGATGCCTATCCAGAGACCCCTGTAAACGATGTCGGCCTAGACAAGATTCCGGCTCCTAATTGCTCTCTTCCTCTCTGCCTCCGCCCAAACGTTGTTTCGAAACACTCTAACCATGCTCGGAGGCACAGAACACATGCGTCCATTCATTCCCCCTTTCAACGTCTCGGAGGGTGCGGCCCCTTGAGCCCCCCTGGCCCAAATCAGCAAGAAGACCCCCTGTTTCCTGTATATTCTTCCAAATTGAGCCGGGCAGTATTTCCGTCGCGATGGCATCAGGACAGTACGTCGCAGTGTACAAAATGGCCAGGTCGCCCTCTCTGTGATGGTGCAGATCTTGTCGACATGTCGCAAGAGCTCTTTGAACTTGTGTCTTCTGCCTCTTCTTCTCCTTCTTCGTCTTCTTCTTCGTCTATATTCTCCAGATCGCTGCCCTGTTCATTGTCCAAGTAGTCCTTCCTTTTCATAACAGAGCTCGTTCTCGCTTCTTTTTCCAAAGATGTTTCCTTCAGTCCCCCTCCTTCTCGCTCTCAGTGGTGCCCTGGCGGTGTCCGCGCTGCCCCGTGCAGTATCCAACACCACAACCAGCTGCCCTGTCCTCCTCGACGGCCGCGTGCCCTCCAACGCGACCCTCGACGAGTTCGACGCGACCAACGGCATCTTCAACCCCGACTACGTCAAGGGCAACAACGTGTCGTGGAGCGACATCCTGCTCTTCCCCTCGGCGGTTCCCGCCTCGCGCTTCGACAGCGGCAGCTACAAGCCCCTCGAGGTGACCATCAACAACGCCTCCATCTTCCAGACGCAGTACGGCTTCCGGCGGGCGGGCTTGCAGTTTGCGGCCGACACCAACACGGGCAGCCCCGGCTACGCGGGCGTCGTGACGCTGCACTGGAGTGTGCGCCAGGACCCGGCGCGGGCGCTGAACCTGAGCCATGAGTATCTGAACGTGTGGCACGAGAGCGCCGATTACAGTGCGGACCAGATCATGTTCCAGGCCGGGCAGATGATTGATTTCCCTGACCTGCCGAGCGACACGTTCAAGATCTTTGATCGGAATTCGGCCTTGCTTTGGAGCACCGAGATTGAGGAGGATGAGTGGCAGAATTTTGCTGTCACGCTGGACATGGACGCAAAGTGAGTTGACCTATATACATTCTCCCCTGCGCCGGCCATTTCTATTTTGCATTATTATATGCTGACTATATTCTTCTCTTCTTCCCTCCTTTTCTACAGCACCGTCCAGTTTTACTACTCTGTGGGCACTGATGCCCTGGCTGCTGTCACCAATATCATCTCGGCTGACCTGTCCGGTGACGGCGAATATCAAATCGGCATCCTCAAGAAGCCCACGGGGTCCTCGGATGTTGTCAACTCTGGATACCAGGAGGCTCCGTTTGAAGAAGGCCAGATCTATGGTGGTCTGTTTGTGGAGGACAGCACTGGTGGTTGTATCTCTCTGTAATCAGCTAACCTACACGGTGACGCGATGAGAGAGGAAGGGAGAACGACCATGTAAATTGGAATTTTCTGTCTATTATTGCTGCCGGCCACCGTCCTGCGATATAGTTACGAAACAGAATCTGATCAGCATAAATGTAATGCATCTGTCGCCTTGCTCACTTGGGTTTGTAACTTCTCAAAGTTCTAACGAATCAATATCGGTGTGACCTCTACAGCCTCCATTTACTCATCGCAGGAGCATTCAACTTCCTTTTCTCGTGGCTAGCTTACCAGACTCGTGCCCTCCCCCCTCCTCCCTCCTCCTCCCTCATCTCCTCCTCCTTCTCCTCACCAACGTTTCTTTGTTCTGTTGCTGAACCAGTAATCCTGGGTTCACATGTAACAACGGCTCAACAATTCCCAAGCGCTAATGGTGCTATTTTCGGACTTTTCTCATTAAAAGAAGAGAAGATAAAAAAAAAAAAAACACTTCACATGTCAACCTGGAAGCCAAGCAAGCTCGTATTCAACTTGATTGATTCCCCGCAAAAGCACCTGCCGCACTCACGTGTGCCTCTTTTTAAGCAGTTGCTTTGCTGGCCTCCAAAGGATGCCCTGAAGTCGATAAGCTAAACGGTCCAACCGTTGAATACGCCGGCCAAAATTGGTGATGGTGTACAGACTATGCGAAGATCGGCAAGATCAAGCTGCTGTTCGTTGAAACAGTATGTGCATGTGAAAGAGGTGCAGAGCAATCATTTTGATGCCCTGACTGATAATATCGACTCACATGCAAAGTTGAGTCTTCTCGTGAAGTTCAAGGCTTGGACCGCAGTGTCCACGGACACATTCCTGGCCATTGACCATCAATAACATACATACAGTCAGACAATAAAATGATCATCCAAAGCCAACTGAGTAGATCCTGCCAATTGAAGCTGGTTTGAGCTTCGTGTGCATCTGAAGCCGGGCTATCTTGTTGACACCCGTCGCCGGCGTCACTGTTAGCATCTCGACGGCTCTCTTCTGCCCTAAACCAATCTTTCCCGAATAAGCCTTTGGCGCATATTCTTATTGTTGTTGTCCTCGATCAACCTTGTAGAGAACCACTAGTTATTGGCGACAGGGTGCAGAATATCTCGGGGCCTAACTATGTGAGCATGAGGGAAGTCTTCCAGACCAACACCCAGGTTGCTATTCCGGCACTCGACAATGAACACCGCCCAGCATGCCAACATGTGAAGGGGGGAAGAGACCTCGTATCTCAGCAAGTGTATGCACTACATTCCTTGCTAAACAGTCCGCCTTCTTCCTCAGTGTCGGAAACAGCATCAACGCATCATAGCTTCAACGTGGCAGTTGGATCCAGAGACCCGTGACAGTTGAATAAGAGCACTCTGTTTGAGATGCCCGAGTAAAAAAGGCCATATCCTGCCCTACCCCGAGAGCAGACGTCCTTCTTATTTATTCTTCCTTCAGTTCCACTGTTTCTTGGTAACTACCAGACACCTTCGCTCATACTATCGTTCACTGAAGAATCATCCGCGCGAGAAAGAAGGATGTATGCGACAATTGCTGCCACAGCTTTGCTAGTGGCCCTTGGGTCTGCTGGACCCCTCACGCCCCGAGATATCGGTCACGGTGCCGTCCTCAACCCACCACAGAACCCGGCAGAATGGGCCTACCAGGGCTGCTGGGCTGGGGACATCATGAGCCTCGCCCACAAGGCCTCGTACGTTGACGAGGCCGGCATGACACAGCAGACCTGCGCCAGCTTTTGCGGAGGCCATGGCCTCACGGCGGCGGGCATCCATCAGGGCGGCGAGTGCCGCTGCTGGGACTTTATGAGCGCCGCGCCGGAGCATCTGAAGCAGCTGGATGAGACCAAGTGTAACCTGCCGTGTGCGGGCGGGGATGTTGACCAGGCCTGTGGTGCTTCTGGCGAGGACCATACGGTGATCCTTGTCCACGTTGAGGCCGTGGGCGAGTCTGAGACCCTCTGGGCCGAGAAGGGCCCCGAGTACTCAAAGGCCTTTGGTCTGGATGTCGAGGGATGTCCAAAGTGTCCGAGCTGTCGCCCATGCCCAAAGCCCTACCCTTACCCACCGAGGCTTCCCACGCTCTATCCGACAACATGGCTCACTAGGACGACTACCTCCCTTTGGGTGAGTTTCTTTCTTCTTGATTACTTCGACTGCTGCTATGAGGCATTGAAGAGTACTGTCCAGAAGCTTACGGTCTTGCTAGGTATCGGCGTCGATGAGCTCATCGTCCTCGGATCTAGGTGATCCGGCAACAAGCTCGCGAAGCACACTTTCAAGCACAACTTCTACGACCTCATCCACTGGAAGTACAAGCACTCAATCGACGAGCACTGGCTCGCCGAGTACATCGGCTACATCAACAAGCACAATCTCAACAACCACATCAAGTACCAGTTCTGTTGTGACTTCAACAAGCTCATCAACTACACAGACAAGTACAACAACATCCTCAAGCACTTCAACTACGAGTACTACATCGCCAAGCACATCAACAAGCACACTGTCAACAACTACATCATCAACAAGTTCATTGCCATCATCCTCATCAACAGCATCCTCGAGCACCACATCCACAACACCCTCAAGCACATCAACAAGCATTACATCACCAAGCACATCGACGAGCACCCCAACAAGCACATCAAGTAGTGCATCTTCCAGCACAGTATCCACAAGTTCGTCGCTATCATCTTCATCAACCACATCTACAAGCACAACATCGCAGACCTCATCGACTACGCAAAGTAGCACAACATCTACAAGCTCACCAACAGGTTCATCATCCAGCTCATCGTCCGGCTCAACATCCAGCCCATCTTCAAGTCTGTCAACTACCAGTCCAACAACCAGCTCAACTGCCAGCTCAACTGCCAGCTCAACTACCAGCCCATCGACAACCAGCTCAGCATCTAGCTCGGCATCCAGCTCGTCTTCAAGTCCAACAACCAGCTCAGCATCCAGCACATCATCTGGCTCGTCTTCTGTTACGTCAACTACCAGCTCAGCATCCAGCGCGTCTTCAAGTCCGTCAACTACTAGCACACCATCCAGCTCGTCTTCTGCTACGTCGACTACGAGCAGCACCAGCTCGCGTGCCAGCTAGATGTCCGGAAATTCAAGCTCATCAAGCTCATCAGCGTCCAGTACCACTAGCTTAATATTTTCCTGAAGACGAGGCGAAGGCCGACGAACGCAGAAATAGCAAGACAATATTGAGAATTAATCCGAATGAACAAGACGATGATCTTCTACATAGCTATATCAGGCTCGTGAATACGTTCGAATGTGAGGGGTCAGGATCAGGCCCACGTTCCATACATCTACGCTTGCTATTCGTACTAGCACAACGTCTTCTACACAGACCAGCACAACTGAAAGTCCAGTACGAGGTTGTTCTCAAGCTCACCATCAACGCATACCTTAGTAGCAGCACAAGATGGTGCATCAATCGCATGAGGGTGATTATGATGAACTCGCTCCTTGACATTGTTTTTGGATTCTGGATCGTTATGTGGGCAAGGAGGGGTGGTGGCCACGGGGTCGGACAAACTGAGGCGTGAAGAAAGTATAAATGGCTATCCAGAAGCTAGAAACCCACAGGAAAGAGCAAATTACATATTTACAATAGTCAACCAGGCCTGATCAATGTCCTCTTAATTGTGCAGACCTCTTGCCCTCCCCTATTCATAGTAGTAATGCCAAGCTGCTCAATTATAGCACACCGTTCAGCACTTGGCGCAGTCAGATGCGGGATACCAAGCTCTTTCGCTATTCTGAAAGGAACGAGTGTATAGCCAGCAAAGTGCTTGAGTAAGATTGTGCCGTGATCCCTTGCGTAGCCGGACAGCCAGAGGACCGTGCTCATAAGTATCACATTTTTGAATGTCGCCAGCGAACGAACCCTTCCCGGGTGCAATGTGATTAGGGAGAAGAAAATAAAGGGAACTTTCATAATGTACTACCTATGATACAGTAATCTTCATGAACAAGCTTTTGCCCGCCGATATCCGTCGTTCAATTCGTTCACCCCGAAAAATGGTTACCGCCCATGTGCCCAACCAACCGCACCAGCCACTCGAAAAAACAAGAGAATAATCTGCATTGGCAATGTCTTTGGTCCATTCAGCACGCCAAAGCATAAACCTAACGAGTGAAGCCGAGGTCGGACCATTGGCACCTAGGCTCCTCGCATTGACCAGAGGGCGACGCCACACTTACGCGTAGGTGAATTCATAGGCCGAGATCACCGTGGCACGAAGATAGGAGCTTCGGCGTCGAAGCCCTTCTCGGTGCTGCGTCGTGAAGTGGGTTGGAAAACAGCAGCTGAAGCATCGAGTCGCTTGGTGGGGCTAGGAGGCGACTCTAGAAGAGCTACGGGCTCTGAAGAAGCCGTGCGAGCGGCACTCACTGGACAGGACGGTCGTCGAGGTTCGAGTTGCGGGTTGACGACCGCAGGTTGCGCCTAGAAGCCTGAGTAGCCGGTTGGCTGGGGAGCAAAGCCGTTGGGTGCACCGAACGCCGCGGGAGAGGCACGGCCAGTGTTTGCAGCGGGTCCAGCAGTGATCATGAGTCGGTTGCCCAGGATGGGCGTGTTATCCTCGACCTTCTCCTGCTCCTTCTCCTTTGCCTTGCGGGCCTCGTTGTCAATCTTCAGCTGCGCAAGCTCCTTGGTCTGCTGCGAGAGCATGTTGATCATGTAAGGCATAGTAAAGTCATGCAAGCCGTTGCGCCATGAGAGCTCGAGGACCGTGTCAGGACGAACGAGGTCGTAGCAGGCATACAGCATGCCGACGTAGCATTCGCGATTGCCAACATCGACAAACTAGAAAAACAGTCAGCATCGAACAAAGTAAAGGGAGGAGATAGCGAGAGAAAGAAATCAATGACCGAGGGGGGTAACTCACGTAGCGAAGTAGATCTTCCACAACCTCGGACTTGCTTGAGAGAGCAGAAGTCTCGATGGCATCCTTCCAGAGCTTGTCTTGCTTGGACAGAGCGATCGATTTCTCCCAACGCTTGTTCCTGCGATAGATGCTGGCTGCAATCTGGCGGAAGAAAACCAGCTCATGCTTCTCCAGGCGTGATGCAAGATCCACGGCGTCATAATTGTCATAGTTCTCGACGGAGTCCCGCAGCGTCTTGTAGTCCTCCTCCTCAATCAACAGATCGTTGATGGCGTCATTGACCGTGCGCTTGTTCTGGGTCTGGACGTTCAATAGGAAGGGCTTGATCAGTGGCAGGTTGTCAGACTTCTGGAACAGGCGAACAACCCGGTTCACGTCAATGCGAGCAGTAAGGACCTGCAAGAGGTCGGTCAACAAGGATGGGTGCTGCTCCAGATAGAAGTTTATGGCCTTGTAGTAGATCTCGAGGTTGGCGACCTTGACGACCATCTCCTTGAACTGCTGGTGCTCCCAGGAATTCTCTGGGCGCTCCATGACCGCAAGCGCAGCGTTGTCGAATTCATCGTAGTGATAGTAGCAGAAAACGAGCTCCGGCCACAAGTTGGCCTCCTCACAGGCGCGGATCATCTTTGGCATGTTCATTCGGCTCCAGAACAGCTTCAGGTGCTCCATCAGTCGCTCAGGGTGGTACTTGGACAGGGCAATTCCAAGCTCGGTGAACATGCCCATGTGCGCACGCTCGAGGCCAAGGCCCTGCTCCAAGAGGTTGATGAGCTCGTCAAAGTAGCCGTTGGACTCATACTGCTTCACGAGAGCTTGCAACTCCTCGGCATCAACGATCAGGTTGAGACCGCAGATCTGAGCCAGACGGAACTCCTTCTTCTCCACGCAGGCACCGTGAACCTGCTTCCACACCCGAATGTTGTTTGCCTTGCGAGCGCACTCGACAGCAGCTTGGTAGTCCTCGAGGTGGACCAGAGTGGTGGCGAGCTTGGCCCAGTTGGAGATGCTGGAGAAGAAGATCTTGGCAGCTTCATAGAATCCCTCCTCGTAAGCCTTGTCACCGGACTCCTCGATGTTCGCAACATTAGTGCCGCGCAGGAAATCTTCTAGTTCGCCGAGCTGCTCCAGGCGGGCATAGCAGAAGGCAAGGGCAGTGTCAATCTCTGGCTCGCGCAGAGTCTTGCGGGCCATGCGGAGATACTGAACAAGCTCTTCGTTCTTGCCAGCATGAGTTGCGATCTCGATGACCTCGGTGTAGTTCTTGGGATCATCGGCCTTGATGTAGGACTCAATGGCGTCGCTGACGCGCAGACCATCAAGCTGAGCCTTGGCTACCTTGGACCAGACCTCAGGCAGGTCGACGTCCTCAGCGTATGCCTGAGCACGGTCTATGCTCACGACGTGCTCAACAAGGACATTGACAGCACCAGCCTTGTCGCCGATCTTCTTGAAGATCTCAAATGCTTCCTCGTACAGTCCGACGTTGATGCAGGACGTGGAGATTTCCTCTGCGTCGAAGGCATCCAGGCGGTGTACGTAGTCCATCACACGAGCCTTGTCCGCCTTCGCAGCAGTGAACATGAGTAGGTTCTGCAGGTTCTGGTTGTCGCTGAAAGGACTGGGCTCCAGGACGATCTTCTCGAGGAGCTCGATCAGCTCACCAGGCAGGTCAGCGCTCAGGAAGCAAGAGACTGCCTGAGAGACCTTGGCCGGATCGGTCGACTCGGGCACAGCCGTGGAGATGACTTGGTCGATGACAGAGCGGCGGTGAATGTTGTTCTCGCTGAGAACAAATGACCAGAGCTCCTGATCGGCACGCTCAAGCAGGTAACGAGCCTGAGCCCGATACATGGCGTTCTCGTTGGTAATATTGACCAACTCCAGATCATTTTGGCCCTTGCTGTATGCGATATAGGCGAGGTTAGGATCGCGCTTCTCGCAGTACTTGCCGACCACCAGAGTGTCGTATTGATCATTCTCCTTGAGGAATTTCTCGGGGTTGTTGTTCGAGTCAATATAGATCTTTGCCAGTGCGTTGTACACAGCCTGCTGCTGGTTGCCGGAGGCAAGAGTGGCCTCCAGGAAGGGCAGGAGGAGCTTGAGGCGGTTGCGCGACTCCACCTCAGCCACTAGCTCATCAATCGGGACCGAGGCAGCGTTGATCGTCGTGAGCAGGTTCTTAATGATGCCCTCGTCGCAGTCAACATCGAGGAGGCCGCCAATGACAGCAGGAGCCCGCGCAGGGTTGACCCGCTGGACGTATGTCTCGATCGACTGGAACTGCTGGTTCTGGTAAAGATACAAGACGAGGTCGTGGACAAAGTTGTGTCTGTCGCACACTATTATAAGTGGCAGCTGCTCGGAAAGCCGGGCCTCCTTCAGGAAATTCTTGACCTTCTCCGGGTTGTAATAATTGCTGTCGCGGCAGATACGCTCCACCTCGTTGAACTGGCCAATCTTTGTTGCGGCCTCGATGTACTTGAAGTGGACATCAGGGTTTTCTGACAGGTTGACAATGCTGCCCAGGTAGTAGAAGAGACCCTCGGCAGTCTTGTACTTCTCGAAGAGGTCAATCAGGCGTTCGGGACCAAGAAGGTCAGAGTATTTTGTGGCGACCTGAATGACGGACTGCAGGTTCTGACGGATGTTGTGCTTCAGCATAGCGTCAAGGCAGTCGATAGACTGCTCAACGGAGAGTTTGCCGAAAAAGTTGACCAGCCAGTCCGCGTTGAAGTTCGGAGTACTAGAGATGTTGACGACAACTCGCTTGACGGCAGCAGGATCCTCATAGAGCTCCAAAGCCTTTTGCATCAGGCCAGCCTGCTCACAAAGGGTTGCGATCCGTGTCTTGTCGAAGTGTGAGAACATGTCGTTGCCGAGGATGGCATCTGCGACCTGAGGGGCGTGCATCAGATTCATCTCCAAAAGACGGGTCTGGAGGTGGCCCTGCTCGGGGTTGTTGTCCTTGAGAGCATCAAGCAAGAAGGCGGTGGCCTGCTGAACCATTCCCTGGGACTGGAAAACGTCAACGACACGCTCAATATCAACCAGAGACCCCTGGGGCTGGTTGACGAGGGCAGTGGCGAATTCAGCGCCCTTCTCGGGGTTGCTGCGGACGATGTGCTGCAGCAGGCCGACCCAATCTGGTGAGTAGCCGGTTTGCTGAACATATGGCAGAATCTTGTCGAACTGGCCAGTCTCGGCAAGACCAGCGACAACCTTGTGAGGGATGTTGGCCTTCAGGTAGATGGTGAGTGCCATGTTGATGTCGTGAGGTCGCACAAGGTCACCAAGCTGCTCTGAGCAGTCAAGCTTACCCTCCTTCAGCCACTTCTCCAACAGATTATTCCTATTCTGTGCGAGAACCGGCTGCGCAAGCTCGATGGTCTCATGCTGGTTCAGCACCCCCTTGTCCAAGAGCATACCGAAATACTGCAGGATGAACGACATCTGACCAGGCTGAGCAGGAAGGCGCTTGAACTTCTCAATAGTCGCAGGAGTACGCAGGAAGCCACGTGGTGAGCCGGCGGCAACCTTGGCAGCAGCTACGTAATCTCCAGAGTTGAAGAGCTGGTCAAACTGCTGGGCGTACAGGTTGTCCGCACCAGGCAGGCCAGCCCGGGAAGCCATCTTGATCGCCATCTCGGTGTTGGCTGGGTTTTGTAGCAGGTACTGGATGACGGTATTGTCATCAACAGAGACAAACAGCACCTGGCCCTTGCGGTTGATACCGACGATGCCAGTCGAGTCATTGTCCGCACACGAAGTGAAAATGGTCTCGCTGGAAATGCGGTTCATGAAGATGCACTGGCCGGTCTCGAGATCGTAAAGGTGGATGAACCCGTACTTGGTGACGAGGTAGATGACGCCGTACTTTTGGGAGACCTGCATTGCGACAGGGAAGTCATTGACGGCCTCTGGTGGGAAGAAGACGTCGACAGCCTTCTTGGGGAAGACAGGGTTCGTCTCGGCGTGGTCGACCTCAACAATGTGAAGCTTGGCACCGCTGGCCGTTCGTACGGAGAAGGTGAAGAGCTTGGTATCTTGGGGGGCGCCGTCCAAGCGCAGGGTGCCGAATGAAGCAGCATGGCCCTCGATCGCTTGGCTGATGCCGCGGTCCTTGGAGTAGAGCTGCATCTGGCCCACAACGCGACCCTGGTCCTGCTTGATACCCACGACGACCATCCATTTGCCGTCGCTGTTAACGCGGTAGTTGATGATCTGACACGACTATATGTTTGTCAGTATGCGCACCGTCTCCTTTTCCCCTTCCCTTCCGTTATGTGTATACTTACGTTCAGGTTGGCGTGTCGGTCCGTAATCTTGACAGGAGTTTGTTGGTTCTCATCGAAGACGTCCCAGTGGTAGATAGCAGCATCTGTGACAAGGCCAAGAGAGCTCTCGCTGATCCACTTCCAGAACACGACATCCTCGTTCATGGTAGCAGACTTGAGCTTCTTTTTGTTGTCCAGGTCGAAGATCTGCACTGTCCTCGACTGGGCCTTGAGAGCGATGATGTTGAGGTGCCAGTGCATGATAGCACTATCGGCCTTGATGGGGCGGCGGGTGACATTGTTGCCATTCTTGAGATCGATGATAACAACTTCAGGTGATGCGGCTTCGTTCTTCTTCTCGCGTATGCAGATGTAGTGATCTGACTCGAGTGTCTAGATAACACGAAGATGGGCAAGTCAGCGCATGGGAGCTCGCATGGGAGCTCGATTGATAGCTCGAACGGAAAGGATGGTGTCTGGTTAGAACTTACACAAGAGTTGAAGCCGATAGCAGCAGTATCAACGCCTACGCTGTTGAGTTGCAGCACCTCTGTAAATTTGATGGGCAGAGGCGCCATGTTGACATGCGCCAGCTCGCGCGGAGCGAAACGTTGTCCAAGAAGAAGACCAAGTCAGACGAGTCTCGCGCAGATCGCGATGGTGGTAGGGGTGGGAGGAGGAGACTGCTGCAGTAGGGTAGTGGATGACAACAGATTGGTGTTGTCAAAGAGGCAGCAGCAGGAGGGAGGGAGGAAAGACTGGCGCGACTGAGGATGGCGTCTTGGTGGTGTTTGTGTGGTGGTGCCTGAGCAGCTTGCTGTCAGGATTGGGCGCGCAATGATGAGAAAGGGGTTGTGGGGGGTTGAGAGAGAAATACAACAGCTGTGGTGAATCGAAAAGACTCAAATATCAATCAGATTTGGCCACAGGTGGGCCTTCCTCATATGGAATTAAGGACAAAAGAGGGACACCAGTGGTCGTGAAGGTGCGAAGGTGTGATGAATTAGGTGGGTGGTTTAGGTGTAGTAGACCAGCTTGAGGAGTGTGATGAACTTCTGGCTACCTGTTACCTATTACCACAATAGGCTGGAATCTCCCTGACGCAGCTACCAACGCACAGGCCATGAGCTATGAACCCCTGCCTGCCGCTCAAGACTCAGGGCATCACTCTATGGGCTAGGCCAAAGCGAGTATCGTCCGGCGCTGCTTACATAAAGCTGTAACAGCCCTGTTCATCCAAGGCATTTAGGAGTTGGCAATCTGGAAGATCTAAGAATAGCGTCCACCTGCAGATTTGTCTGAGACCCAGGTTGCATGCCACGCAGCAGCCCTACACAGTCAGGTAGTACATGCAGAGCTGACCAAGTTCTTCTGTCAACCATGCCTGGTGAATTTTATACCTGAATTTTCAAATTACCAAGTAGCCCTTACAGCACCAATCAGACTTGTTCTTTGATGTAAGCTGCTTGACTTTGGAGATCGTCCAAAGTCCTTGAGCATGATCACTCTACTACCCCAAGGGGACAATCCCATCCTCATCCTTACAAATAACACTCACTCTCTAGATAATTGTCAGTAGCATTTTTGTATTGTCCACAGAGCTCAAAGATTCAAGGGTTTTATTAATGATTGATTATGCCGCTTCAGCAGATGTTGTTTTCATCCAGATGGTAGAGATTCTAACCACCCTCCTTTGAGTCGCCATCTCTTTCTATTGCTAGCCTCTTCCTCTGCTGAGCCTGTGGCAGTTCCTCCTCCTGTTGGACCTGTGGCAAATTTCTCAAGCATGGCGCATAAAAGAGCTTACCGCTCCAGGCTCCCCTTGCCGTACCTGCAGCAACCACACACCACAATAAGATGACCGCCACGCTGAACATTGTGCCCAGGACCTTGAAGAACATGCTGGGCAGCTCTGTGCCAAAGGTTATGGTACTGATAGAGAACACGCCGAGAGGGAACGTGAACCCCCACCAACCCATGTTGAACGGGAACGGCCTCGCAGACCAGATGGCAGCCAGCGCAAACAGCATCCACACAATCCCGAACCCCCACATGACCAGCGCCACCAGCAAGCCCATCACATACAGCATATCGCCGGCGGCGGGGACGTGCGCGAGCACCTCTACCTGCGGCAGCAGCTCGCGCGCTACCCTGCCCTGGTAGAAGATGGTGTAGCCTCCCATGCCTAGCGGCCCCAGGGGCAGGAAGCTGCTCACGATGATCTCGCGCGGGGGCAGCTTGTGCAGGGCCAGGCGCTGGTAGTACATGACGAGCACGGCCATTGCGAAGGGCGTCGCCATCCCCCACATGACGTAGCTGGTGATCAATGTGCCCAGCGCGTGGTCAGGCAGGCCGATGTGAAGCAGCAGCTCGGCGACCTCGGCACCCGCGCCCGAGGCCACGATGGTCGCCGCGATGGGGAGCAGCTGGGCGGCCGTGATGCGGTCCAACTGGTTCTGGTGGCTCTCAGACATGAGTAGGAACATGAGGCTGACGGTCACGGCGAATGCCGCTACGCTGTCGATCATCCAGGCGACCCAGGCTAGGATCACAGACCAGTGGCCCCAGTACGGGCAGCAGAGGACGTACCAGCTCTCTACCAAGGTTGCAAAGCCCATGGGGATGGTGCCCAGGAAGAGGGAGTTCGTAGGATCGCGGATCATCACCGTCCATATCTCGGGGTAGACGACGTACCGCAAGATGGAGATGATTAGAGCGGTGGCGAAGATGATGATGTTGAGCACGAAGAATATTACCGATAGCCAATATAACCAGGTGGCCTGGAAGGGGATCGTGATGAGGAGCAGAGAAACAACACCTGTGCCCATCGTCGTGCTGAACCAAGAGGGGGAGAAGTTTCGGACGACGCGACGCCAGCCCCGATCATACTTGGAAACGAATTGGTTTCCTTCTGCGTCCGAAGTCATATCCAGGCCTTCAGTGTCGCCTGCTGGGTTGGAAACCTCCATGTGCCCATCCGAGTCATCGTTGCGGCTGTTTCGATTGCTGCCGGTGTTACTGCAGGAGGAACTAGGCTGTTTCTGGAGCTGCGAAGGTGCTGATATCGTGTCTGGTCGCTGGCCATGGTCTCTCTTGTAGCAGGTGTCAGGGCCATGGCTACTATACCTCGAGATTGCTGAGGTCATAGGCGCTGTCATGGCGGGATTGTTGGAGGCTACCCGCTCGAGTTCTTCCCCATCGCGCTCCATATTGGCCCGACCAGTACGGTTCCTCGATGCCATGCTCTCGAGATTTCTGTCGCGGTCCATGTTTGCCTTGATAGCATTTGAAAAACCTCCACGACGCTCATCATTGAAGATGTCAACAGATAGGTACTGGGCAGAGGAAGGCAGCCGTACTAGCCGCAGTAGCCGCAGTAGCGTCTCTATCGCCAACGGCCCCGGCGCTCGGTACCGCGACCCGTATGCTGGTCAGCGCCTGCCTTGCTAGTTTGATTAGTGAGTGATGAGTGGTAACCCCCTGGAAACATCCCTTGCGGGAGTATCTCTAGTACTACCAGGTAGCCTATGTGAGAGGTTGGAGCTGTGTCATAGCACTGCACTACCGCCAAAAGTGATGATATGACAGCGTTGCAGTGCAACCTTCATTAGACCTTAGTGCCTGTTCTTCATAAGACTCCACCAAAACTCTCTACACTTAACATCAATTCGACTTACAATCCATAGGGCAGACATATGGCAAGCCTGCGTTCAGGCCAGCCATAGTTTCTGTTCCCCATCAACACAAGGCCATCAGATTTGAGACCATCAAACGATTATTAAGAATAAAGAAACACGACTGCAGGCTATGTAAGGACAAAGTTCGCTCCATTAGCAACGTCGACCAGGTTCGGCCGCCTGCTCTCTCCCTGCTTCAAGCCAGAGCTGCTCCCTTTCTCGTCGACCGATCTCGCGACGTCATGCGTGCCCGTCAATCGCATGAAAAAGCCCATGTACTTGAGCAACATATCATGCGAGCGGACCCAATATTTCGGCCTGGCAAGGTCCTCGAGGGCCAGACTTCCATCCAGCCCAAGTGTGGTCGCCATCCCGAGCGTGAAACTGTCCTTGAGAGCCGCCAGCATAGCCAGGACCCTGAGAGGCGGGCTCGCTGCCTTGGTCGCTGGTGATGTGTCCTCTGCAGGGCCCAGAAGAGCACGCACGTTCGGCAGGTCGGCTCTGATGCCGTGCGGCGAGTTCAAGACCAGCTCGTGCTGCCTGTGCCCGTCATCGCTGTCGTGCGACCAGACTATACCCGTGGCGAAATTCAGCACGGCGTGACCTTTGAGCCGAAACACACTCAGCCATTGCGGGAGGGCGCCACCGGGGTGCAGAGACTGCCACCCTTCTTGCTCGCTGGCGGGGTCGAAGTCGTGCATGGTGGTGATGTTCTTGAAATGGTCCCAACTGCGCATCGTCGCGGCTGCCTCGGGCGTGGTCAAGACGGGAATGTCTGGATCAAATGTGACGAGGCTGGCCTGGTGCATGTGGTCGAGGTAATGGAAGTGTATGAATATCGCGTCAACCACGACCGTGTCTCTGGGGATGTTTGCGGCGTTGGTATTTGCAGCAGCATCCTCGATTTCTCGTGCGATATCGTCGACGCCGGCACCATCAGTTGCTGCGGCGGTATTGAGCAGCTCCAGCCCAAGGAACCATGTCGAGAGAACACTGATAGTGCCCTTGAGCCATGGGTCCATCACGATGTGATAGTATTTCTTGCCTAGTTGGGCCGGCTCCCCAGGCGTAGATGGCAAGGGAAAGGATAAGAGCCATGACTGATCACCATTTAGTGAGGTCAAGACAGGCCGAAGAGGCCCTGTTGAGCCGTCCAAATGCTGCCTCAAATTGCTAACTCTAGCAGACGACATGGTGACGAAACGTGATGACTTTTGAAGTGATAACGGGACGGACAGAACAATGAACGATTAGAAAGATGCTACACTAACACGAGAAGTGAATGCTATTATATGCTCACTAGGTAATGCCCCAGTGTTGGCCAGGCCAAGACAACGATCGAATCCTTCGCGTCCATTTGGCCGCAGTTGGTCGTTCAGCTCCCCGCTCCTCAGCACTATGAACCTCAGAATTCAATCCGGTCTTGTTCAAGTCATGGCCTGCACATCATGAACCAGGTTTGGGGCTGTTGAGCAGCCAGAGCAGAGGAGGGATCTAAGTTGGCTCAGTGTGCCTGCTGGACACACCACCTTGTAGACAGCACGTGGGCATCCCCTCATGACCATATCGAGACACACCTACGATTATTTGACCACGGTGTCGATTGCTGACCGAAGGGCCTTGACAAACCACGCACGCCTCTCGTTGTAGAGGCGCGAGATAACCCTTTCGTACTCATGTTCCTCTTTTGGAAAGCGCCCCGTCATGCACACAATAGATGTACGTTCAATCATTGCGACCCATCCCATACCTCGAAGGCGAGGGAAACGCCGCACCCAAGATTGTCCGCTGGATGTCTGATCTCCATTCTGTCCGAAAAACTTCAGCAGTCCTGGGCGTATCCAACAACCCAGAAGGGTCGAAGGAAGCACCTCGTGACGAATTTTGTGTTTTCGAGAATGTGATTATTTGCGTTGTTCAATTTATTTGGAAGAAGAAAAGACAAAGAGTAAAAATTTCGCAAAGAGCCGCCAAGTTTTTATGGTTGGCTAGGGCATGTGGGGCCCCCCTGTCTGCTTTGCGACTGCTTATCGATAAGCACAGCATGTAGAGCCCCCCGGTGCCAGCAAGCCAAGGACGCACATGAGGGACTCGTGAAGCCAAAGGACCACGGCTACCGAACCGACCAACGATTACAACGAACGGCGAGAGTTTCCCAACAACGCGATTCTCTGCACGTGTACAGCTCAGAATTTTCCTCCAAGGCTGCTCGGAGCCAATCTCTTCCTAGCCATGGCGAACGTGGTACAGATATTACCCAAGTTCCTTCTGCCACGGCTCAGCTGGACTGCTCCGGTGGGACAGACCTTCGCAAGAGCATCGGCTGCTTCAGCGCAGACGAACAATTATGGGCCGTGGCAACATGCAGCGAGGTCATTTCACGGCGAAGTAACACCTCTGAGAAGACCCATTGATGGATCTGTCCGACGAAATGTCTCTATGCAGCAACAGCTCCAGCAGTCCATTTTCCGGAGAGCCTTTCACGCTTCACCCACAAGACGAAGAGATCACCACTTCGACACGCTGAAGTTTGTCCAGCGGCTACAGAGCGAGGGCTTCACGGAGGAGCAATCCGTTGCCATGATGAAAGTTCTCAACGATGTTATTCAGGAAAGGTCAGCAGCACCCATCATCACTTTACCCCTCTCTATGTGCTGGACACCCCCCCCCCCCCCAAAAAAAAACATCGTCCGTGACAGGAGCACAAGCTGACGTCTTTGGTTCTTGCTTTGAATAGCATCCAGAACTTGACCCGCACAATGGTCCTGCGCGAGGACGCCGCGCGCGCCACCTACACGCAAAAGGTCGACTTCGCCAAGCTCCGCTCGGAGCTCCTGTCCGCCGACAGCACCGAGTCAAACGCCACGCGCGCCGCCCACGAGCGGCTGACCAACGACATCGCCAGGCTGAACAACCGGCTCAAGGACGAGATCGGGCGGACGCAGGCGAGCGTGCGCCTGGACCTGAATCTGGAGAAGGGCCGCATCAGGGAGGAGGCGGTGTCGCAGGAGCTGCGTATCAAGGAGACCGAGACCAAGATCGAGCAGGAGGCGGGTGGCCTGAGGCAGCAGCTGGAGCAGGTCAAGTTCCAGACCCTGCAGTGGCTGATTGGTGTTTGCACCGGTTTCGCAGCGCTGACACTTGGTGCTTGGCGGTTGTTGATGTGAGGAGGGATGTGTGGTGTGGAGGGGACTGGCGGATGCTAAGGTGTGGACAACGAGCTCTGAGAGGCATGTTTCTTTGGGATTAGCACAAGCTGACCAGAACGAAGTTATGTCTTGCTTGGCCGTCCTTTGGAAAGTACAGCTGACTGGCTGAGCAGGCTCGAATCACCACAATATCAAGGCGATGGATGAGCACTTATAGGCGATTTGTGCAGAGACACCATCGGCATACATTATACCCAAATCAAGAGAGATATGTTTTCCACATCAACGACTTGCCTGCACTTGTCAAGACATGCGGCCCATTACAGACGGTGCCGAATGAGACAGCGTGAACTTAATACAGCTCCTCCAGGACAGGCAGATTACATATTGCACTTGAGAGTAGAGCAAATCTGCAAATCACACAGGCACAGGAACACAAGCAAAGCGAATAGTCAAAGTGTGCAGCCAAAAGTAGGTATTCTTTTCCCTTGCTGCCGCCTTCTATCTGTGAGGCTAATAAATGTTTGCAAAAAACGTTCGACATGCCAGCCATCCCCCGTCGTTTCTCTCAAGACCATTGAAGGTCCCATCCATGGTGTTTTTGTTAACTGATGTTGATTTCAAAACGAGTTTTCTCACGAGTCGCCTTGCTGCAGGTAATGATATATTCACCAGACAGTCGTCCTTTGTTGTCCGCCCTACCGAATAACGCCAAGCTGCGTGATGGTATTGCGCGTGTGCTCGATGAGAGAAAAGGAAGAAGAGAAAAAATTTGTATGTATGCATGCGGATGGGACGAGGCGATGGCGTCGTAATGAGCATGTTGTCGAAGAAGTGAAAAGAACAGAAGACTTATCTTGTCGGGTTCCGCTCCATGTTGCCATGGGCTTCTCTCTCTCAAAGGCCCCATACAAACGACGAGGCCGAGGATAAGAGTGGCTGATGACGGATCGCAACCTACTCCTCGTTGAGGTAGTCAAGCAGGTTGCGAGCGGCGGTGTGCATAGCACCCAGGTCGCGGCGGGCCTGGGAGCAGGCACCGTCGTCGGCATTGCAGCGGGCGACCACATCGTCCATGCCGTCGCGCTTCCAGCAGCCCTCGCCGTGGAAGAGGCACCAGCGCGCCTCGACGTCCTCGGCGGAGCGCTTGGCAGGCGCCCAGCTCTCGATCTCGGTGACGATGGCCTCGGCGGCGCGGCGGGCGACGTCACAGGCCTCGCCGGGCTGGTTGCACGCGCGCTTGTCGGCGGCGGCGAAGTCGCGCTTGGAGGCGTAGCAGGTGCTGGAGCCCTCGAAGGGGCAGAAGGCGGCGGCGGCGGGGCTGGCGTCGCGGGTGGCCAGGCTGGTGGCGGCGCTGCTGCCCGCCTCCTCGGACCGCTTCCAGCACCCTTCGCCGTGGAACAGGCACCAGGGGGCGGCGTCGCGCTTCCAGCAGCCCTCGCCGTGGAAGAGGCACCACCTGCGGGTCGCGTCGCTGGCCTCGTCACGGGCCTGGAGGGCGGTCTCCTCGCGCTTCCAGCAGCCCTCGCCGTGGAACAGGCACCAGGGCTCGGCGTCGGCATCGCGCTTGGTGGTGGTTGAGTCATCGTCCGTGGAGATTGGGGCAGCGTCGGCGTCGGTGGGAGGAGGGCCAAAGGCGGTGATGTTGGCGTCGGGGCCGAAGTGTTCCAGGATGAAGAGCTGCTTCAGGAACTCAGGAGGCTCCGAGGTGCGGCCAGCCATCATGGTGGCGATGTCCTGCACGGCGCGCTTGGCATTGTAGGCCGCCCCACCGCGCATGTTGGAGATCTCAGCGGAGCGGGACTCGGGGATACCAGCGGCGCCACGGATAGCGTTGGCAAAGGCGTAGACGGCGCGCTTGACCTTCCAGCAGCCCTCACCGTGGAAGAGACACCAAGCCTCAGGGTCGGCCTCGGGGGCGGGGGCAGCCTCACGCTTCTCCTTCCAGCAACCTTCGCCGTGGAAGAGGCACCAAGGGTCGGCCTCAGGATCAGCGGCGGGGGCGGGGACAGGGGCAGCCTCGCGCTTCTCCTTCCAGCAGCCCTCGCCGTGGAAGAGACACCAGGCTTCGGGGTCGGCGACGGCCTCAGGCTCGGCCTCGCGCTTCCAGCAGCCTTCTCCGTGGAAGAGGCACCAGGGATCGGCCTCAGCCACAGGGGCGGCCTCGCGCTTGGCGACGATGGGGGCAGGGGCGGCGGCAACGTCACGCTTCCAACAGCCCTCGCCGTGGAAGAGGCACCATGGGTCGGCCTCACGCTTGTCCGCCAGCTCGGACACGACAGCCGCGTGGGCGGCGGCCACGGACACGGCCGCAACAATGATTGCGGTAAATCTCATGTTGTTTGATTTATGTTGGGTTCACAAAAGTCTTCTGAAAGAATGTAGAAGATCTGATTTTTGTTGTGTTTGAATCTCAAGAAAGAGAAGAGAGAGTGAAGGGGTGGTCAAGAGAAAGGAGTAACGATGACCGTTGTGTTACGCTCAACACTTGGTGATCCTTGACTGAAGGGTGATCGGGATGGAATTGAAGATTGACCTTCCGGTGAGAAGAGGAGAAAAGATGGGAGAGATTAGGCGGTACCATGGTGAAGACTTTATATCAACGAGGAGGGCCGTCCATTGATAGTGACTTTTTGACCATGATGTGTGTGGTGTTCTATTGAGGAACAATAAACCTCAACAGACCACCTTCTATTCAATAGAGACCCCACCGCCCGCCACCACCACCAACCACTATTGTTTCGACACTCTGCAGGTTCGATGGACTTCCTACAACACTCTATTGAAACCAGGTCTCAATAGGCAAAAGAAAAATAAGCGCTTTTGTCGAACTACGACGAACTTCGATTGGGAACTTGCCGTCACGTTCACCAACTGGCTTGTTGACGCCGTCTATTCAAAACCTGAATAGGAACATCATGCAGTAAAGGCCATGCAAGTCCAGAGGCGAGATCACAAAGACCTTCTTGGACAGAAAACAAGATAGTGAGGCGATGACGCTCTCAATTGAGCACTTGCGCGGCCGCTTCCATGGCTAGATCTCCTGCGACGGGGGGCATTGGCACTCAGCTCTGTGCCTCTCAAAAAGAAAATAATTGGAATTTTTTTTTTGTTTTTTTGGCATGCTTGGGACTTCGTCAAGGCTCGAATATTCTTTATTTGAAAGCAGGTAGTCTTGTCTTGCAAGGAACGGTCATTGGCTGAAATGGGGTTCTCTTGAAGTTCTATTCAAGTTCGAATTAGGCAAGACGTCGATCAAGGCCATTGGGGTGTGGGTCAGCCATTGAGGTTCGCACCAGCCGTCGCACACACTATGTTGCTAGCCTTAATGATTGAAAGGTAAGGAGGTAGCGTACGAATTCATGGACGGTTGGATGGAAATTTATGGGTACGATTTGAGTGTTGAAGGAGGCGACACGGCCACTTCATCGCGTGTGCGTGTCGAGGTAAGAATCAATCCTCAGCATTAGGCTGGTAATTATTTCATTTCAACCAAGAGCCAGTTCCACCCCTGGTTCATCATGTTGAGAAGATTTCCCTCGATCGTGATGATGGTTTGATATAGCTACCCATATACAAAACTCTTGTCCCAGAAGATGAACGGTCACCTGAACGGAAGGTGTGGTAGACATGGTACGATAAGGACGAAGCAGAGGACGAGGGGGAAGTATCCGAACCTGACAGCCAGCACAGTCCAACACAGGCTGAAGCACGACCGTACAAGTGAGATTAGTAGAAGATGTCTATATCGTTGTACACTCTACATGAACCATCTTTGCTAAACGTAACGAGACCCTACAAGGTCAGAGACCACTGCGAGGACAGCTCACCATCGGCCATTTTCGCAATTTAGTTGTCCACATAAAAGGCCTTCAGCAGCCTCTCAGCAAATAACGAAATGGCGAGCTTCCCACAGTCCAATACACCATCCATAGCAATAAAAGGATGCGGCTGCCCCCGCATGACCGTAACCCTCGTGTCCGTCCTGCCCGCCTGCACCAGCTTCTCTGCAAACTCCTCGCCCTCGGTCCGCAGCACATCCAGCTCGCCCAGCACAACTTCGGCCGCCGGCAGCTTGGCCCAGTCGCCTTTCCAGAACAGCGGGCTCGCCTCTGGGTGCGCCCAGGTCGCCTCGTCCGGCAGGTAGTGGCGGCGGTACCACATCATCTTGGGCGCGGGCAGGGCGGGCACGCACTCGTTCTCGCGCCAGGACAGCTTGGTCGCTGGTGTGGCGGTGTTGTCGGTCACGGGGACGGAGAGAAGCTGGGCAACAAAGGAGACGCCCAGGTCGAGCCTGTCGGCTGCTCGCTGGCACATGATGGCTGCGAGGTTCCCTCCCGCTGAGGAACCGCCTGTGGCGAGCTTGGTGGTGTCGATGTCGAGCAGGTCTCTGCCCGGTCCCTTGGTTGCCCATAGCACGGCTTCCCAGGAGTCCTCCACAGCGGCTGGGAAAGGGTCCTCGGGTGCGAGCCTGTGGTGTTCATGTTAGTTGGGGTGTTTCTTTCTAGTATCTTTTCCTGTTGGCCCACTCCCACCCCTTGTTCTGAAGGGAGAGGAGAGGATATTTAATCAGTTGGATGAATGAGCAAGTACATACCTGTAGTCCACGTTCACCACGACGCAGTTCGACCTTCCACACAGGTTCGTGGCGATCACGTTTTCTGTGGAGATGTCCCCCAGCACCCAACCACCACCGTGGAAATAAAAGAGACACGGCCACCCCTTCTCAGGCCTCTTGCCAGCAGGCGTGAATAGGCGGAGCTTGACATCTGGCCCTTTGCTCTCCGTGCGTGGGATGGAGACGTCCTGCGTCTTGGCGATTGGGTACATTGGTCCTCCGCCGGGGATGAGGGTGCCGCTGCTCCTGGACGCCTCGACGGGCTGGAGGTGGACCTGCTGCTTGTCTATGATGTGTTCATTGTAGAACTTGGCGTAGTCGAGGGCGAGACGAGGCACCACAGAAGGGTGGAGGGGGTAAGGAGGTTGCGGACTGGATGCTATGTCGCTCATGGTTGTTGACTAGTCAAATATGTTATCTGTATTCTTGAACAAAAAATAACGATAAAGTATAACTAGGATTTTTGTTGATTATAGAGTGGGAAAGTTGTGCGTGCCTGTGAGTGTGAAGATGATCAAGTCAATACAGCATTTGTGATAAGAACTCTATGAGTTAACATTAGAGCTCACTCCCATCAATATACTATGTAGAAAGAAGCCTGACTGACGTGTTCTACCTAATGTTACAACCCAGGTTGCGATGCCGGTGAAGAGAGCGGGTCTGCCGGTGTTGGTCTTGGCCGGAGGCCGAACCGGTGCCTGGATCCATCCATGTCACCTTGCATCGTTATGATCACCAGGCCCCAAGCAGACATGAGTAAGGAGGAGGATGGCACGGCGGGTCCCTCTCAAACCAAGTGACAAATCATCTTACCCCAGATAATCTTCACTACAATGGCTTGGTGAGATCTACAACCAGGACAGGAGGGTATCCTCGTCGAATCACGTTGCGCTGACTGTTACTGTTGGTAATGATTCGTCCTTATGAACTACAGGCTGACTATTATTTTCCTCTCTGGATTTTTAATTTCTGTAAGTGGTTGGACAAAAGTTGGCGACGCCTTGAGTGTAGAGAATGTGAATTTCTAAATGAACTCAGATAGAGCTCCTGCAGCGGCGCCGCTCTGGGATGCGATCTTGTCTAGCGTAGATCACGGGCAGAGCAGGTTGAGACATCGAGATCCATCTCAGCGCCAAACAAGGAGCCTGGCGTTGGACCTGATACCAACGCTATCGCTTTGACATCTTAATTGAGTGGATTACTAGTGCAGAAGTACCGTCTTCTGGCCTCCATTCAGAGATCTAACACAAGGAAAATACATGATTAAGATCAGTACATGCAGTGCATAACGTAGACTCTCGTCTCTGGGGAGGAGGCCATAAAAGAATAGAAACGAATAAAGAAATCAAAGTCGTATCAGCTAGACTGGCATGCATGTTCTCACCCGCTAACCATGGTCACGGATCTCCAGTGCAGTCTTGGCATGTCTTGACTCGGCGTCCCGCATCGACCCGACGCAAGATATTGATATATTACCTGTATTTTGAAATAATAGCGTCGGGTGCTACTGCGTTTTGCTGACCATCCCTCACGAGGAGGTACGGTTCTCGCACGGGATACTCGGCCGAGTAGCCTATGGGAAATAAAGTTTGATTTTCCCCTTCGGTTGGTTCAATTTTAGATGATCTCCCTCATGGAATTTTTCTCTCTTTTCTTCTTCCTTTTCCCTTGCTAGCTAATGCCGGATTGCTAACCATTCTTTATAATGAGAGGTAGAGTAACGTCCCTGGTCTCACGATCGTCCTACCTTTACTACCTAGACGGTCACCCTTGGTAAAAGAATGGGGGACAGGCAGTGGCTGACACTTGGTGAGGTACTTATCCAATTTATCACATGCCATATGTTCGTAGTAGTCATTACAAACTGCATATCAGGGTGTACTTATGGTTTCTCATGAAGGTGGCTCAACTTCTGCATCGTGTGACTGTGAACTGTGAGTGATTGATCTCGAGCCGCGAGGGTGAGTGGGGCTTGACTGGTTCCTCATCATGTATTGCCAGAGGAGGTTATGCAACTCAGAACAGTAGGGGTAGGTGCAGGGTGACGTAGAGTCGCGTGCTGTCACTGGCGATGGAGTGTTAGAATGGGAAAGGGCGATGTTATGCACCTAATTATGTGACCATGTCTATGTCATCGTCTTCATGGCTTTGGGTGACTGCTTATTACCTCCTTCACTTTATTCCAGCCTCTCGTGTATAAAAACAAACAATATTCGAGTGCTACTGCAAAAAAGGAAAACACCGAATTACCTACTTAAGTAATTTCACTCTGGAGTCTCGCCTTGGCCTTCCCATTGTGACTTGAATCTCTTGTTTACTACTTGACCAGGTACTCACCTCACCAACTGGACATCTACTACCCCCTCTCCAAAGTTTGTCACCATGCCTCAATCTCTGAAACCGGGCGTCTACGTCCCCACCCCAACCTTCTTCCACGACGATGCCGACGAGACCATCGATCTGGCCGCGACAGCCCGTCATGCTGTCCGTCTTGCCCAAGCCGGCGTGACAGGCCTAGCAGTGCAGGGCTCCAGTGGCGAGGCCGTCCACCTCTTGGACAAGGAGCGCGCCTCCATCACCCACGTAACCCGCACCGCCCTCGACGAGGCCGGCTTTACCTCTATGCCCATCATCGTCGGCACGGGAGCCCAGTCCACACGCCAGACCATCGCATTTTGCCAGCAGGCCGCCTTGGCACGCGGCGATGCCGTTCTCGTCCTCCCTCCAGCGTACTACAGCCGCTCTCATGATCACCAGACTTTTGTCCGCTTCTTCAAAGACGTGGCGGCCGCCAGCCCTTTGCCTGTCCTGGTGTATAACTACCCTGGCGCCACGGGTGGGCTCGATCTGTCGAGTGACGAGTTGGTTGCGCTGGGCGGGCCGAAACACCCCAATATTGTCGGGGCCAAGTTCACGTGTGGAAACACGGGGAAGCTGGGTCGCGTAGCCGCCACACTCGGCGATGAAAACTTTCTATGCTTTGCTGGCTCAGGCGACTTTCTCGTGCCGGCGCTGTCGGTTGGTGCCGCTGGCGTGATTGGTGGCATCGCCAATGTGGCTCCCAAGACCGTGGTGAAGGTGTACGAGGCGTTCAGGGACGGACGACTAAAAGAGGCACAGGAGATACAGAAGATACTTGGCCGAGGTGACTGGAACGCGATACAGTGGGGCATCCCTGGTATCAAGGCTTGTCTGCAGGAGTACGAGGGCTATGGGGGCTGGGGTCGGAAGCCGCTGGTTCGGCTGGAGGGGGAGGCTAAGAAGCTTGCACTGGCGGGCTTCAAGGAGCTGATGGACTTCGAAAAGTCTCTGTAAGCCTGTCTGGAAGAAAGCCATGAGATGAGGAGGACCGCTTGGGCATCTTGTTAAGGCGAATGCGTTGTGTTTTGTGGCGTTCTTTTCCTTATCATGGACGTTAGATATCCAATTATGATTTGATCTTTGACACTGCTTTGTAATTTCCTTGTGACCGTGGTCATGAGCGTTGAGCCGTTTCTAATCAGAATGCATATGTCATTATCCTGATCGTAGTCTTGTACTTCAACCCAATTCATCTTGAGGTTTGTCTTGGAAGCCCCCCGGCCGCCTTCAGAGCTTGGCTCTGGCACCAGCACCCACCGCGGCGACACACTCAATTTCCACATCTGTGCCACCAGGCAGCGTCTTGACGGCCACACATCTGTGTTTGTGAAGAGAGTGCTCAGTCATTTTGTCCATATAAATAATATTACTTCAGTGAGTATTTCAGGAAGGGTGGGAAAAGGAGAACGAAGAGAAATTAGACTCAACTCACGTCCGAGAGGGCTTGACACTGCCCCAGTACTGTTTGTACACTTCGTTCATCTGGTCAAAATCCTTCATATCGGCCAGGAACACATTGACCTTGACCACGTTGTCGATGTGGCTGCCTGCAGCCTCGAGCAACGCGGCCAGATTGCGGATCACTTGATGCTGAGTGGGAGTGCAGAGAAGGAGGTGTTAGTGAAGGCGTCATAATCATCAAGCAGCCTCCGGCTCCCCCCCCCCCCCCCCTCAAAGAAAAATAAGGCAAAAACAAAAGGGACAATAGTAAACTGATTGATATGAGCCAGATGAGACTGACTGATCATGGTCTATCACGTACTGTGCGTGCCTGGATATCTCCCTCGACCATCTTGCCCGTCTCGGGGCTCCGCGCGAGCTGCCCGCTGCAGAAGACGAAGCCACCTGACACGATGGCCGAGTTGAGGACACCCTCTCTTGGGGGAGGGGCCTTGTCTGAGTTGATGGCTGTCTTGATGGGCGACATGGTTGGTGGGATTTAATGTTGACTGGAGAGGCGGTTGTGATTATTCTTGAAACAATGATACTAACTGCCAAAAGAGGCAAATTTATTGGTTGGCCTGGTACTTTAGGAGGTAAATCCTGCACGACAAGCCTCACGATGAGAACAGTCAAGCGACAACTCGACCGTTACGGCAGTGGCTTCGGCCCCTATACCGGGCGTTGTGGGCCCTCCATCTGCCGGACGGACGTGGGCGGTAAATGCTACGACTGCCGGTTGTATTGCATAGCGAGTAATCAAATGATCCCGTCTAATAGTCTCAGGGGACTGACTGACTAGCTGCTGTCGTACTCGACAAATATTAATACGTAGTGGAATAACAGCGTGCTTGAGTAAAGCAAATTAGTCCTCATTGAATCCGTTTTATTCTCGTAGATGCCAGGAGACACCCCTGCCCAAAAAATAGAAACAGATTCATGTTTAAATATCCAACAAGATTCTCCAAACCCACATGCAGATAAACTCTATATCATGTAGTGCCACAGTAGATCTGGGGTTGCCACAGTGCTTGGCAGACCGTGTTTTTTTCTTTTTTACGCAGAGATAAGACGGGCTCCACCGGCCTGCAAGGAACCGACTTGGCAATGACTGCTGGGTATTATTGTGCTTTGCTGCTGAGTGATAGTAACCACACTCTGTACGCACAGTTCTTTGTAGGAATTCTCAGGGTCTTTAGTCAAGGCAACGTTTTATCATGATAAGACTTTAGTAAACACATAAACGAGTTTAGCATATAGGATAGTCTGCACTTTTGCTTGTTTAGGGCCTTATCCGGTCGTTGCATTCGGGCCTTCATAACCGACGTAGGAACCCATATCATTCTTAAAGATGCAGGCACCGGATCGGCTTCGATAACTGCTAGACCGGTGGTGCCTGTAGAGTGTAATCAAACCGATCATCTTAGTCACTGTGCTGCATATTCCCCCGCATGCTCACTCATCTTGATCCTCACCGTTGATCCTCACTCTCATCTTTTATTTTTCCCATTTCCGTCCTCCTGCCCTTTCTCATTTCATCTTCTTCACCATCTGAGGCTCCCATATTTCGTGCGGTAGCCTCGAGAACGATTATAGGCTGCCTCTCGTAGGCCCTCAATACCTCGGAGTCCTTTCCTCCGAAGCGAAACATGACCACTCGCTCAACAACAAAAGACGAGGCCGTCATGGAAGCTGGACCACTCCCCACCAAGGATATCGACGTCGGCGATGCTGAGAGCTCCACCAACGGCGAGGGCCATGTGGTGGCGGATACAGCCCGGGTCCTCGACCACGAGGCAGAGGTGAAGCTCTGCCGCAAGTTTGACATTCGGATCCTTCCTGTACTGGCTTGCATGTGTACGTGGCTCGTTCCCCTACTAATGGTAGTGGTATTATTGTCAATAAAAGAGATGACCAGTTATGACTGACTTCAGGAGAACCGATCTAGACCTCTTCAACGCTCTCGATAAGGGCAATCTGGGCAATGCAAAGACGGATGGCTTAACGGACGACCTGCACTTCAAGTCGAACCAGTACAACATCATTGTGTCTATCTTCTTCGTGCCCTACGTGCTCTGCGCGCCCCCCTTCGCCATGCTGGCCAAAAAGTACGGCGCGCAGCGGGCCCTGCCCGTCATGATGCTGGGCTTCGGGTCCATGACGCTCTTCATGGCGGCTGCCCAGAATTTTGGCGGCGTCTTTACCATCCGCTTCCTCCTGGGCATGGCTGAGGGTGCCTTTTTCCCGACCGTCATCTACTACCTGACCACCTTTTACCGCCGCGGCGAGCTCGCCCGCCGCCTGGCCCTCTTCTATGCCGCCAGCAACATCGCCAACGCCTTCAGCGGCCTCTTGGCCTTTGGCATTTTCCAGATTCAGAACTCGACCCTCGAGGCCTGGCGCTACCTGTTCCTCATCGAGGGTGCCGCCTCCGTGCTCTTCAGCGTGTTCGCCTTCTGGTATCTGCCCAAGTCCGCCTCCGAGGCCAAGTTCCTCAGCCCAGAGGAGAAGGAGCTTGCCTTCTTCCGTATCCAGACCGACTCCTCTTCCGTCGTCGCCGAGGCCTTCAACCTGCGCGACGCCCTCAAGATCTTCCGCTACCCGTCCACCTACGCCTTCCTGGCCGTCGAGGTGTGCCTGGGCGTGCCCCTGCAGTCCGTCTCTCTCTTCCTCCCGCAGATCGTCGCCGCCCTCAACTACTCCACCGTCAAGACAAACCTGTACACCGTGGCCCCCAACGTGACAGGCGCCGTGATGCTCCTCGTCCTGGCCTTCAGCTCCGACCTGCTCCGCGTGCGGTTCCCCTTCATCATCCTCGGCTTTGTCTTCACCTTTACGGGCTTCATCATCTACGCCTGCATCGACGACCTCGCCGCCCAGATCCACCTCGCCTACTACGCCACCTTCATGATGTGCTGGGGCACCTCGGCCCCGAGCGTCATCCTCTCCACCTGGTATAACAACAACGTCGCCCACGAGGGCCGCCGCATCACCCTCACCGCCGTCGGCGTCCCTCTTGCCAACCTCATGGGCCTGGTGAGCAGTAATATCTTTCTCGAAAAGGAGGCCCCCAAGTACGAGACTGCTCTGATTGTCACTGCTGTCTTTGGCGCGCTGGGGGCGTTGGTCACCGCGCTGACGGGGTTGTTCATGATCTGGGACAATGCGAGGCGGAATAAGAATGCTGGGGTCAAGATCGATGCGCGGGATGTGCCTACTATGAGGTTGAGAGATGGGCCTAGCTCGTCTGAGTTCAGGTGGTTCCTGTAGGGGCTTTTCTTGTTTTGATCTTGGTTTTGGTTGGTTCGTTATGATTTACACCACTATGAGCGGGAGCACGAGGATGAATCCGGACGACTAGGCATGGAGACGCTGTCTATTTTCTTGTCTACGTTGTTGTGTCTACCTAATAGACTCTTTTGCTATTTGACGAACTTCTATCATGTATAAATGTTGTATCGGCGCGAAATACTTCTGAACCTTGTCTATAGCCATGGTTATGGCTCGTCGTCCCCATCATCAGCTGGGCCATCATCCCGTAGCAACTCTCGCCGCTCAGAGGACCTGTCATCCTCCTGAGATTCGCCATGTTTCTCTTCAATGCCGAACAGGTATGCCATCTCCTCCAGCGTCTTGCCTCTTGTTTCCACTGCAACAGACTATCGTCAGTACTTTCACACTGCAGGGGTTTTCTTTCAGTTTCCTTGACTTACCAAGGAAGTATCGCACAAACAAGAAAGCGAGGACGTTGATGGCGGCTAATATGATATACAAGCCCCAGGAGATGGATGTCATGATGGGCGGGGTGACCTGGGCAACAATAAAGTTGGAAATCCAGAGCGACGCGGTGCATAGGGCGTTGCCTTTTGCCTAGAAAGCTGAGTTAACAAAAGAAATCCACAAGCAAACAAAAGCTACGCAGCTCCTACTACGATTACTATTACTCACCCTCAGCGAGATCGGAAAGATCTCCGCCGCATATGTCCAAGAGCCCGAGCTCCAGGACATATTAAACGAAGTGAAAAACAAGAATGGAAACGCGATAATGGCATAGTTCCGCGGGTCGCCAGGGTGGCTCTCGGCATGCCGCTGCAGCAGCGCTATCCCGAGCAGCGCGGTGAACATGCCGACCAGCCCCAGCTGCAGCCAGGTCTTCCTGCCCAGCCGGTCGAAGAAGAAGATGGGAATCCAGGCAGAGAGGAACAGCACGACGCCCACACCGCTGGTGGCCAGGTTGGCAATGTTAGGGTCGGTGATGCCACCGTTGCGGAACAGCTGGGGTGTGTAGTAGAAGATGGCGTTGGTTCCTGTGATCTGCTGCAGGAACTGGACGCCCGCGCCCAGCAGGGTGACGCGCAGTACAGGTGGGCGGAACATGTCGGCCCAGGCGGCGCCGGCCAGCGCTTCGTCTGCCTGCTCTTCGGACACAGTCTCGCGGATCTCACGCATCTCGACCTCAGCGGCCTCTGTCCCGTGTAGCCTAGTCAGCACCTCCAGCGCGCAGTCGTAGCGCCCCTGAGCCACAAGCCAGCGTGGGCTCGGCGGCACCCAGCTGCTCCGCCAGCAGCCTACGGCCATCAGCACCGCAGGAAACACCTGTATGAACAGAGGGATGCGCCACCAGCTGTCGGACGGCAGAAAGAAGCAGGCGTAGTCGACAAAGAAGACGACCATCTCGGCGAAACACAGGATCATCAGCTCGATACCCACGATCCGGCCTCTTAGGCTCGCCGGGCTAATTTCGCTGACGTACAGTGGCACGCCGGCCGCGAAGGCGCCTATGCCCAGGCCGATGACGAAGCGTCCCAGCGTCATTTGCTCGAGGGTGTTCGATGCGGCCTGCACCAGGGCTCCCAGGATGGTGATGACACTGGCCACAGATAAAGTCCTCTCTCGCCCGTAGACATCAGCCAGATTCCCGACGAAGAGCGCGCCCAGAGCACATGAGATGTTGTATACGCTGATTACGAAGCCCACAGCCCAGTCGGAGGAGGGCTGCATGAGTGCGATCCAGCGCTTGTCAGCAATGATCATGCCCATGGCGCCCTGGTTCCAGCCAAAGAGGAACCCGCCCAGAGACACAAAGGCAGTGAGAGAGTAGACATAGCGCAGGTTTGGTGGGCGTGTGTGGCTTGGGTCGATGTTCTTGGGAGGTCTGATGGGTTTAGACTGTTTGAGGGGACTGAAGACTGCCATCGATCAAGGGTGAGCTGTTGCGCTGGGCCTGCAACGACAGCAGCTCGAGGTAATGATGGTGAGATCCCGAACGGAGGGAGGAAGCGAGGGAGGGACGAAGAGGTTTGTGATGGTGTGATGTCGTGGCGTATCGAATGTGGCGTCCAGTACTGAGTCGAGTCGTTGAGAGAGGGTTTGATGAGAAGAACGGAGGAAGTGATGTGAGTGAGGAGGATGTGACTTCAGCAATCAACGATGTTGTCGTCAGTTGCCACGAAGCCCCATGTCCAAGCGCTAGACCGCCTAAACTGCCACTATCCGATAGGGGTTTTGCTGGGGCTGACTTAGACTTGCTCAGGTGGACCTTTCCCCAGAGCGGGGGTGGTACTAGGGGAGACAGGGGCCCTACAGCACTGATCATGTGGGGCGAACAGCAGGTCAATTGGAACCAAATAAATTCCCAAGCCACCCCCCAAATCAACTCTTGAGGGTGGTGTTTGATGTTGATGTCTTTACTTGAGCCAACGACATTACCACCCCCCTCCTTATCCGTGGTGGTCTCGTTAACGTGTCAAGGGATTGTGGTATTCTGTTCTGTCTTGTATTACGTTTTTCTCTCTCTTCCTTCTATTTTGTCTTTGCCCCTTCATGTCACTGTCTCATCAGACGTTGCTTCAAAAACCTTTAGCGACAAGGGCAGGTTGCAACTCTTGCCGAGCCAGCCTTGTCGCCTCAACGTCTTTTCAAGTCAGCCTCTCCTACTCCAGATGAGACTTTGGGGTTCTAGAAAAGCCCAAGTTAGGCATGTTCTTGCGAATATGGGAGTCATGATGTACAGTCGCACAGCTGTGTTGTACAGCCGCGGTTCAAGCATGACGTCGTGCTGATCATGGCTGTCCACGGCTATGAGTGCCACAATCAGCCTTGATTAGATGAGATGAGACAAAGAACACAATGGCTCTAATCGGTTTCTTTTGGGTGAGTATGTGTGTGTGTGTGTGTGAGAGAGAGAGAGAGAGAGAGAGAGAGAGAGAGAGAGCATTGGTTCCGCTATTCTGGCTGAAGTCAGCTTGAAGGCAATGAGAGCCCTCCATTGGTTTCCTATGGGCTTGGCTCACAAAAGAATGAGCGTTTTCATATTGAATTAATCAAACCGCTCTTATTCACATACACTTATTGCTGAAATAGCCTGAATTCTATGGAGTACCGATGGTGACTAAAATATCAAGTCGCGAGGCTCCTCCCCAGCACGGCTTATAGTCTTCAACCGACTTGCCCTCGCATCATGTTCAGCCTTAAAGTTCGTGTATTGAGTTCTTCCCGAGCCTAGTCCAAGATATTCGCCATCAGTAAGTATGACGCTGCTGTCGCTGAGATTCACCTTTCAGTTCGGCCTGGCAGCTGTCGTCTGCGGGGCTGTCGTCAAGAACGGATCAACATGCACCGTCACGCCGCTCAACACAGGAAACACCAGCGATGACACGCCCCAGATCTTGCAGGCCTTCCAGCAGTGCGGCAAGGACGCTTTCATCAACTTTCTCGAAGGAACGTATAATATCCGCCAGGTCATGGACACGACCACCCTCGAGAACTGTGACATCTCCATCTACGGCACGTTCTTGTGGAGTGCCGACAACCTGCAGTACTGGATCGCAAACTCCCTGCCTGTCGTCTACGATGGGGTCACCACGGCCTGGAGGCTCGGCGGTACCAACGTCACTATGAGAGGCTTCGGGAAGGCGCTCTTTAACGGCAACGGCCAGGCCTGGATCGACGCCAACCGCGACGGGAGCAACATGAAGGGCAGGCCCATCTCTTTGACCATCTGGGAGGGTACGAATATCCTTGTGGATGGCATCACCTGGCGCCAGGCACAATTCTGGCACACCTTTGTCGCGCACAGCCAGAACGTGACTATGACGAATCTCGATATGTCCACGACATCGGATTCTCAGTGGTCGGCGGTCAATACGGATGGTTTTGATAGCTGGAACTCTGCAGATGTGACGCTTGCGAATTGGACAGTGACATCTGGTGATGTAAGTTGCTCAACACAGAGAAACAAATCATTATAATGCATAGGGCAAAATCAAGCAAGGAAAAGAAGACAGTAAAGAACCAGAAGGATACTGATTCAAGCCTGGGCTCAGGATTGCATCGCCGTCAAGGGAAACAGCACCAACATCTCTGTAAAAAACGTCACCTGCTATGAGAGCGGCTGCACGACCATCGGCTCTGTGGGGAACAACGCCGTCGACTTCGTAGACAACGTTCTCTTCGAGGACATCCGCTGCATCCACAGCTCCAACGCCGCCTGGATCAAGACGTACCCGGCCCAGAGCGGCCACGTCAACAACGTCACCTTCCGCAACTATGAGATTCAGGACGTCAACCAGCCCATCTACGTCACCAGCTGCATCTACAGCTACACAAACTGCGACAGCTCGCGGCTACCCATCACCGACATCACTTGGGAGAACATCACGGGCACGAGCCAGTACGATGTCGCTGCCGCTCTGCACTGCAGCTCTGCCGCGCCGTGTCAGGATCTTAGTTTCAGTGGAATCAATATCACGGCACCAGGAGGGGGCCAAGAAAAAGTGTTGTGCTCCAATATTGCCAACCAAGCGACTTCGGGTCTGGATTGCACGGGGACTTGTCCAGGGAGCTGGCCGCAGCAGTTGTCTGGAAACCAGTGAAATGGCACCGAGCAAAGGGCTTGATATTAGCAACATGGTGGCCTGTTTTGAGAATAGGAAGCACTATTGTGTATCATGGTACAGAAAAATGCTATTTCCACGTATTAAAACAAAAAGGGAAAAGGCTTGGAAGCAAAATGTTGCTTATGTGCCGCGCCAGAGACGTCCTAGAAGCGGCTGGCAGGCCCATTCGAACGCAAGGCCTATAGAAATTAGACCCGACGGAGGAATAGGAGAAAAGCTCCGAAGAAGGCGGTGGCGTAAAGATCGGTCCCGGCCCGCAAGAGGACATGTGGCCTTCACATGCCGGATCCTACCGCTTTTTACATACACACACAGAGCCCTGCAGGTCAGACGACTTAGGCTCAGGACACAAAATTTGTGCACCAGACCCCCGAATTGTGCAGGGCAAAATTGTCTTACAGATAACATAATTACACACCCTACTACATAGTAGCTTAGGGACGAGGTATTTTGCTTACATCTTTCGCTGTACAGGAACTCGTCGACTTCCTGGAAAGGACAGTTACATCTCTTCGAGCCCATGTAGAATGACACTTGTTGATACGCAAGTGTGCAAGTCATGCCAGGAAAGGCCAAGACCAAAAGATTAGTTGTTCCCCACCCACAACCTGAAACACCATGCTTGGGTCTATTTAGAAAGTTGGACGAGCTGCTGAGGATAGTGCAGATGCCTCGGTGGTGCTAAGAAGGGCCAATTATTTCCAAGTCTGGACCGTTTGGTGTCTGCACTTCGAGCCAGTAGTCCAAAAAATGTGACGGGCCTACTGTACGATATGTAACGATGCTGACGATTCTGGCCATGCAGGAACCCGGGGTTCCTATATTCCGTGCTGCTGGCGCCGTTGTCCTGCATATCAAGTCAAGTTGTATTGGCGCTAGCGATGCCGACTGGGGAACCAAAGTGCCAAAATACATAGGTACCAATCACTCTCAAGTCCGGCTTGCATGTGTGTGCTGTATCAAATAGTAGGGTTGCATTCTGGCCCATTCTGCTCCCCTCCAACGCACATGGCACATTCCCACTACTGTGTGACCTCTCCTGCCATTTGCGTACCCAACTCTGACTATGATAAGGCACCATCATGTGCGCTTGCTGCAATGGGCGTTTTGTAACGTTACGATATCTAGAGGGAGAGGAGAAATCTTTCGCACTCCGGCCGGACCAAAAAAGATACCCTGACATTTATTGTGGCATTCCAAGGCACTTTGGCAGTGAAGGGATGCCCGAAGGGGTCTTACTGGTATTTTGATTTTATGACTAGACAAGGTATAGCTGGAGGAGGGGAAGTGATTCATTCACTGCATCTCCCTTGGTACCTTTGCGCATGCGTGATCTCGGAAGATGGCCCCAATATAGCCCAGTGTTAGGAATGCGTTGCTTTCAGCTGACGGGTTGCTACATCCGCAGTTTTCCCCTCGCTCTCTCTCTCTTCTTTCCATTCATCCACGCACTGTCTTGTATCTTGGACAGCTAATGTACAAGCTATCGATACACAGACTTCGACTAGAAACGTGCCAATATACCAAAAGAGGAAGTTCTAAAGGCGGCCTCCTCCATCGCGACCCCGAGGACGGCCGAAGGGGTGAGATATCAGTGCTTTTTAGGCTCACGGCTTTTGACAGATGTCACGATGCCGCACTCGTGGTGTGCACACTGGACACATCAAGATCCATGCCGCCGGTGCGACAGATCAAAATGTGACCCATGTCTCAGATCGTGATTCGCGAACCAGATGCTATTGCCGCACACCAGCGTGGCGCGCCGGGTGGTTCATGGCTTATCTGGAGACAGAGTCAGCCGGATACCGGGAAAGTCAAGAGGCTCTTTTTTTGATGTCTTGAGGCCACGCAATGCAAGGGATACAACCATCCAAAGCGAGTAGTCGAGTCGTGAATTTGCCCACTAAATCTCCTCTGTGCAGCCTGACTTGACCATGACATATGTTCCCCGTTCTCTTTTAGAGAAAGGGAGTGCTGAGAATTTCTTCCGAGTATATAGTAGATGATATCTCCTCTCCTAGATGCGTTCTGATCCCGAGCCAAAGGACTAGTCTGTGGCTCCTCATACTGTTGCTTTCATTCCACTGTGCATTTATTGTTGTGCTGTACATACTGCTCGCTGGTCGTGTGTCATCATGTTTACTACACTTGCAAGTCTTGTTTCCTTGGCCGGCGTCGTCTCTGCTGTAGGACAGAACGTCGTATATTGGGGTCAGAATGGCGGTGGTACTATCGAGAACAATGATCTCTCGACGTATTGCACTTCCACATCCGGCATAGACATTCTGGTGCTGGCCTTCCTGTGTAAGTCCGCAGAATCTTGACTACTCGTTGGAGAGAAAAAGAAAGAAAAAAACATTAAAAAAAGACGCGGCTGACGAAAGAGGTGCTTAGATGAGTTTGGGATCTCCACTGGTGATATCCCTTCAGGCACGATTGGACAGAGCTGTTTCATCTCCTCGTCCAACGGCGAGGGCCAGGACTGCGATGCTCTCGCAGCGGCAATCTCCACGTGCCAGGATGCTGGTGTCACGATCATCTTGTCCATTGGAGGTGCCTCCGGCTCATACTCGCTTGAGAACGATGCCCAAGCGGAAGTGATTGGGCAGTATCTCTGGGACTCGTATGGTATGTTTTAACATGTGTAACTGTTTGATTGAGTGCCGGACCCTTGCTTACCGAGAGATTGAATTTACAGGAAACTCTGGAAACACCACAGTCGAGCGGCCGTTCGGTGATGTCTTCGTCAATGGGTTCGACTTTGATATTGGTGAGTAATATTTAGTTACATTTTGCTTTATGTTCTTAGCCCCTGGCTACAAAAGTTGTCAAATCTAGCGATGTAGCATTTTGAGGCGCACCAATGTTGTGCTCGTGGCACGTGTCTCAAAACATTCAACGCCACTGTCGTTTCTCCGGTTTCATACTGATAGATATTTTGACTCAGAACTTAACGATGGGTATTCGCAATACTACCCTGCTGTAAGTACCTTGCCACTTCCGAAGCTAGCCTCTCCATACTATGATACATGTTGGACATGGTTTGCTGACAAAACCTCGCAGATGATCTCGACGCTCCGGGCCAACTTTGAAACCGATCCCGACAATACCTATTATATCACCGGAGCGCCACAATGTCCAATTCCGGAACCGAACAGTTAGTCGTTCCCATGCTTACTTGCACCTCCTCATGTTCTTTTTGTCAGTATCGATAGGAAGGGACTGTACTCCTGACACTCTTATACTACGACTAGTGGGAGTCATCATCGGCAACGCCACCTTCGACTACCTCTGGGTGCAGTGGTACAATAACAATAACTATAGCGCCGACCCTTGCGCACTACCATTCAATGGAAACGCACCCTTCAACTGTAAGAAACTTGAATGTACCTATGTTCATTTCGTTTGGGCTGATCACTTACTTGTTTTGCTAGACGACGACTGGGTTAGCTACACGGCCACAACACCCTCTGCTGACGCTGAAATCTTGTGAGCGACCCTTCTGTTCAGACACGAACACAAGCCACCAATACGATCTGCGTACCTGCAGTAGTGGCCTCCAATACAAGATTAATGGTATACTAACTTTTAATGTGCGCAGCATCGGCGTCCCAGCTGCCCCTCTCGCCGCCAACGGAGGCACCGCCGGCGAGACGTACTATATCACGCCCGACCAGCTCGCCGAGCTCATCGACGAGTATGAGGACGCAACCCGCTTCGGCGGCATCATGATGTGGTCGGCCGGCTTCTCGGACTCCAACGTGAACGACGGGTGCACATACGCCCAGGAGGCGCACGCCATCCTCGAGTACGGCAGCCCGTGCGCGAACGGGCCCAGCAGCGTGTCGATCGCCACCACTGCGCCGCTGACGACACTGACTACCTCAACCACCACCAGCGTGCCTGTGACGGGAGTGACGACGACAACGACTACTGCCGCCTCGGGGACTGGCACCCCGCTGGCGGAGTGGGCGCAGTGTGGTGGAGAGGGTTACACTGGTTCGACTTACTGTGAAAGCCCTTACTCTTGTGTGTGCACCAGCGTGTGGTGGTGTCAGTGTGAGTAAGGTATCAAGCTGGTCTTGTCGGCTCTGAAGGGGGTTTCTCTCCCCCTCCTTTTTATTATTATTATTTGATGTTCATCTGTATATCTTTTCCATTTCATCTTCGATTTATCTTTCTACCATGTATATATTTACTACAACATTTCACGTCATTCGTTATTACGAGCTATGTACTACAGGGCTCAGAAGTAGATACCCATTCCCTGCGAAGGAATGTTATATCAATTTTGATTTTTACAAGTATGCAATTTTTCTTCTTCGCTTGTATGATATTATCATGGCTTTGCTGCCAATATTGATAAACACAACGTCGGATTCAATAGAGATGTGATCTTTCCAAAGCCACAGCAAAGGCTGTGCCTGTCTTTGATATTGTAACGATACATGTTGATTATCATGAGCCCTAATAAAACTCCTCGATTTGGTAGGTGCGCAGGGAACCAAGATGATCGGGAGCGAGCATAATTATGGGTTGGTAGAGCCGCTTCTTTATTTGATGCCTAAATGAGCTACCACCCCACAAAAGTCAGCCTCGCCTCCTTCGATCCTTTGCCGCAGGGCTCATTTGTGTCAAGATCGGCAGGCTCACTGCTAGGCATCCTTATTTTGTCCGGCTTACTATGTGGAAGTGGTACTAGCACGGCCCACCCAACCAGTTATGCATGGTAATAAACTTATTGGCGACTTTTTAGTGTATGCACTATATCATCTTGTGGTCGATCCTGCACAGCCGCGAATTGAGCCCCCGACAGCAGATAAGAACGTGCTTTCTTCTGTGAGAGAAAGAGAGAGAGAGAAGAGAGAGAGAAAGAGAGATGCTTACTTTATTATGCTGACTGGGAAAGCGCCTGCGCCACAATCATCATTCGGCATTTCTCTACTTAAAAGTATTATTCCGCTGCTGTGTTGACACGATATTTTACCTTTTCCACGACAAGCTGACAGAAAACTCCATTGCTACCACACACACACCTCGCATTTCAACCAAAATGCCACCCGCATATCGCAAGACGGGCGCAGACCTGGACATCCAGATCGATGACAATGGGCGCCTGTTTCGACCAGGCGACTTCATCACAGGTCGTGTCTCAAGGCGATCGCACATGGTCTCTCCGATGTCGACAGTCGAGGTAAAACTCCGAGGTCGAGCCAAGGTCAAACTGGGCAAGACAAGATACAACGGACAGTCAAGCCACACAACTTATTATCGCGGCCGCTTCAACTTTTTTGGCAATGAGACTCGGCAGCACCTTTACCACGGACCCGTTCATGTTCCTCAGGAAGGACCTGGGGAGTCGTGGGAGTTCGCCATCCAGATCCCATTGCATGCATCCCCCGAGGTCCTCCTGGGTGGGCACCGCGATGCCGACAGCAGCTTTCTATCTCTCAACAAGTACACCGTTACTTCGACACCACTGCCGAGTACTTTCTACGACAGAGGACGTCAACTCAGTACAAAATATGAGACCTACGTCGAGTATTCTCTCGAAGCTTCACTCGTACAACAAGGCAGCCACGGCGCATCATACACGGCTACTTTTCTCATCCCAATCCGAGCCCTATCTCTTCCTCAGGGACGAGACCTGCCTGCACTGACAAAACGTTCACTGCCTGGTCGAGTCGTCTCACAGCGGCTCGTCCCCGGTATGGAGGATGTGGACCTCAGTTTCAAACAAAAAACCCAGAAATTCTTCCACTCGTCCAAGGTCCCGTACTTGGGACTGGTGGCCGAAATGACCTGTCTAGGAGGTATACAGCTGGGTGCACAGGTCTCCCTCAAGTTCAAGATTCGGCCGGATCGTCGCAATACCAGCGAGGTGATTCATGGTGTGCCTCAGACGGCTGTTGTTACCGAATTCGAGCTCGTTCTGAAGGCACGCACCCAAGTCGTCGCCCCAGGCACCTGGCATCCATGTGAGTATCTCCTGCTGTGCCCTCTCTGGTAATTGTCTTGTTATTTACTTGCTATCTCTTCGAAGGATGGCATGTCAGAATTTTTGTTGACCAGTACAATCTCAACAGACGAGGCCAATGACGACGTGAAACATCGTATAATCCTCCCTCGCGTATGCCCACCTATGGCAAGTCCGGTCTCAGCGAGATCGAAGGATTCCACCAACGATGAGACTAACCTGCCGGCTTACTGTGAAAACGAGTCTCTCTCTGTGCCAACCGAGAAATCCGATCCCCCTTCATATAATACCACCAGACATCCTTCAAGGTCATCCCAGGAGGAAGCAGGCCCTTCAACCGTCAGCACAGACTCGAAGACGGCAAACGACTTGCATGCGGTACTTCTCATGAAGATCGAGTGGGATCCAAAGGCAAGTGACCCGGTCGATGTTGGGTCACTCTTCGACTTGCGCATTCATTCCAGGTACGCCACGGCATTGGGAAAACGAGTCTCAGAAAGTGGGCAGAGTGCGATATATCCAAGTTTTACGACTTGGTGTATTAAACATGATCACATCCTCGAATACAAGATGAAGGTCTTGATTGCTGGAGAGTTGGTTAAGTTCGAAGGGCAAACACCAGTGGTGGTGCTTGCCCCAGCTGATACATAAGGTGTGGGAAAAAGAAATTACTTCTATTACTCTGAGACTTCAGTCTGGTTATTGTACAAGCAGGTGCTATGGTCAAAGCAGTGTTAAAGAAAAAAGAAAAAAAGCGAGTATTCACAATTCTTCCTTTTCACGTCTTTTTTTTTTTTTTTTTAGAACTTCCAAGTAAGGTTTGTATGGACCATACACTTTGCAAGGAGGAAATGTGCCTGTTGTCTCTCGAGGACAGCGACTTTAGTTTGTTGGAATGGAGCCATAACTGCTACTTATTAATCACTCTTTACACCCCATCATTCAGCCCTTCTCGCCTTACTCTTTCTCGTGGGCGACTTATACGGAGAAGTGACCGATTGCTTTGGTCACACGGTACACAATTTCGGTGTAAGTACTTAATTATGACAACAATTGCGAGAGCGAAGATCATCTTATGTCTCCGGTTGAGCCGATTATATAACACATCAGACCTATGATGTGGTGTATAGATACGTAATATTTTCCTAACCACAGTACATGTGCATACGTATGACAGGGAAAAATGCTACCACATAGTTGTACTTGCGGCGCCGTCCGCTCAATACGGGGAACCACTGCATCCGGAACGATTCTGCAGGTATAATCGAAGGGCGCTTTTTTGTGAGTCAAATACAAGACAACGACCAGACCGATCTCGGCCATGTTCACAACACGACCCACATCTCGTTCTTTTGTTCATTGCATGATTAAATAAAAGAATAGAAATCCAAGATCAACAAGACATTCATGCGTCCAGACATCAGTAATACTTACCTACCCCCTTATACGTTCTTGACGACGCAGGAAAAGCAAGAAACATGGCGTCGTACCCATCTATCCAATCCATCCAGGCCAGCCCGGAGCTTCTCCGCACCCTGCAGGACCTACACGCCCAAGCCCTGGCCGAGGAAGCCTACGTGAGCACCAGCGGGCCCGCATCCCTCGCCGTCGACAAGTTCGTCGCGCTCGACCCGGACAAGTGCGCCGCCGTCTACCTGCTCCTCCGCAGCACCGGCGCGCGCCACGTCGTCGAGGCCGGCACGAGCTTTGGGCTGAGCACCATCTACCTCGCGCTGGCGGTGGGACAGAACGTGGGCGGGGACGCGAGCAAGGGACGGGTCGTGGCCACGGAGCACGAGGCCAGCAAGGCGCGTCAGGCGCGGGCGCACTGGGCGCGGGCGGGGGCTGAGGTGGAGCCGTTTGTTGAGCTGCGGGAAGGGGATCTTCTCGAGACTTTGAAGAGCGACTTGCCTGATGAGGTGGATTTCCTGCTTCTGGATAGTATGTACTGTGTTCCTTTGTTTGTTTTTTCTCTTTTTCTTTCCCTCGTGGTTTGGGTTCGTATCGTGATCACGGTGTGCTGATACAAAAGAGAGCAGTCTGGACACCTTTGGCTCTGCCGACGTTGAAGTTGGTACAGCCTCGACTGAAGAAGGGGGCGATGATTATTGCGGACAATGTAGAGGCTGCAAAGGCTGGTTATCGTGACCTGCTGGAGTACGTCAGCAACCCGGAGAATGGGTTCAGGACCATGAATCTTCCTTTCTCCGGCGGTCTGCAGCTGATCGTTCGGATTTAGAAAGTATTCTACAGCTACCGTACTTGTGCAGTCATCCTCTGATTTCTCCACAAAATTTGGGTAATAACAATAGGAAGCGTCTCCTCCTCCTCCCCTCCCCTCTCCGCCCGCTTTTTGACTCTGGTCTGTGGAGATTTTGATCCCCAGGGACCCAGATTCCCCCACCAAGAATCTGGGGAAGAAGCCTGGAACTGTAGAATTTAGGGTCACATCCGGGTTCATCCCACTGGATTTTCTGGGCGTGTTGGGTCCACTACCGAGAAGATCGACGGGCACATTTGCCTCCTACATTATTAGGAGTAAACGCAGGTAAGATGCGCTCCAGTCGGATTACAGGCCAGCTTCGTAGAGGCTTGAATAATTCCCGTCAGCCAAAAACAAACCGTTGCTATCACCGGTCGGCTTGTCCTGATCCAGAAAGCCGCTCTGGTGATAATGACGTTGTGTCCGGCGGAATGGAGAGTGGTCGGTTAACATGTAGGAGGCTTACGCGCGTGAAGACAGTGCATGATATTTACCCTCTTTGCTTTATAATTACTGGGCAATGGCCTGTTGTTTGATCTTTGCACTTCACCAAAGCTTGCCATATCCTTCTCGAATGATGAGATCTGGTTTCCTTTCTTGTCTCTTCATGTTGGCCGTGTCAAACGTGTGATCATGATTCAGACCAATTGGTTCGGCAGCGGCTTCAAGCTGCGAGTCGCCATCACAGTCGCCTGTCAAATGGTATGTGTGTTCTTTAATTGAGCTGTGTTTGTCTGTCCTAGGTTACGTGAGCCAACCCAGTGTTGTTGACCACCATCAACAGGCATTCGTACTTTTCGGCTACGATCAAGGTGTATTCTCTGGCATTGTTGGGAATGAGGACTGGCTCGAGACCTTTGGGTACCCAGGCAGCGCCCTCGAAGGCATCATCGTCTCCATCTACAACCTGGGCGCCTTCTCGGGCTGCATCCTGGCCTTCATCATCTGCGAGAAGACTGGGAGACGGCTTGCCATGTGGATAGCAATGTCCTTCATTATAGTCAGTATACAACTGCACTGCACATACAAACAAGATGAGGAGGCAGAGAAACTGGATGGTTCGGCTGACTTTACCCTTGCTATTTTTTTCAACAGGTCGGAGCTGCCCTTCAAGCCTCAGCGTTTACCATCCCACATATGATGATAGCGCGATACATCACTGGCATCGGCACCGGGATCGAGACCAGTACGGTGCCAATGTACCAGTCCGAGCTGTGCGAGGCATCTAAAAGAGGCCGCCTGGTCTCTTCTGAGCCGTTGTTTGTGGGTGTCGGGATCGAAATTGCGTATTGGTTCGACTACGGCATGAGCTTTGTGTTGAGCCCCGCCTCTGTCGCCTGGAGGCTACCGATCGCATGTCAGATGATATTTGCATTTGTACGAGCCCTTTTATTCCTCCAGACTTGTATTCAATATCATTTTTTCCGTACTATTCGGCTGACAATAAGATCAATCAGGTCGTCATCATTCTGGTATTTGGCCTACCTGAATCCCCACGCTATCTTTATGCCATGGGAAGACACGACGAGGCCCTGGCCGTCCTTTGCAAGGTGTACGAGAAGCCCCCCGACGACCCCAAGATCGTCAAAGAACGACAAGAGATTTTGGAGGTTCTTAACATGGAAAAGGGTCAAGGCGAGTATCGATGGTCGCAGCTCTTCAAGCGCGACGAGGTGCAGACTGGACGAAGGGTCCTGCTCGCCTACGGCATGCAATTTATGAACCAGATGGGCGGCATCAACCTGGTCGTCTACTACATCACCTCAGTATTGCAGTACAACGTCGGCCTCTCGAGAAACCTGTCTCTCCTCCTGGGCGGCGTGATCAATGCCATGTTCTTCATAGGGTCTCTGTTCCCGACCTTTTTTCTGGATCGATATGGTCGACGAAAACCAATGATGTGGGGCTCATTTGGCTTGGGTGTTTGCATGATGATGATTGCTATCCTGCTCAGCTTCCAGGACCAGGGAGGGCAGATAGCCAAGAACACGTCTTCGGCCAGCGTTGCTTTCTTCTTCCTCTACATGGTCAGTTATAAATCACTACCCTTGGCTATTACAAACTTACGCACCCATAACTTCGAACTACTCTTTGGGACAGCAAAATCACTGACCACCATCATTCGACCAGCTCATCTTCGGCGGAACCGCAAACTGCATCCCCTGGGTATACGTGCCCGAGATTCTTCCTCTCCACGTGCGCGCCAAGGGCACCGCTGTCGGCATCTCCAGCAACTGGCTTTGGAACTTCTTCGTCGTCATGGTCACCCCGACACTCCTGACCAACCTGAAGTGGAAGGGCTACCTCATCTTCATGTGCCTCAACTTCACGTTCGTGCCCCTCGTGTACTTTTGCTACCCGGAGACTAGCAATCTCACGCTGGAGGAGATCGACTGGTTGTTCCTGGAGAAGCATGCCGTCAAGACTAGTAGGAAGGTGGCTAAGCATGGGTGGGGCGAGGATAACCCGTGGCATAGGAGGGAGACACGCGTATCTATGCCGGTAAAAGAGACTGATCATGGGGTTGAAAATGTCGAATAGTGGGGATGTGGTTGAGATGAGATTGTTGTTAAAAGGGAACGAGATCCAACAAGATGACATGAATCACTGTATTTCGTGCTGAAGACCCTATTCTTCTATAAATTACTCAGATCTAAACTTCACTCATGCCATAGTAAGGTCTTTGTGAGAAAATTAGCACTCCAAGGCTGTTGTGAATTACTCTGCTTGACTTTTTGAGAAATGCTTACTTTTATCATAGAAGTCTCAAATCTGGCCCTATCGCGTTAAAGACGACTTCTGTATTTCCTTTGTCTGCGAGAACCAAATCTCGTACCGTGTCACGGCTTTTATGTTCCGTCAAAGTCATGAGGGTCTTCGTGCCAAGGTCTCCCAGCCTGAGTTCCAGCGGCATGATAGCGCGCACATGTCTCTGTAATTCCTCCAGATACTCCTGTTTAGTTACAAGTAAACACACGAAAGCTCGAGATGGTGACACAAAGTAACCCCCGGGGTGATGCTTTTGTTGAAGACACATCTTATTGGCCATGTACACCTTACCAGTTGCAAAACAGAAACCGATGCGAGACATAGAAGTTGTAAAGGTTGAGCACAATGAGCGGAAGTGGGTTGTACCACGGAAATCCATGCAAAAGTCTGTAGGTGACGGCACTGAACATGCCGCCCAGGATGAGGATCGTCCAGATCCAGCACAGAATCCGCATGTTGCGGTACTTGTTGCTCTTGTGGGCCTTCGTGTCGCCAGATGCAGCCCACAGGAGCTCGATCCCGAAGAGCCGGTCCTTGATGGCGGTCAGGTAGGCATACGACTGGATCAACATGACGTGCTGCACGTTCATGCCGTAGGAGGCCTTGGCCCAGAAGCGGAAGACGAGCAGGCCGTAGAGGATCGAGGGGATCGCGAAAGCGAGGTTGTAGTACTTGAACCACTCGGGACGGAACCACAGGAGCAGAATGCCTGGGATCGGTGAGATGAAGATGCCGAGAGACACAGCCGAGTAGTAAAGGAAGCCTGGTGCACAGTTGATTACATCACATTGGTTAATAAGTACGTTGTTCGCTGAAAAGGCGCCAACATTTTAAGGGGCTACATACCGCATAAGTAGCAGAGTTTCTGCACCAAAGTCAAGTTGGACACCCAGAAGTGTCCGTTGGTGAGGAGAGTGGTGCTGCCACGAGCCCATCTCATCTGCTGCGAGAAGAAGGATCTCGGTGTAGGCGGGCAGACACCAGTAGCAAGGCAGAGAGGGATGTAGCGGACTTTCCAGCCCCTATCGACGGCACCGAAGCTAAACAATTCAAGGAGAACACTGTCAGAAACAGAGTCGTCATAGGTAAAACGTTTCTCTTTCGTAATTTCATTGACTTACCCAGTGTGCACATCCTCAGAAAACCCAATCTCGGCCGTACCGCCCACTTCCTCCAGCGCGGCTCGTCGGTACATGGCATTGCTGCCGACGCAGATACTGGCGCCCCAGCGGTTTCGGTTGACCTGCACCACGCGGTAGAAGAGTTCCTGCGTGGCTCCGGCACCCTGCTCAACCCACGTCTGCTCGTCCGTGACGCGGAAGAACTGGGGACTCTGCACGATGGCAGTCTTATCGTCGTCGAGGTGCTCGACAATCAGCTCGCGAAGCAAGTCTGGCCGAGGGCAGAAGTCCGCATCAAAGATGACGAAGAAATCTCCATCGGTTCTAGTAAATGCCCATCGAAGATTGCCTGCTTTCTTCAAGCGGGGTCGGTCGTCTCGGACGATGTAGTTGAAGCCGTACTGCTCTGCCAAATTGCGTACTGTGTCTTTTGCGCCGTCGTCAAGGACGTGCACTTTGATCTTGCTCGCAGGCCAGTCGAGCTGCATGACGTGGCGCCAGGTGTTGTCGAGAATCTCGAGCTCTTCGGCGCAGACAGGTAGGAAGATGTCAATGCTTGGTGCAGTCTCTTCGGTTATGGGGTACTGTTTGGTGCGTTGCTGGTGCGCCTTGTAGTCCCAGTCCTTGCCGACGATGCCGACCCAGTAGCTGATGAGGAGGTAGATGTTGAGAAAGGCAACAAATACGCCGTACCAGTAGAAAGGAGCGGCGCAGAGGGAGAAAAGCCACATGCCCGCCCCCAGAGAGAGGAAGGAGAAGATGCCAAAGATATACAAGGGAATGCGATTGGTATGCAGATAAGACAGCTTCTCGTCATCGGTAGGGCAACTCGGCAGGACGAGAGGAGGCTCCTGGATAGGACAGTACGTCTTGCGGATCCAGTTATTCACCAGCTTGAAGGGGTTTCGAGACTTGTAGGTATCGCCCTTGGGTTCGTGCTGTGGGAAGTTGGTTGGTTGTGAGTTGTCTGCCTCCTGTTTATCCTCAGTGGTAACAACGCCTCTGCCTGGATCGGATTCTGGATCGGTATCTTGGGCATTGATTGGCTTCTCGTTTTGGACTTCGCCCTCATGACTTGTCTGTGGCTGTATAGTAGGTGCAGGCAGTGCTGGGGTCTTGGAGTAGTCAGTAGAACACTTCAGCTTTGAAGAAGAGGTCAAACTAACAATTTCGAGATCGCTTGCACTCGCTGGCATCGAAGAGTCTTCATGAGGGCCAGAAAAGGCCAACTGCATAGGGAGAGCACCAGTCACCACTGGGTCATCAGAGGCCTGGGGGATCTGTTAGTGATAAGCGTGCTGGCACAGAAACACGAGAACCTTACAACTGAGGTGTTTGATGGGAGACTGGGTGGGGAACCAAGTGAGCCCTCAAAATCAGAGGCCTCAAATGGGTCTGTAGTTTGACCAGCAGGCTTTGAGACAGTTGGCGAACCCATCTCTTCAATAGTAGGATAACTCAAGAGGGAAAAAGCCTTGGTAATCAAATGATATGCAGTAGAGAGAAAGCGAACCAAAAAGAAGAAAAAAAGCAGGAAAAGTAATGAAATCGAAAGTCTGTTATGATTTGACAGATGCTTGGTGTTGTAAATCGATGAAGCTTGTTAAAACTCGTCACTTGTAACAACCTATAATTCAAGATGCTTCAATAACAAGACTGTGAACAGACTTGCTGAGTTTCCAAAGTGATAAACAGTGAATGAGGTGACATGCAGAAAATGAATGCAGATTCATCACCACATGCATGAATGGCCATAAATAGTATTAGGCACCATGAAAAATACCTCTAAATTCAAAAAGTGCAGAAGGACAGGCTGAAAGCCAAGTAGGATCTAATAAGTTATTTGCAATCTGATCATCGAACCTGAAAGTTTAACAAAATGAACATCAAGTCCCTCTCAGGTCCCACCACATAGTTCACAGTGCCTCCTCCATGGTGACTATTCATGCGCTGCAAAAGCTTAGTACTGTCCATTTACAACATAATTCTTGAGTAATTAGAATGATCATGTTAGAGAATATCTCATTCTCTACCTGTTCCTGAAATGCGGAAAGGTTGACCGTAACTTCCATCTTCTCAGAGGAGAATAAACCCTACACCGTAAAGTACCACTAGTAACATGAGATTGGCATCTTAAAGCATATTAGGCACAAGAGCATGCTAAGGAATGCAGGTGCTACAACATTGATCTCGGGAGACGGCATGATGCTACAATCCATCTCGGATGATAGCATCAACACGAATGGCTTCATGTTCGCAGAATGCAGGAAGACTGAAGAAAAGTGGCGGTCGGACTGCGCATATTCCGGGTGGCTTAAGTTGATGCGTGTGTCGGCGTGGACAAACGTGGCGAAATCAAGCCAACGGACAGCTGAAGGAGGACAACATCTAAATGGAATGGAAATGCGAGAGTTTACACGATGTCCAGGTAGTGGTAAAGTAAAAGGTTGACGATTAAGTCATCATGGCTTGTAGTGACCATAACAAAATGGTAACTGATATCGGGTCTAAGGTCCGGACAAACTTCATATGAGAGTCAACGGAGCATAACTACTTCATTTCCGAAGGGACAAAGCCACTGTCCTAGCTAACAGCCACGAAGATGCAAAGCAGAGAGGAAGACGCCATGTACATCCACACCGATCCAACTTTTGCCCTGACCGCCTGACCTTTCTTCGAATCTACACTGCTTTGCGGACTCGCTGGGCTGGTGGGGCTCGCGCACTTTTCGCCCACGGGATCCAGCTCAAGCTTGGGCGGCTCTCCATCCCACGCTGTCATTGTGAAATTAGCCGCGCTGAACGTTACGTTGGCCTGAGAATGATATGCCTCGGAACCGAACTCGACGAGCCCAAGACAGGCATCAGCAGGCACGAGCTGGTTCCGCCAAAGGTACTGCAGCAGCGGTGAGATGTCCTCGTTGAAGCTCGTCTCGTCGGATGGTGAAACCCATGTAAAGACACTGGCGCCTCGGGAGTTTTGGCCCACATAAAGCGTGCTTGTAACAGTGTTCCTGGTTAGTTATTGTTGCAACACGGTATGTTGATGTGACGGGGTTCCATGTCTGCGGCTTGTTGTGTGACCGGTGACACGACAGGCTCCCCTTCTCCAAGATTGGTGCAAGCCGAGACCATGCACCTAGCAGCGCATGCTCGGCCGAGTTTTTGGTCAAGTCCACACGAGGGTGGGCGGAGAGGGACAAGATTGTAAAGGGATGGGGGTACACAAAAGCTCAGGGACCAGCTGGACTGGGCTGGAATGAAGGATGCCTGAGGTCTGACTGGGATGACTGCCGGACAAAGCTGTGGAAAAATCTCAACTTACAAATCGTAATGGCCCAACTGCTGCGTGTAACAGGTGGCGTTCTCGGTGTTGTATCCCAGCGGGTAAGGACTGCCAATACGCCCGATCCAGATCATCATCTCGTAGGCCGCAGCCGTGGCGGACGTAGAGTTTTCCTTGTCCACATCGAGGAACATGTCGAAGGCGACGTTGGCCTTGGCTTTGACATTGTTCAGCCCGCTTGTGTCGACGCCAGTCCGCGCCGAGAGGTCACGAACCGTCGAGATCGTCCCAGGGGACATTGCCCATCCTGCAACCAAGCGAAGCCCCGAGAGATTGGACAGGGGCACGGGTAGGTTGTCCGAAGAAAGTGTGACGTGGGGGTATGAATGGACGGTGTAGGCATCGACTGGCCAGTGCCAAGTGGCGTCGAAACCAGCGAGGGTAGTCGAGTCTCCATTGACGACCTGGTAACATACGAGACGCAGTCGTCTTCTATTAGCACATGATATCTAGCCTGCTCGTCTCCTTTGCCAAGAGGAAATGTCTCATAGGCGTGGAACATTCTTTTCGCTCTGGTCTGGCTTCGGGACATTGAGGGGAAAGGGAAAGAATAGGAGAGGAAAGGACAGTTTCCGAACTTACAGAGAGACATTGAAACCCGCCACTTTCGGGGTTCCAAGCATCAGAGCTGTCTAAAATTTTCGTGGTGAGCTTCATTCAAAGTCCGAATGTGCGAAAAACAAACGAGTCCAAAGATAAGGGGCGTTCTTGCTTACATGAGAAGCCAGAATTGCCCGCGTATGCATTCTGGCCACATATAGTAGCATCGTAGCCATCAGATGGCTGAGAAGAGGAGCTTTCTGACAAGGAGAGGGACTGTGGCTGGCTAGCTTTTGCTCCGTAGAGGAAAAGCAGGAAGCTAGTGGTAGTGGTGAGGAATGGAGTAGACCTCATGTTGGGCCAATGTCAAACCAAGACTGAAAAGATGGACCAAAGTGATAATAGGCACACCGATAGTAGCAAGCCGTAGGTTAAAACTGGGGAGAGTAGAAGACTGAAGTCGAATAATATGTCAAGTGGCTTGAACATGCAGAAAGTATGTGGGGACAGGGTGATGAAAGCGACTAGATCATGGCTGTTCAGCAAGTAGTCACAGGTACAATAAGGATGTATAGACGCACAGACGAAAGATAAGTGAGTGACCATTGACCCTATTACAGATCTGAAGATTACTTGTGAACGTTGGAAGTACAATCTTTGTGTTCTAATCTCTGCCATGAATCTGTACACTGTGCATTGCACTGAATAGTACCTGAGCCATGAAGGATGAATACAGCTTTGTCACCTGGTCAAAGTATATTTGAAGTTGGCACTTTAAAGTACTAAACTTCAATAGTAGAAGATCGTTACTTGCAGTATTCACAAATGGGTTATGATCTTCCAATGAGGCAATGATGGCCTTGGGAAGTGGCTCTTATAAGAGGAAGGATGTTCATTGATAAATAGGTTGTCCATCTTGTGAAGCAACAGCTAACCCAAGTAGGCGTAGATAAGAAGCATCTACGAATAAAGTGCATGAATTAAACATTACTGCAACTGGTTCACACCACAACTTTCCTTAAAATCAGCTCACCAGGTCATTGTTCCACTTCACCTGCAACTAGTCCAAGTCCAGCTGCCATGCAGTACAAATATAAAAGTCTATATGCTGGCTGATAGATTCAACACATGACAGCTGGAACTATCGTGATTTGATCATCGAAAAGCTGCAGGTTTTAAGACTCGGAACTTTACGCTTATCAATCTGCCACAAGGACATCTTTGTTCTTGTTTGGACTCACTCATCTATTCTTGGCACTTATGCTTTCCATTTGATCATGACAACATTCCCGGTATTGATCGATATCCCACAGATGACGCGGAACACGAGCATGGAGCCCTTGACGGCTTCCAGCTCTTCTGCGTCAGACAAATGTGGTTCAGATGCTGCCACACCAGCTACGTCGTCCTCTAGCTCGCGTGTCGAGTCTCCTGAGCGCAAGGCTGACGACGTCGTGACACGACACACTCGCTCTGATACAGTCACTGCTGTACCATCCACGCCGTCTGTGAAGAGCATCTGCTTTGTTGGTGCAGGGTTCGTTGGTACGCAATTTTGCTCGGAAACCCTATGCGAATTGCTGGAAAAAAATCCGTCGTTGACTGACTCTATATTGTGTGTGTATGTGTTTCAGGAGGTCCAACCGCAGCATTGATTGCATACCACAACCCGCATATCACAGTCAACGTAGTCGATCTCAACGCCCAGCGCATCGCAGCATGGAACTCGAATCACCTGCCCATTCACGAGAACGGCCTTCCAAAGATTGTCCGTATTGCTCGCGACGGGACCAAGGCCACCACAGTGACTTTGCCTGCGCCCGAGTCGAGGAACTCGATTCACATCCTCGCCAGGAAACCCAACCTGTTCTTCTCATGCAATGTCAATACTTGTATCAGCGAGGCAGACATCATCTTCATCTGCGTCAACACACCAACCAAGATGTATGGTGTCGGTGCTGGCGCCAGCGCTGACCTCTGTGCTCTCGAAGCGGCCACGAGGACCATCGCGACGCACGCCAGGGACGGCGCCGTGGTCGTTGAGAAGAGCACAGTGCCGTGTGGAACGGCAACGATCATCTCAAACATTGTAAGTCCAGTCTCCCGAGGTCTCATCTGCAAGTCGCACCCACAATCATGACGCGGCCGTAATGCAGCTTCTGTCTCTGCGCACATGCAGAACATGCACACCTACCCGCAACATGTCTCGGTCTTCACCCGAGACAAGTACAAGAATCGAAAGAAAACCACCACGGTAGCAAACAAAGATTTTGCTGACTGCTTCACAAACAGCTCCGTCAGCACCGTCCCGACGCATCCTTCGAGGTCCTCTCCAACCCAGAATTCCTCGCCGAGGGCTCCGCCGTCGCCAACCTCACCAACCCCGACCGCATCCTCATCGGCAGCCAGCCCAACAACCCTTCAGGCCGCCAGGCCGCCGCGTCCCTGCAGGCCATCTACGCGTCCTGGATCCCCACGGACCGCATCCTGACCGTCAACACCTTCTCGTCTGAGCTGGCCAAGCTCGTCGCCAACGCGATGCTGGCGCAGCGCATCAGCAGCATCAACGCCGTCAGCGCGCTGTGCGAGGAGCTCGGCGCCGATGTGGACGAGGTCAGCCGCGCGCTCGGGGCGGACGCGAGGATCGGGCCCAGATTCCTGCATGCCGGTGTTGGGTTCGGCGGGAGCTGTTTTGAGAAGGATATCCTGAACCTTGCGTACCTGGCGCGCTGTCTGCACCTGGACGAGGTGGCTGAGTACTGGACCAGCGTGCTGGCGATCAACAAGTACCAGCGGGAGAGGTTTGCCAGTGCGGTGATCGGTAGACTGAACGGGACCTTGCGGGGCAAGAAGGTGGCCGTGTTTGGATTTGCTTTCAAGGATGGCACGAATGACACGCGCAACAGTGTTGCCGTGCATGTCATTGAGAAGCTGGTGGCTGAGCTGCCGCGAGAGGTGGCTATCTTCGACCCAGGCTGTGTTCCGGACGAGATCAAAGAGGAGATGAAGCGGGCCATGGAGGACAAGTCTGAGACGGCTCGCATGAAAGTCACGAATGGATGGAGGGAGGCAGTCGACGGCGCCTCAGCTGTCTGCATCCTGACGCAGTGGGATCAATTCCGCGGCCCACGTGCATCAGCCATCGCTTCCAAGAACCACACTGCGTTAATCCCCCACAACGACAACTATTTTTCAAGCCTCTTTTGCGAGGCGTCCAGCAAAGAGTACAGTGAGGTGGACATCAGCGTTCTCGAGCAGGAGGTGGCCAACAGCCGCGCGGCTGGCACGGCACACTCCGATGACCCATTGGAACGCCTGCTGCCCTTGGATGCATGCAAATCAGGCTGTCCACACTGCCAGAGAACGCTGGAATTGTCTGGCAACGATGATTTCGTTGATTGGGAGGCTGTCTCGGCCATGATGGAAGACCACAGCTGGATCTTTGACGGCCGCAATGTAGTCGATGGCCAGTACCTTAGATCACTTGGTTTCCAAGTTCACAGCATCGGTAAAGGGCTATGATTATCACGACATGGGGTTGCCTCCATGACATCGATGTCTGAGTTGGTCGAGTCCCTTTGCTCCATTAGGACCATCTAAACTGAATACAAATAGACATTCTGTCATCGTATTGTGCGACCACATCAGACCCAATGACATAAAAGGAAACCGACGCTCTAGAACATGCAGAAAGAGAAGTGAGTATGTCTCTGCAAACAGCGTAGAATCTACAGATCAATGTAAAATGTGGGACACGAAATTTTCGGGATGAATGCTGCAAGTCATGATACTACCACTACCATGATACAGTGCCCGAGGCCCGGGGGGGGGGGGGGGGGGCACAAAAATTAGGGAACATTTCGGAGACACATTCCAGGGAAACTGATAAACGAAAGGTTTAATTGATCCTTGACCGTAACTCCTTGTACTGTACTAATCGAATTTACACAAGTTGTTGAATTTTTCTCCCCTTTGATCATATCTTCTGCATGGCCTGCATAAAAGGAAGGGCTGGAGAAATTCCACTTTCCATGAGTGTTGCCTGTCCAACCACAGAAAAAAGAACAGCAAGGCTTAGATGTTTACATGAGGCAGTGAGCCCAGTCCATCATCTTGCGTAGCGCACTCCTCACGCCGCCGTGGAAAAAAAAAAGGGGGGGGGAATCTAGAGCACAGGAAAGAGTGTCTTTCTCTTCAACACACTTGGCAACGAACCAAAAGCTCTCGACTCGCTAGCCTGATGCCCAGGCTTGGATTAGCCCTTGACGATCTTGCAGACCAAATCCGTTCCGTCGACGGAGTCGCCCTCGCGGACCTGGAGTCCCGAGACCTTGCCGTTGTGGGGGGCGGTAATGGACATTTCCTAGTTGCGTTCAACTCATGTTAGTTTTGATCAGTGGTTTGTCATGTCACATGTGACGGGGTATGGCACTTTAAGCAGCATCTGTCGAAGCGGGGAACAACTCACCATCTTCATAGCGCTCAGCACAGCAAGCGGATCTCCCTTCTTGACGTCCGAGCCCTCGTGCACGCGGAGCTCCACCAGGACACCGGCCATCGGGGCACCGACCTGGCTAGAGTCGGACGGGTCGGCCTTGGGCCTGGTGACGTTCTCGACAGAGGCCTTCTTGTCGTCGGTGGTGACCTGGCGCACTTCTCCATTGACCTCCCAGAACACCTCACGCTGGCCAGTGTGCTCGCTCAGCGGTCCCACGGCCAGCTGCTTGAGAATCAGCACCTTGCCCTTCTCCAGCTCCACGTGGAACTCCTCGCCAATCTCCGTCTTGGCCAGGAACTTCTGTGTCTGCAGCACCGACAAGTCGCCGTACTTCTGCGTGAACTTCTTGTAGTCCTCGAACACCTTCGGGTACATGACGTACGAGGCGACGTCGCACTCGTCGACAGTGCCGTACTTGCTGCCCAGCTCCTTGCGGACCTTGGCAAAGTCCACAGGCTCCAGGTACAGACCAGGGCGCTTGTCCATCTTCCTGCGGCCGCGGAGGGCGTCTGTGCGAAGAGGCTCAGGGAAGCCTCCGTACGGCTGACCCATGAGGCCTTCGAAGAACTCCAGGACAGAGCCGGGGAAGTCAAGCTCCTTGGCTCGGGCCTTGACATCCTCAGGGCTAAGCTTGTTCGACACCATGAACTGAGCAAGGTCACCGACAACCTTGGAAGTCGGGGTGACCTTGACAATGTCGCCGAGAAGGTCATTGGCGTGCTCATAGGCCTTCTTGGTCTCGAGCCACTGCGAGCCTAGACCGAGCTGCTGGGCCTGGAACATCATGTTGGTGAGCTGACCGCCAGGGATTTCGTGCTCGTACACCTCAGGATCGGGTCCGGTAAGATGGGCCTCGAAGGGCGAGTACAGCAGGCGCAGCTGTTGCCAGTAGGTGTCGAGGGCACGAACGTGGTGGACATTCAGGCCAGGATCGAGGTTGGTGCCCTCGAGACATGCGAGCAGAGCATTAATGCTGGGCTGAGAAGTCATACCGGACATGCTGTCACTGCAGGCGTCCACAGCATCCGCACCAGCCTCGGCGCAAGCAACCATGGAGGTGACGCCCGTACCAGCCGAGTCGTGGGTGTGAACGTGGATGGGCAGGTCAGGATACTTCTTGCGGATGGAGCCGATCAGCTGCTTGGCAGCATAAGGCTTCAGGACACCCGCCATGTCCTTGATACCGAGGACGTGGATGTTCAGCTTGACAAGCTTGTCGACCAGGTCCAGGTAGTACGGCAGGTTGTATTTCTTGGCGGGGTTCTGATGAAAAAAGAGTTAGTAACGCGAAAGGTAAAAGGCACAGAGAGGAGCCCAAGGAAGGCTCTAGGGGAGAGATGGACCAATGTCAACTTACAAGGAAATCACCGCTGTAGCAGACAGTGCCTTCGACCACACCACCAGCCTTGTGGACAGCCTTAATACCGACCTCGAGCTGATCGATATCGTTCAGAGCATCAAAGACACGGAAAATATCAACACCGTTGTCCTTGGCCTGCTTGACGAAGTGCTCAATGGCATTGTCGGGCAGAGATGCGTAGGCAACTCCGTTGGCACCACGGAGAAGCATCTGGAACGGGATGTTGGGGATCAGCTTGCGCATCCTGCGCAGCCTATCCCAAGGGTCCTCGTAAAGGAAGCGCATGGCCACGTCGAAAGTGGCTCCTCCCCAACACTCCAGACTGTAGAGGTTGGAGAGGGCGTGGCTGGTCTCCTTGGCGATGTTGCACAGGTCCACGGTGCGCACACGTGTAGCGAGCAGGGACTGGTGCGCATCTCTCCAGGTGGTGTCCATTAGAAGACAGCCCTTGTACTGACGAACAGCTTTCGCGAAGGCTTCGGGGCCCTGCTCCACGATGATGTTGCGCCAGCCCTTGGTGCATGGCGATGAGACATCCAGCTTCTTTCCGGCATCGTCCAGAAGCTCCGGCAGGATGATGTCGCCTTTGAACTTGGGGTCGCCAATCTGACCCTTGATACTGCTGCCGTTAACAAGGAGATCACTCAGGTAGGCCAGCAGCTTCTGGGCGCGGTTCTGCGAGCCGATGAGGTCGAAGAGCTGGGGGGTATCATCGATGAAAGTGGTCCAGCAGTTGCCGTCAATAAAGGTTGGGTGGTTGAGGAGGGAAAGGAGGAAAGGAATGTTTGTCTTGACACCACGGATGCGGAACTCGACAAGGGCACGCAGAACCTTTCGGCGGGCAATCTCATATGTGGAGCCATGGCAGGTACACTTGACCAACATGGAGTCATAGTATGGGGTAATGACGGCACCAGCAAAGCCGTTTCCACCGTCGAGACGGACACCGTTGCCACCAGCAGACCGGTAGACCTCGATTCGGCCCGTGTCCGGCTGGAAGTTCTTGGCGGGATCCTCGGTGGTGATACGGCACTGGATGGCGAAGCCTCGAGTCGAGATGCGGTCCTGGGTCAGGCCGAGCTGCGCAAGCGTGGCGCCGGCGGCGATCTGGATCTGGGCGGCCACGATATCGATACCCGTGATCTCCTCAGTAATTGTGTGCTCAACCTGGATACGAGGGTTGATCTCGATGAAGTAGTACCGGTTCTGCTGGTCGACCAGGAACTCGGCGGTGCCCGCATTGCGATAGTTGACTGACTTTGCCAGCCGGACGGCGTCGTTCAGGATGGCGTCGCGCACATCGACCGGCAGGTCCTTGGCCGGGGCAATCTCGACGACTTTCTGGTGTCTGCGCTGGACGGAGCAGTCACGCTCGTACAGGTGCACCAGGTTTCCGTGGTTGTCTCCGAGCAGCTGGACCTCGATGTGCTTGGGCTTGTCCAGGAACCGCTCGACAAAGACGGTTCCGTTGCCAAAGGCAGACTTGGCCTCGGATGTGGCCCGCTCAAAGGACTCCTGGAGTGACTCGCCATCGCGGACGACGCGCATTCCACGACCACCACCTCCGTAGGCGGCCTTGATGATGACAGGGAAGCCATACTTGTCCGTAAAGGCCTGAACCTCCTCGAACTTCTCCACAGCGCCCTCGGTTCCAGGGACGACAGGGACGTTGGCAGCGATGGCGAGCTTCCGGGCCGAGACCTTGTCGCCCAACCCGTCGATCACATCAGGGGAGGGTCCAATGAACTATTTCACAGGCAGAAAAGCATCAGCTAGGCCCTCATTGGTGCAAAGTAACCGAGGTTGCATACATGGCCGGCTACAGCCGGGCGCGATGGCAACAGCAACAACAAGAGAAAAAAAAACAAGGGGAAAACCAAAAGTAAACACTCACAATAAGGCCAGCCTTCTCGACATTGCGGGCGAACTCGGCATTCTCGGACAAGAAACCGTAACCTTCCGAGCGTGTTAGCGTTTCGAGTCTCGTCGCGGACACCAGAAGTATCACGCCGTGGAGCCTCAGATGTTCGGACTATACTGACCAGGGTGGATCATCTGCGCGCCATGCTCCTTTGCGATCTTGATAATCTCATCGCCAGCCAGATAAGCGCCCACAGGCTTGTACTGTCCTCGCTTGCCAATGACGTAAGCCTCGTCGGCCTCTGTTTACCAGCACAACCACAACGGTCAGTATTTGGGTATAGCTCGTTTTTGTTGGGAGGGGAGGAAGGGGGTTGGGTCGTACTTTGCCGGTGCATGCTGAGGCGGTCCTCATAGCTACAAAGAATTAGTATTATGGAAAGAAATGAGTAGATACAAGGACCAGCGACATACCTGAAGACAGCAATGGTGTGAAGTGACAGCTCGTGGGCCTAGGGAGCAGGTCGGGTCAGCATTGCAAGAAAAAGCACCACAGCCCCCCAAAGGTCGGACACTTACTGTTCTGAAGATCTACATGATCAGAAGGTGAATGTTGTCAGCGATGAGTACACAAAGACCACATGGGTCAATGTTTGTCCTATATGCATGCGTGAAAGACCTACACGAATGGCTGCGTCGAGTGTTAGCAACAACCCTTGATAGAAGAGGCTTGGGAGGTCAACTTACGAATTTCTCCACGGTTGGCAACTGTGCGAAAGATGGATGGTTAGCCAAACACTGGTTTTCCTGTCTGGGCAGGAGGACAGAGAACTGATGGGACAACAATGCTGCACTGCTCCTCAAGCTTGTAGGTCCTCTCCAGGAGTAGTGCTGCTCTGATGGGGTGGATGGCTCTGTGACGTACCCAGAATCTTGTTCACCTGCATGATGGATGAATTGGCCCGCATGCGGTGGACAGTCCGCTCCTGCTTAGGAGCGTCATCCTCAAAGACCTCGTCGTACTGTGTCTCCGCCATCTTTGGTCACTGTTGCAGGTGGCAGGACCAATTGGGAAGTAATAGTTGAGGTACGACGACTCCCTTGCAGGGTGTCGTGAGGGTGGGGCTCAGACAAGCGAGCTGGTCGGCGATGGAAGGCAGTGCAGAGAGGGGAATGTGGAAGGATTGACAGCTGCTGACGCAGAGAGGAGGGCTTGCTGGTCAATAAGAGGGAGCGCGTCGTGCTTTCTGTTGTGATCAAAAGAAGTTGTCACGAGGTTGCGGCAGACCAAATTCTGTTCCAGGGAATGTTAGGTTGGCTGGACAGCAGTAGGTCGAATGTGGGGGAGGATGGGCCGTCAATGGGATATGTACGTGGGGTGATGGATGTGCTAGATTGAGAAAAATAGAGGGCGGGCGGCGCGGGACAGGGAATAACGAGCTTAGTGAGGGGTTTACCTTTCACATGGGCAGGGCAAGCTACTTAGCTCTAGCTCTCTAGCTTCCCATGGCCCTACTAACTGTGCTTGCTGTGTCAGAGTGTGTGTCATTTATGGGGAATCCCAAGCATTTATTTATGTCTTCTTTTCTTGTCATAAGAGGTTCTTCTCTCAATACGTGATGTCTGCTTCAAATTTCCCTTATCTCGCTGTCATCCTCGCTCCCATGATTCAAGTCATGCTGGCAGCACAGGCGAAAGAGAGAAAGGCAGAGGCAGGCAATGCTTATGCAGCATGTATGTAGCAATTGTCTACATGTCACATTTTGAGATGCATGTCATGGTGTTTGTTCTCAGTAAACCCATGCACATTTCATCCACACACGACCTCACTCTGACTCGATCTACACAGTACCCTCCTTTCTAAGCCTGAGCTTATATCTTGTCCTACTCTGCCAAGACAGCCTTGTTACAGTCCGTGGTTACAATAACCTGCAAGGCTCCAGAACAGACCTCTTGGCCGCGAGACGGCATCTGGCCGACCTTCTGCATCTGAAGGTTGCTGCAGGCCGACTGCATCTTGGCTGTGACGCATAGGATTTCCTGAATTTAATTTTTCCTCTTTTTCTGGACCACCAAGAATACAATAATACTACAGTAGTATGAGAGATCTGGGTGGGTCGGAGTCTCTGTCCCATGCCTGAAGAGGAAAAGATCTCTGGGCCCAACCAGAGGGCCGAGATAGCTGCTGATACGCAGGATCGTGCATCGATCGTTCATCATGGATCTTCTTTTCCATACCGTCCATTTTCTCTCCCCTAACTCCATATGTTGATTCCCCTCGGTCGACGAGCGGCTATATCGCCCGTTCGGTCTATTGTCACCGCGAGTCTGGTAAGACCGTCACGCAGAGTACACGCACGAGGCTATATAACCGAGGACAAGTATGTTTTTGTGTAGCCCGATCCTCTGTTCTCCTTGATAGGTTGTGCTAATAGTACGATCCGAGATCTGTCGGTCTTGCAGTGGCTGCTGCTACTCCTCAGAGCAGATACTACTATGCGTGTACCATAGTAATACGGAGTCGCCTGAGTAAGTACGTACTAAATGTCCCGATTTGGGGGCCCATTCTCCAAGTCCAGCCAGCCCTGTCGGTTCAGCTTCTTCCTGGCTTCATCTCGGGGTCCAGATCTTGCGTCAATTTTTCTTCTTCTTTTTTCTCTCTCTTTATATCCCTCAGCGTCCCGTCCTATCGCCGAGAAATAGAAGAACCATCCCTTGACAAAGATCAAAAGGGAAAAAATAGTGGGAAAAATAGCGAGGATCCATTGTGACAGTTGGGGAATTTTTCCGTCCTTAGTCTTATCCCGCCGACCTCGGCAGAATGTATGACTGCATACAGCGAAAATGGTTGTATCCATTTGGCCGGGCTCAATTTCCTCGGTTACGATGTGGTTACGATGTTGTTTGTAGATTCTTTCTCCTCATAGCGATCAACACCAAATAATCTGTATCTAGTTTCGCGGCTAGAAGAGGATTTTCACGCCTTTTGTTGCTTCGTTGAAAAATTCGCTTGCCAAGATGCATGCGTCAAGTCAATTATTCATAGGAAGTGTGGTCTGTTCTCTGTCCAACATTGCTCGATGTACGCCATGGACAGTCAGCCTGTGCACCCACCGGCCTGCGATGACCCTTCACCTCTGTTCTCGTTCCACTACACCCTGGAGATGCCAGTTCGGGCTTGTCACATTGCACGCCTAGGATCTTGTCCCTGTGATCTTGGCCTTCGATCTCGGACGGGCCAAGAGAAACGGTCCGCGGTCCCGTACAAGCCGTGTCAAGTGCCCACGGATCGTCAAGCGTACGTCTCGTGTTCAACGATGGCAGGGGGCCTCTGCAACACATACGGTCCTATTGAAAAGGATGACTCAAGATGATTGTCGGAAAGTTTAAAATAATACTTGCTGCTGACGTGTCGAGGCTCGCCAAGTCAGGCCTGCATCGCATGATACAAAGCAGCACGCGCCCGTTATGATACAACCCAAGTGGTGCCCCTGCCACTCTGCACCATAAGGTCACTGAGGGGAGGACCCTTTCCACGCCCTCTCGCTCCTTCAATCCGCCGACAGCTGCCTACTACCCTTGGGGCAGTCCGCATTGACCGGCTGTCCCTTCACACCACCAGCCACACTACCAGAGAGAGTTTTAGATTCTGCAGAGTACACAGTGCCCATCCTAGCTATTGCTCTTTTTACCCCCTTATCCTCCCCGCTCTTCGCAGATATCATCACTATAGAGGACTCCCTCCCTCACTTGCTCACCGCCGCCTCCACCTTCTGCACGCCCTCCTTGACGCTCTCCTTGGCCTTCTCGGCGCCCTCCTTGGCCTTCTCCAGCACGAGCTCGCCCGACGTGATCGCCTTTTCGCGGCCACCATTGTAGTGCCAGTTATACCACCGGTAGCCCTGCGTGAGCTGGGACCCCTCGTTGACAAAGTGACATGCGAAGAGGAGGTAGTTTCGAGGGCTGACGGCCATGGCGTAGCGCATGAAGGTCGCCGAGTAGATGGTGAGGGCGCCGGTCATGGTGCCGGAGATGCTAGAGGAACGAAGAAAGCCGTGATCAGCAGTGGTAAATAGAAACACCTGAAGCGGTGTGGGTAGAGGGAAGGAGGTAGGCGGGAGAGAGACCTACAGCTCGGGAGACTTTTGTGTGTCCATCACTGCGGCAATGGGGATACCGAAGTTCGACACCGGGCCCCAGAAGTCTGCACATTGTCGAACCGTTCAGTCAGTTGTGTGTCTGCAGAGAGAAAGAAAGAGCATGCGTAGTAGTGCGCTGGCTGGCCAGACAAGCTGCTGTATTTCCCATCGTCCAGGAAGATAGTGATCGTGGCGTAAGACAGGGCAGCGCTGTCAGCATGGTCGCGACCGCAGCATCACAATGCACGCGCGCCTACAGGTGCCCATGCTACGTCTTGACCCAATCGCCCCTTTAAGCCACCAAAGGAAAACCCTCCTAAGGCAGAAGAACAGAGCATAACGTCCAGGTTGTGACACCGAGTAAATGGTACGGCGACGGCACCCGAAAGCAGAGGTTCTCACATACGTGTGGAGCAGATGTAATCGGTGTATTTGTTGGAGCGAATCTTCGCATTGATTGCTTTTATGAAGGCCGCCATCTTTGTGATTCAGCTGCGTCGAGCGTTCGGTCGGACGAGGTGGTGGCAGTCTGCTGGCTGGAGGGTGACTTTTTCTTCTTCTTCCTGTTGAGCGTCGGGGCTCGACAAAAGGTTTATCGCGAAATTGATATCGGCGTTGAGAAATTTACGGCGAGCCATTGGACGGTTCGGGTGATTGCCGGGAACCTTTTCGCGTGCAGTAGTACGGTACGTACCCGCTGTAGCGGCAGAGCGGTCCCAGGGTCTGTTTGGGTGGTGCGGGAGAGGGCCCGGGGGGGGTGCCTCTGAACCTGGAGCTGCTGGCCAGGAATTAATACAATATACTATAGCACACTGTACATGCAATAGTAGTATCTGAGTTCCATGGGGCATTGCACAACAAGATCGGAAACCTGAGGAAAGTCAGGGGGAGAATCAAGTCACAGTCTCGTTTTGTTAACATGCAGATTCGTAGTAGAAGTGCATGTCTCTTGCAGCCCCTGAAGGATGTATTGTCTGGTTGTGTTCCACCGAGGTGATGTATTCATATCCATCTACGTTATGATACAGGTGTCCGCCAGACCCGCCGTTCTCTCAAATTTTGTAAAGCATCCGAACGCCCAGAATGTCCCATCTCAAATTTAGACCGGTGAAAACGCGTGTGTTTCGGGTATAATCGCAATTATCTTCGAGGCGGAGGGTTGAAGCCGGGAGGAGGCTGGCCGCCAGGAGCACCAGGGAAGCCAGGAGGGAATTGGCTACCTGGAGCGCCAGGGAAGCCAGCTGGAGGGAAGGCCCCAGGAGCGCCGGGGAAGCCAGGAGGGGCTATTAAGACGTTAGGATAAAGGTGAATCTACCGACTCAAGAGCAGGGAGGGTACTTACGACCACCGCGGCCAGGGAATCCAGGAGGAGGTCCGCCTTGGAAGCCTGGGAAACCGGGAGGCGGCACGCCACCAACACCCGGAGCGGGTCCCTTTTCGGTTCGTCAGCAACATCCCAACATAATTTCCTGCAGGGTGTACGTACAGCAAGTGCCACTGGGGGAACGGCGCCTCGGCCAGCGGGTCGCGCGACACCAGGACCGCCCGTCAGGGTCGTCGAGATTCCGCCGGTTGTCGACTTGCCCAGACGCGCGCTAGGGTCCGCTGGTGGCGGTGATTCAACAGAAAGGGAGACGATGTGCTTGCCTCGCAGGATCACGAGGCCGAGTGTGCGCTTCTCCTCCTGCAAGACGGTTTGCGCCGAAGAGCCTCCTGCACCAGGAGCGGCGGGCTTGGCCTGCTTCTTGGTCTTTCGGAACTCTTCGGTATCGGCGAGAACAAGATTCATGTGCTGCAACAGAGATTAACGCAAGTTCGATAAGACGGGGTTCATCGGAACGAAAAGTCCGCACCTTGTCGAAAGCCAGCATTTGTCCGGTCATCTGGCGGCCATCCATGAGGGTGATCCGCATCCGGTAGTTGATCTATGAGACGCGTGTCAGCGAGCTGGGTGGTACGCGGGAGAGCCGATGATACTCGAAGAAGTCGAGGGGAAACCACGATAGGATGCATGTACGTACGTAACCGGCCTATTAAAGAGAATCGTGTCAGTCTGTTGTTCGTCAACCTCGGTGGTACTTGCTTGGTACGCATTTGGAGGAGGCAGCAACTCACCATCTTGCCTTGCTTGTTGGTCGACATCTTTACGACAGAATGCTACAAGAGTAGCTTGTCTTGGTTTCAAAAATTTGATGAGGCCAGTTGTGACCTCTTGTGGGTTGTCGCGATCTCAAGAGCTTTCAAGGAAGCTTTCAAGTTCAGCAGACAGCTTGCAGTGGTTATCAACTAGAATGAAGGCTACTCCAGGATGAATTTGACGCGCCCAGCTCTAGGTCCAGTGCCTGCCGCGGCATAGCTGCCAGGCACAAGAGGGCACGGACCACAGCAGTCTTCACGACCTTACCTACATTGGACTAGCGTCTCACTGTCGCACACTTTTCGATTTTCCACAACTTCCTCCACCTCCGCAGTTTTTTTTTACGACTTCCTTCTTTTACTAACCAACAGCAACAACCATCGACCTTCTCGTCAATCTTTTTCCATCAGGATCGTTGACGACACCCAGCCAAAATGGTAATTCTGCTCCAATTGATGTAAAGATTCAAGAATTCGCAGCACTGACATTAGCAACGCAGTCTGAGAAGGCCAACAACCCCATGCGGGAGCTCCGCATCCAGAAGCTCGTCCTGAACATCTCGGTCGGCGAGTCTGGTGACAGACTGACCCGTGCCGCCAAGGTGCTTGAGCAGCTGTCTGGTCAGACACCTGTCTACAGTACGTACCGAGTCCCTCTTTCCTACCTTCCCTACAGCACACCGATGTGTCTCAGGACCATCTCTCCCAAAACACGGAAAGAAAAGAAAACCCAACCCTTCTGACATGCGTCTCCCCCTCTTTCACAGGCAAGGCCCGCTACACCGTCCGTACCTTCGGTATCCGCCGTAACGAGAAGATTGCTGTCCACGTCACCGTTCGTGGCCCCAAGGCCGAGGAGATTCTCGAGCGTGGCCTGAAGGTCAAGGAGTACGAGCTCCGCAAGCGCAACTTCAGCGAGACCGGCAACTTCGGCTTCGGTATCTCTGAGCACATTGATCTCGGCATCAAGTACGACCCCGGTATCGGTATCTACGGCATGGACTTCTACTGCTGCATGACCCGCCCTGGTGAGCGTGTTGTCCGCCGCCGGCGCGCCAAGGGCCGTATCGGTGCCTCTCACCGCATCACCCGTGACGACACCGTCCGTTGGTTCAAGCAGCGCTTCGATGCCGTTGTCCGATAAATCGGTCACCCTCACCGCGGAGGAATCGGTTCTCCCAAAAGAACCAACACGATATCACAAAAAAGGAGTTTCTGAGTGCTTTTTGACATTGGGACATGGCGTGGCATCTGATCTGGAGATTGCTGATGGAAATGGTTTTCACGGAAGTTTGGTTCAGATTTGAATCCTTGACGATCCTCACTCGTCAATCTAGCTCGCTCCTGAAATGTCATCAGTCGAGCTACGGCCTCAGAGTCCGACCGGCTACCATACCGGCTCTCGTCTTTTGTGATATGCAATGACAATTCGCGTGGATGTGACCGACAGCTCAATGTCCTGTTGAATGTGACACTGAACGCCGACCAGGTGCAGCACGCCTCATTTCCAAGAAGGCGTTGACCTTTACTCGTCGACAGACAACATGTGCCATGTACGGTAGCCGACAGTCTTTCCTGGGAATGCATCCACATTCCGTTGCAAGAAGGACGATACTCGTAGGTAGTTAGTTGATGTATTGGGAAACCGTCTTTTGAGCATCCGCATCTTATTCAATGTGGGCCTACTGGACGATATCACTAGCTTCCAAGAAGGCGATACATCGTTGCGGTTGAAAAGTCGCATCACTCTTCAGTCAGTTGCATGTGCAGCAACCATCTGAATGCTTTCCGTGATCCTTGCGCATCTTTTTGGGGATGGACAAGCTGCCACGTCGGGCGGTCGTGTGTGACCGCGCAACTAAGGTGTCACTTCTACGGTGCAAAAAATGGGGTCTTGAAATCTGCTTCTTGACCCCATAATCTGGCTCCATCGTGACCGTCCGGTCGCTGGTTTCGAGACGAGGCAAAGTTTCCCAATCATCTTATTCCAGTGCCGCAAAAGCCCTCTGTCCGTGTCACAAGTCATGGGTCCTCCATCTTGACGAACTACGTCTGTCTCAAGCGGCTCACTTCTTCACCCACACACTCCACCTGCAACCGTGGCTATTCTGAAGTATCATCAGTCCGTCCACTACCGACGGACATAGACCTATAGCAGCACGTCACAAAGGGACAAGAAGTGTGTTTCGGTCCACAAGCCAAGAGCAGTGGAGTCATGTTGCGGCTGCTTCTCGGTACTTCAAGGGTCGTCTACGTCTCCAGCAAAGGGGTGGGAACAGACCGCATGTGCATGGCCAACTGGCCACCGCATTATTCAAGTCGAGAAGGCTGGGCAGCGTGGCATGATTGTAGAATGACGTAAAAGAAACTGTCGAGGAGAGGAGACGCGTTGACCGCTGGGTGCCTTTGACTACGTGCTCAAGCCCGTATCTGGTCTACAACTCGTCAGGATGTAGGGCGTGTCATAAAAGCCTGTGCGAACATGGTGCCTCAAAGTCTAAGGCATGTTCATGACTTGCGAGCAGTACAAATTCCAGGGGATGAATACATTTTGAAATTCTCTCCAACTCCGGGGACTGTTTACCCAGCTAATACACCGTACCACCCAGTCTCACAAAAGAGATAGAATCTGCGCGCAGCGTGGGAATATGGTGTCGGTATCATGAACAAATGATATGTTGAAAGTTGTTGCAGTCATATGCATTGTCGTAATTCGTCAAAACTCCTTTTGCCCGTTTCCCGTCTTCCAGCTTGACCATAAAGCCCATTTCTCCATTTTCGTCCTCTTCTTCTCCTCCCTCTTTACTTGTTTGCTCGATTCATTGTCTTGTCCTAGACTGAAGGAAGCATGCCTTCTCATTATCATCAAATCATCTTTTCCCATAAATTTTGGCAGTCGGTTCACCAAGTGCCCCTCCTTTTGGCCAATCTTGCAGCTCCTGGAAGCTGCGGAACGGGCCCGGGTATCATCCATCCAGAGTGTCATCCCTGAGGTCGTGATGAGGCTTGTCCAGATTCTCACACGCGAAGACCTGTCCTCGCGCTGTGCCTTCTTGGTCCTCTCCTCAGCGTTCGCCCCCTAGTGACCGTCTGTTCCCTCCTCCAGGCCGTAGTCGAGAACCCCCCTCTCGTCCCCCTAGTGACGACATCCGTCTTGCGGCTGTGAGCACCAGGCTCCTCATCCGCCACATCGATCCACCTGTCCGCGTCCTCATCGTCTCCCTGGTCCAGCTCCAAGGCCACAGCAGCATCCTGGCTGCCGCTGCTGCTGCTGATGTTGTAAACCTTTCGTTGCTGCTGCACGTAGGCTTGGGAGTTGCTGGTCAACATGGCGGGGAAGGAGACGATGAGCTCCACGAATATGGCCAGCGTGAAGACGACGGCCGAGAGGCCAATGAGGCTCACGCTGACGGCGATGATGCTGGACATTTTCGTCGGCGCGCTCTGTCCTGTTGTGCGTGTTTGTGCGTGTACGTGTACGTGTGGTTGGTGGCGATGGGCAGCAGGAGGAGGACTGGCTTCCAACCGTGTCCTCTTGGGCTAGAAAGGATAATAAAATTCCGGGGGAGGTAAAATATAAAGTATAGCACGTGTCTCGTCGGTCACCCAGTCACAGACGAAGGCCCTGCCTTTTTTTGATCCAGTCCAAGTCGCCGAATGTAACAATGCAATCTAGCAATTTCCGATGTGTGTGGGAAGAAGCATCACCACCAGGTAATGAACAGCGTGGAAGAGAGAAAAAGGGAGGAAAAAAAGAGAAGACTGGTCCTCGAATTCACCCAACAGGCCACCAACCCATATATACACATAACACAGAGTCACAGAAAGAAACTCAAAGAAAAGAAGGATCCGCGTTGCCCAATGTGCCCCATCTCGAGACCGCATGTCGTCGACAGAAACAAGGGTCCCCTCCTCACGGGGGCTGGAATGGCGCCCGCAGCACACCAAGTTCACCGCAACTGCGCCGGGTGCTTCCGCAGGGGCCAACGACTGGCCAGCATGGCCTGACGGGCTCCACCAGTGTATACGGCGCCAGTCCCCAATCGACTTCTAGTCGTGCCCATGCATTTGGGTTGGTCCAGGGCTCTCGAGAAAAACCCCCCACTGGGGAAGCCGTCGTGGCTCCAGTGCACGCGGACGGTGTGGAGTTCTTCTCTTCTTCTTTTTTCTTTCCACGGACGAACGGGGGGCAGACTTCGCCATCTCCCGCCTCCGTCAGGGCTGGCAGGGGCTGCAGGGCGGCTCTGGCGGTGTACAGAGGGGAGAAGAGAGAGAAAAAAAACCCACCTCCTGAGGCAGACAAACTTGATTCTCGTAGGAAGATTCCAAGACAATATTATCATCCATCATCGTCATTACCACCTCGGCCAGAGCGCTGGAGGGGTTGCGGAGCATACGGATCTGAGAAATCTTCCGAGGAGGGCAGGGCTTGAACTCTTGCTGCGGGTGCGGCGGTTGCGCTCCATACTGCTACAATACGCAGTGTAAATAGTACCACTTTTGTAGTATGGACCATGCATTGGTGCCCAGGTGTGTGTGTGTGCCACTCTACTGCAAGAAAGCGGGACCAATGGGACTCGGGAAGGTTAGAGACAAAATATGAGCCGATGGACGGGAATGCATCAAGCCAAGACGAGACGGGAGGTGACAATAACAGCTGAGTTTGATTCATTTCAATATACTGACACGCCATGATTCGTGTGGCGCAGGAGGAGGAGACAGCATTGATTAATTACTTAATGAGCGCCAAACGGCTCCAAAGACCAAAATAGACGCCCATGTTGATTTATGGGCGTCATCGACCCCAGATTACAGGCAAGTCTGCGATCTTGACTATTTCACTTCAGGGTCTGACAATAATTAATTTAAATTAATGTGCATGAGTAATAACAGGATGTGAAGAAGAAGAAAAAGCGAAGAAAAAAATCTATCGCTTGACGCAAGCAGTGATGTCCGTCACGAGCTCGACGCTCTCCAGCGACTGATCCTTGCCCAGCATTGCAACGATGATGAGACCGGTGGTGATGATGAGGAGAGCGATGATTAAGAAGCCACCGACGCGACCAGATGTTGACTAGATTCAAGCAATCCTCTGCAGTTCGCTGTGTACGTTCTCTGAGAAGTCATTGAGGATCTGGTCACGGTCGTGGGCTGCCACACCCTGCAGGTGAGAAATCGTAGTTGCCGCCATAACCATCAGAAATGCGAGATGATGTATGGTCCTGGCTCACAACAAGAGGCGCATTGGCCCGGGACTGGGGAATGGGCCAGACCCGGTCCGAGAAAAGCCACAAGGTCTTGCTTTGTATTCGTAGCGACTGGGCGGGAATGTTCTTCTCCAGGCTCGGCTTGGGGCTCGTCTTCAAATTCGTATCGGAATCGTTCCAGAGCGACTGGCCAGCTGTAGATGCGGCGGTCTTCGCGGTTTTGATCGTTGATGAAGTGCTGGCAGATCTGCCTATGGTGAATTACAAGACTGTCTATAGGCTGGTCTCCAGCAGCCGGGATACATGTCATCATGTAAATAACACCAGTTTGGGCATGGCAGATAATGGCTGAGAGTGGCTGGTTGTAGATGGCACCAAGCGGTTGAGCTGATGAAATACGTGGTGAGAAGTGCTCAATGAAAGGCGATGCAAGTGTTGGATCCCAGCTTTATAAACACTCAAGTATTCAAGAGAGAGCTAGCCTATCTCTATAATTAGATGGCATCTTTGCGCGGATCAATTTTCCCACGTGCTTCTATGCAAAAAGTTAGCTGAAGAACATGCTGAGAACAGTTCAGTCAACTTACCATACTCACCCCCATATTCAGAACTTACACTAGATTGAGAATCCACTGAAGGTAGTAACGCTTCTATGATGGAATTCACTAGATGAAGCAGTCAACTGAATTCCTCGCAGAAAATTCCACTTCTGTTCAATGATTGTGAAGTAAAGAGCCACTCTGTGTATCCAACACAGGTGCCCTTCTTTCCACCCGCTCTTGATGATGATAGAGCATATAGATATTTATACACATGATAGCCCTCATTAAGTCATTACTTTCCTTTATCCACACAATCACATGACCATCAAGAGGACTGCGCATGTACATACCACCAATCATTTACAATCATGACCTACACGGGATCCGTAGGCCTTCATGGTAGTCGATAAATACCATATTGCCCAGGTAAACCATTCCATTCCCGCCCCGCCCCGCCTCGCAACCCCCACCCCTACATCTTTAAACCGCCCTTCTCTTTCTCTTCAAGATACTACTAAGTTCATGCATCTTCTGAGGACCAGGCCTTGTTGTCCAGCTCGAGGCTCTTCATGCTCCTGGCATCATCAGAGTCCTCAGACGAGGTCTCCAACTGACCCGCACTCCACAGGCGCATGCGCTTGCCATACATGTAGACCACTGGGAGCATGAGACTGAACAGGGCCATGATGCCGCTGTAGATTCCAAATGTCTTCAGGAAGCCAAGGCTCAGGATCCAGTCGGCTGACTTGAAGCTGATTAGGAAGCCGGCAATGAGACGGAATGACGACATGGTTACGAGGACAGGCCTAGGCAGATGTGTTAGTTACTGGGTGGTGGTCATCATAACTCTCTCTCTCTATTTATCTCTCTTGACATCAAACAACGCAAGAGAAAGAAAGACTTCTCCACGTAGGCGGTGATGGTCGGAGGGAGGGGATACATACCCAGCATAATTAGGATAACTTTCGACCAGATACACGCTCACGAGCGTATTCATCGTCAACCCTCCGAAGCCGATGAGGAAGAACCCGACGAGGAGGTAAACCAGGGGCCTCTCTTCTGTATGGTCGCCTGCATACCCGAACAAGAGCGGCCCAACGATGCCGGCGATCAGGGGGAATGCAAGACTGATCAAGTGTGACTCGGGTTCTCTCTGCCCGTTGTTTCTCTTTGCACGGTAGTTTGAGATCTTGTCGGCCAAGTAACCGCCAAAGAGCCACACGAAGGGGGTCGCGGCGACGATGGGCAGCACAACGAAGCCCAGCTGGTTGAAGCTGAGCTTCAGGCCGAGGATGATGGCGGCGGCATTCTGCGTGGTAGCCGAGAGCGAGCCAACAAAGATAGAGTTCAGGGCGATGACCCAGAGCACGTTGGGGAAGAAGGTCGCCTTGATGGTCTCCATGACGGACTTTCTGCAGAGCTTCCACTCTGTCTTGACGACAAAGACACCAAAGTCGTCCTTGTTGGAGCGGTAGCCGTACTTTGCGTAGTCGAGTCGTGGACGGTTCTCACCTGGGCGGATCGGGTACACTTCCTTGCCGGCTGTGGTCAAGTTAGTCTCTTGTATTTCATTTTATAGCGATCGTTTGTTCTTCATTTCGCGGCACAAATCCTGCACGTTTTACGTACCAAGTTCTTCCCGGGACCGAATCCATCTCGTCTCAGGGACGAGGAAGATCATACCGATCCAGACGAGGATTCCAGTTCCCGCGGTGATATAGTAGATCCAGCGCCAGCTGAGCTTGACGATGATCAGGGGACTGGTCAGGCCGATGGAGACGATGAACAGGCCCTGGCCAGCACTGATGAGAGAGAAGGCCTTGTTTCTCTCATTAATGAACAGCATATCCTGCAGGATAAGAGGAATGAGAGCCTCCACCGCACCAGCACCAAACCCCTGGAAGACTCTTGCCGCGATGTGGCTGTTGAGGCTCTGGCTGAATCCTGCCCAGAGACCTCCAGACCATGCCAACACGCCGGCGAGGAGGAGGATGGGACGCCGACCCCATGCAATGGACAGTGGTACCAAGATGTAGGATGCGACGCCGTTGACGAGGATAGGGAGCGTGGAGAGCAGGTCAACCTTGGAGATTGGCGGACCACCCAGGCTCGACAGCAGCTGGATAGGATCTTCAGGCTTGCCTCCTGGAGTGCTGAAGTTGAGTGCGCTGAGGTCGATGGAGCCGAGGATCTTGGGGTCGATTCCGGCGTACTCGAGGACGAAGATGGGGACCAGGGCGCCGATGATGGCCTCTGCCGAGAGGGCGAGGGCTCCAAACAGCGCGAGAGTGATGATGGCGGCCCACTTGCGCCACATGGGCAGGTTGAGAGGATCTTTGGGGTCGGGCGTGGGCATGGGCACCCGACGCATCTGACCTCCTTCGAACAGTTGAGTCGTGCCCACCACCTGGGTGACGGTCGACTCTCCGTACGGCCTCTTGTCCACGAGAACCTCCTCCATGCTGCCCCTCATCTTCACATCCCTTATGCTTGTGAATGTATCCATGTTTGCTAGTTCGGCCAGCGACAAGCTCACATTTGTGTGTGTATGTGTGTGAAGGGAAGGGAGGGAGGAGGAGAGGGAGGAGGGGGAGGAGGAAAATAAAGTCGAGAGGATGAGGTGCGACCAAGAAGAGTCAGGGGAAAAAAGGAAAGAGGAAATTATTCATATCAATTTGGCTTCTTTTCCTTCTTCTTTTACTTTTGCTCTTCATCTTCTCTTCGCTTTCCGGATCAGGGTCACTCGCGCAGGAGTTTGTGTTGCAGACATCGTGTGTCGCATGTAGTCCAGAACAAGGTTAGTTCGCCGCCGTCCCATCTCTTACACGTCCCCCAGTTACAGGATTTAAAGCCCGAAACACAGGTACCGAAGCTTGTTTTTCCTACTCTGGTAACTCAAGAGTAGACTTTTCCCCGATGATCTGCGTTAAACAACCTTTGGGCAAAGGTTTGCACAGCCCCACTACATATGATGAAAGGGTTGTGTCAATCAGGCCAAACATGAACATCGGAGAGATGAAATCCGATGCGATTGGGTTACGGCACGTGTGAGGGCGCATCAAGCATTCAAACCTAGAGAGTGTAAACTTTGATTCCGCTTCGCCAATGGCACTGTGTCAGGTCCAAAGCAGGGTTTTCGGTTGAAACACCAAGTGTCAACTCTACGTTAGGCCGTCCATCATCTTGACTTCGAGAAACACTGGCTTCAATATTGCACTCCCGTGATTCCCCTTACTGTAAGCGCTGGCCACGCAACATCTGCCGCCGCTGATCACTTCTGCACTGCGTAATCGATGGTAGGCTGAGCTGTCACGAATCAATCTTTGACGCAACGCAGCGCAACAGGTGGAATCTGGAGATGTGGTTAGAATGCTTCATATGAGCAAATTGATTCATTTCTCCATCACAGTTCACAGGGTATCTTGTTTGCAAATTTGAAGCCGTCGTCATTCAGTGTTCTCTGGCTGTTCTGGTCTTGTTCTGAAACACTCTGGAAGACTGTCGTGTCCAGATCGTGCGATGATGGCAGCATCATGAGTGGACAGCTCCACGACGTCTTAATTTATCTCTCAAACCTGCCCAAGTACACACACGCCAATCTAGACTACTAATTGATAACATGCCTTTTTTACTAGGCCAGCACGGCAAGCCCTTTTGAGCCGTCCCTTATTACCTAAGACGCCTTGCAAGGAAATCAATCAATGTAATATTCATAAAGCCAAATCCAGCCTCACTAGCGACAATTGTCAATGACGATGACTTAGCGCAACAGTACTAGTAAGGGACCCATAGTAGCATCTCTGACGTACACGACCAATGCCGTCCTCGTCGACGGTCCTCGAATCTCGGAATATTAATTCATTGATTGAAACATGAGTTTTTTGTTTTCTGTTTCGATTCCTCCTCTTGCTAGTACCATGAGAAGACACTGCAAATCGTGATATCTAGAACACCATGTCTGCCATTCGTTCCGCCATGCTCCGCCAGAGGATTGCTCGCCAGCCGCCTCTAACTTCTGTGGCAAGAAGATCCTTTGCCTCCCACACTTCGGAAGAGCCTACACCAAAGACATCAGGAATCGGGGGACTTCCCATGTTCGTGCTGCTCGGAATCATTTCCCTCCCCTACATCGTCCTGGTCCCAAAGCGGTCCAAAATGATACTGACAGTCACTTCCGATTCCGAACAGTGTCCTCGGAGCCGTGGCCGTGATAGTTCCCGGCAGCCTCTACCTCCTCAGCAGCGGCCATGACAATGTTGCGCACAACGATCACGCAGCGCAGAAAGGTCTTCACACCAAACACGTCCACGTGGAGGACAACAAACGCGCCGCAGGTCGCCTGGGCGGCCAGTTGCAGGGGATTGACCAGGTGGTGACCACGAGGCACGAGGATGTTGATTCGGATCTGCCACACGACGCGCTGAACCACCCTGTAAATCGGGAGAAGGTAATCGCATCCACTTTTGTAGGGTTGTACAACGCATGTCTTGCTGACGAGGGATATTTGTATAGATTGAAAAGACTCAGCAGCTCAGTCCGCCGACCAAGAGGGTAGATCCGATCAAGTCGGTCCGCGGTTAATTGGATGTTGGCACTAGATTGTCTCGTCGGTCCAGGTCATGAAGAGAACATAGGCTCAGAAAAAGCTCTAGTAATACACTGCATGTGGCATAGGGGACTGGTTTAGGTAAGAGAATCAACGAATCAAGGCGTGTGTTGGGTGGACAACGAATCTTCTTATAAATCTCTGAGGCTCAACAAAAGCACTCGCTATAAAATGTCATCTGGGTCTAAGGCACCATCCATAGGCATCTCTGAAATTCTATAAATACAGGATCAATCTGTTTTGCTTGACGTAACAGAGCGAATATTGGAATTCTTGTCAACTCACTCCAATATCTGCCGAATGCTATTGTGAACCCTCTTCCAATCTATTCTATAGTCTATATATAATTTCTATCCAACGCCACACCAATGCCCCAATAATCCAGACACGACCCTCTTAGGCCTCGTTGACCAGAACGTATCGGTAACGGGCCTTGCCGTCCTCCAGGTCAACGACAGCCTTGTTGGCATCACTCATTGGGCGTTCCTGGACGAGACCGCGGATCTTCTTCTCGGTGACGAACTCCAGCATGTCCCGCAGGTCTTGAGGAGATCCGATCAGGGATCCCTCAAAGTTGGTCCGGCCGTGAACAATGACATTTCCTGGGATTTGGAAAGGGCCATCGTCAGGCAGCCCAACCTGCACCAGACTGCCGCCCTTCTTCAGCAGCGACATGTACGAAGCAACGGGGACCTATAGTAAATGATTCAATCAGTCGGTCCACAGCTTCAAATTGTGGGTGAAAGGCAATTCTGTGTGTGGGCTGAACTTACCTTGCTGGAGGCCACCGTGGAGATGATGAGGTCCAGGCTTCTTGCGTGCTTGGTCTCCCAGCCCTCCTCATCTGCTGTCGCAATATACTCGTCCGCGCCCAGGCTCATGACCTCCTGTCTCTTGTTCTCCCGCCTAGAGATGCCGACAGCCCTGGCACCCATGCCCTTTGCGAACAGTACGCCATAGTGACCGAGACCACCAACGCCAACAATGCCAACCGACATACCGGGCTTGACCCCATGGACCTTCAACGGCCTGAACATGGTAGCGCCACCACACAGCATCGGGGCTGCCTGGCTCGACTCAAGCCCATCAGGGATCTTGACGACGAAGTGGCTTGGCGACCGGTGGTACGTCGCAAAACCACCCGTGTTGATGTCGCCGTTGAAATGGGGCGAGTTGTACGCCCAGACGATCTTGTCGCAGTAGTTCTCCTCGCCGTCGTCGCACTCGTGGCACTTGCCGAACCGGCCCAGACAGGCGTCACCTTGGGCGCCCACACCGACGCGGTCGCCGACTTGAATGCCGTTTGCAGCTTTGGAACCCACGCGGACCGCTACTCCGACGATCTCGTGTCCGACTGTGAGAGGGTAGTTGCTCGCGCCCTATGGTGAACCAATTTTCTCTTTAGTATTCTTCGTCACCTGGTATGAAATCTGCAATATAGCCTCTCAGGGTGGGCATGGTCTTCGACGACGCCACATGAGATGGTCGAGCTCTTTGACATTTGGGGTTCTGAACGTACCCAGCCGTTGCTCAAAAAGTGCAGATCCGAGCCGCACATTCCACAGTGCGTCACCTTGATATCGACGTCCGTCTCCTCCCACGCCTTGGGCTTGATCTCCTGCCAGTTCATCTTCCCTTCGATGCCGGTGGCATCCTTGGCTGTCCAGCCCTCGAACATGTAATCGGTAGTGCTCCCCATTGCAAATTTTGCTGCTTGTTGCGTTCACTCAGTGAAATGTTTGGAAGTAGATGTTACTAGAGTGAGAGAGGAACAGACGAGCCGATGCCAGGCAAATGATCTTTCATAAAATAGAAACGTATCGGGTATACCAAGTTCCGTCTCAATGTATAAATTTATATACTATGTAATATATATACACATAAATGCCCACACTTCTCCGATGCTTATCAAGCACGACCCTTAAGGGCCCGCCTTGCGTGCCGTCTCTCACTACCTTGCCTCGAAGCAGATAAAATCTCGATTCTTCTTGCATGAAAATTCCGCAATGGCCATATGGCGACTTCGCTCCCCCCTGTATTGTGTTCCTCAAAACTCTTCAAAACAGGGTCCACACGGGAAGCTCCAGCACGGCGGGTCTTCTCCGTTCGTCGTCGGGAAGGGATCGATTGCCTCGCGCCACTGACTCGAAATCTGGGAGTCCATGGTCGTCCCCCGTTCATTAAGGAGGCTCCAGAGAGGACCGGAACGAGCATGACCCTGATCATGGACCCGCCTGGGTTGTGGGAAGAGCGAAACAATTCCGCTGTGACGTCGCATCGATTTTTGATAACAATTAATTACAACCTTGGCTGATGACGCAGGTGATTCAGTTCTTGGTAGACACTGACCGCTCCTCGGCATTCGGGCACTCGTGAAGATGGCCGAGGCGTATCTCAAGTAGTTATAAAATGCGTGATATAGGATATTTGAGTTGTGGAGAAAGTTGGTGAGAATTTTGTTGAGGATAGTTCTACCACCTCTCGCAACGTGAAGCTGTGCCAGAATTTCAGTCGTCCTAGGGCTTTGTAGTTTCTTTAGCAGCTCACCTGCTATGTATCAACGGGCAATTAGCATTAACCTATGTTGCGGCAACTGAGACAATGTTTGAGGTTAAGCTTGTCCTATTAACCAGCGGTCCCAAGCCGGCAAGATGCTATATTAATTCATCAACAATTCACAATATTATGTGGGGCATAAAGCACATGCACGAATGCAGTGAAGATACCTTAAGGTGCTTTGACCTCTCGATTAACGTTCTACCGAAGAAGAAAAGAAAGAAAAAACAGAAACAGGAAGAAAAAAAAACCCACACAAGCCAGGATGAACTCGTATTCATCCCATTTCCTGAGCCACACATCTTAGACCTGGGTCTACTACGTGGCAGCAGCAATATTCGCTATGTGGTGGCTCAGGTCTGACGTGGATCTCCCTCTATTGTCTTCTCAACGATCTCCTTCGCGGCCTTCAAATTTCTATAAGCAACATCAGCTTGACAGAATTACAATGTTGTTTACACCTTTGTATAAATACATTGACCCATGGCCGTTTTATGCTAGCTTTATTTCGCAATTTATGCTTCCGAGACGAAGCTTAGTAGCCTTATCCTGCAAAAATGGGATGACTACGTTGAATTAGCACATAGTCAAGTTGCAATTCATACCCTGCCAACAAATCCCCCCTCTGTGAATACGACTGTGTTCGCTAAAGACCTGCATGAACGTAATGCCACAATCAACAAACGCAGAAACGTCTGCAGGACATAGGAGCTGAGGCCAGGGCAAATGAATGCAACTTTTACTGACTCTGACTAGAGGCATGTAAAATTGAACCCAAGTCTGCCTACCTGCACGTTACGCCTTGCAACGGTTACATTCGACAGACCGTAAAGTTCATCAAAGAAATCCGCGAAAGCCAAGTTGAGGAAGAATGCAGGCAAGTCACTGTGCTCTTAGAGCTTAGGGAACATTTTCTTATCGGACCACAGTTGGGTCAGTTGAATGAAACACAACAAGCCATATATTCCTTCGGTTATTATGCACACTGACATGATATGATACACCCTAGACAACGATAAACCCCTTCAGAAGCTGGTCGTCCGTATCAATATACATGTTGCGGACTTTCGGAAAAAATTGGACTCCAATGTGAGGCCTGTAGGCCTTCAGCATGCCGGCCCCAAGACCACCGCACCGGAGACATTGGACAGAGCGTTGCAAACCTCATACGCACATTTTAGCGCAAGGCTCGCTAGGAAGGTGACTACTGATGAAGCACGGCGAACGTGATCTACACTCATATGGGAATGTTCACATGAAAAATCATGCCAAGGATCTTCTCGTCAACCTTGAGCAAGTGCTTCAGTTCATGCAGCCCGGGCGACTTGAGCAGCATCCATCCAACTCGGCTGCATTCCATCTGGCAGCCCAAGGCATAACAGAAGATGTTTTGAAAATGAGTGAGAAGCTGGACAGAGTGTTCAAGATGGTCAAAGAGGTGCAATCCAGGGATTCACCGCACGCATGGGTTTGTGCAGCACAACAAGGTACTGCATCACAAGACTTTCTTTCCAACGAGAAGCATATCGAAAGTATTGGTGAAATGTGAGGTCCACATATCTCATTTATGGTGACATCCGTTCAAGTATTCTTGCTGATATAATTGAGTGTGTAGAAGAGATGACTCTTATACCATCTACAGTGGACTGTCCATCGATAATGGTCCTCGCAACAGCAACGAAATCAACAGATGGAGCGCTGCAGACATCACACACTGAAAACCCCGATTTCGGACTTGAGATAGAAGCGGCAGATGCACCTTTCGAGAACAATACGGTGCCTCGTGACTGCACAACTTCCCAACTTCAAACCGCAGAGCTGATCCCATTGCATTGCGACGAGCTTCAAGATCTATCGCAGCCCACTCTATCTGGTGAAAATGTTTTAGACGATAAGGGCTTTATTCTGAGCTCAGAAAGCACTCACCAGGCTATAGACGAGTTGATTGTTCGAGATGTCGATGTCGCAGAAGTCGGAAACGTCATGCAAGAAAGCAACACAGAGCAGGAGACAGACGATATGGTAGTGGAAGATGTAGATGCCTCGGAAGCCAAAATTTCCACCAAACAAAATGACACGACCGTCGATGAACTGAACATCGACGACATGAACGATAATAGCACAAGCAGTGACAATACGAATAGCGAGAACATGGTCGACAGTGACATGAATGATGACGATACGAATGGCAACGACACAGCGTTTAATGCGCAGGACGGGAAGTCCAGACCGGGCCAAAAGGCGCTGAGGCACATCCTATATTGTGCAGGAATCACGAGTAAGTTAGAGTCCATGAGCCCCATGCGGAGGGAGCCTCCGCCTCCCTATACGTCTTCGGAGCCGCTTTCAAGGGTGGTCTATGTGCCGCTGTTGGTGCTCATTATTTGATATGGTAGCTGATCTATGATTATTCATTGATCTATCAATGATATAGACTACTGGTCGATATCTGTCGACTAGACGAAGACGATGAAGATGGCAATGAAGATGGTAACGAAAATATCCAGTTCACTCGGGAGAGAATTAAAGGAGTGTGGCGAGGAAACGTGAAGGAAGGCTAAGATGCATCGTGCAAAGATGGAAGTGTAAGACATGGTGGCCATCCTGACTTGAGTAGGTAGGTACTTAAGTACGCAATGTAGTATTTTGGAATTTCATCCATTTCAGTGATACCTGAGAACTCTGGTGGTTTAGTGATCGCGTCACTCTTTCAGCGATGACCTGTCGAGTTTTCAGCTTGAACATGTGCTATGAACCGTTAAAACTAGAGATCCTGTCTTTTGGGAGGAAACAAGTGCTTTTGATATCAAATTTACGTGTTAGACGTGGAGAGCACTTGGCGGCCGAGAATTTGGCTGTAATATCATAATAAATACGCAGGCTTATCCAACATCGAGCGCGCGCGCACGAGTGTGTGTGTGTGTATGTGTAATTCAGTCCCGCAAGCAACCGATCACCGCTGCGAATGTCCTGGGGCCGCCCAGCTCTGGGCCATCATTTTGGCAGTCACCCTTGCTGGGTTTTACCTGCAGCATGCCATACAATATGGCAGTTTCTGTATCTCACAATCAGTCCCGAGGTTTATAGCCTTACCAAACCGTAATTCTCTCAAGAATCATAGGTTTTTACAAAATGTGACGGTCATCACGAACTCAGTTGGTTTTCTCCTTCCCTTTGAGAAGCAGCCAACGTTTTGATGCACTCATCTTGTGAGTATTTGAGACACATAGCACAAAATAAGACATACCGAGTCTGCAACTGTGACCAGCTCAATCGAACAATGCATAACTCTCCTCCCATGCCTGTCTACCAAAGAACACCTGCAGCTCCTCGAACTCTGATGCACGGGGCAAAAGCTGGAACGAGAAGCTCGAAGCGGCAGAAGCGATGGCGTGACCGAGCAAGGCAGACCTGGCGTGTGACCTGCTCGGGTAGGGGAAGCAAGCAGGGTGCTTGCCGTGTTGACTTGCAACAAGATCGCTGGTTGAACAAAAACTAGAGTGAATCTTTTTTTGTAGAGCACCGAGCTTTAAAACCCCCTTCCCCTAAATTCAAGCAGTCTTACGAAGGAACGACTGTTATATCAATCGTTTTGTTGTGGTCGACAAGGTCTACGGAAGCCTGTGCATGCGAATCTCTCAGCAGACAGACATGAATTCATGCTAAATCCTGACGTACTAATTCATGTTGTGAACCAGTCTCGTTACCTTATGAACACGCTCGGTATCCTCACTGGAACTCCTACTAAAGCCATTTACCACACCCATCAAGTTACACGGAAGAAGCTCCACTACTGACCTCTTTTCACCCATAGCAATAGCCAACACCACACCCCCGGGGGGGGGGGGGTTCCCAATAGGTAGGAGCATCAGTCTTGCTGCGAAGGTCGCAGACCACCAGGATCTAAGAGGAATTTCAAAGATCACTGAGACCAAGCGAGTAAGGAAGAGATAATTTGTATAGTATTGGGATGGGTACATATGTCTAATATTGTACTTTACTGTTTTCCTTCTTGTTCTTCCCGAACTCCAGGAAGTATTTGAGTCTATTCGTTGGGTATGTTGCCCGCCGTTCGTATCATCATCACTCAGGCCGCTGACGTGGCATCCATGCGTGGCTCTCGAGCATGTCTGTTAGGTATGTCTGGCTCATCAGACTATTCATTGCCTGCTAGAGAGATCTTCTTTTTTCAGATCCAGCGAAGAGGCGAGAAGAAGGGTCCTTACCGCCTTCATTTCTTGGAGGCAAATCACGCATTATGCAAGACACGAACATTCATCCGAAGAAATATGCAAACATGCAAAGGCACATTTGAGTCACACAGTTCACCCCGCTATTATATGTACAACGAAGTCCTCGTAACGCCCAGCCCACCACTCCACAAGGACGCGGGCCCATCACACACCCTACCATCTAATGATCAACTCTCTCTCTCTCTCTCTCTCTCTCTCTCTCTCTCTCTCTCTCTCTCTCTTCCTTTCAGCTCCGACAGCTATACCATCCCAAAATGCAACTATGACAAAATAGTCACATGCCCAGCGCCTAGCTGGCCCAATCCCACCCAAAAGAGCCTGCCTAAAGCAAGCAAGTACTTACTTATTCACGAAACCCATCGTGACACGATCGCCCCCCGCCCACTCTGCCCACTTCGGCAGATAGAAGAGTCACACAATTTGTTCCTCTGCCCCTCTCTTCTTACCAGCCCCTAGCCTTGCGCGGCCTTGAAGGAGGCCGACGAGCTCGCTCTGGATCTGGTGATGCCAGGCAGATCGGCTTTTTTTTTCTTTTGGAAGGATTCTCGCGATAATTAAATCAACCCCCTTGTTCAAAAGATGCGAAGTGAAAAAGGGAAAACAAAAAGAAAGAAAAGTGACATGTCTTTTATTTTTATTTTTATCGGCAGCCTGCCTCGACTCACGCCGGGCTCTTCTTGTTCTCCTTCCTCGTCGCTCTATGGACTTAGCTGAAGGCCCGCGCTGGCCGCGCTGTCGCGTTCGGGACAAGAACAAGGCTCTCTCGGCTGATACCTAATTAACCCCGAGCATGGTTTTTTGCTGGGACCAGACGTTATGTGGACGGGAAACACGCAACATTGACGATAGGAGATCTCAACTGTGATGGATCGTAATCGTGCTCAAGGTGACTCCACGAGGCTTTGAAGACTATGCAGACCCTCAGCCTCCCCTCCCCACCCCCCCTTCTCCTCTTCGGGTCAGGCATCAGTTGGAACTGGACCAGCTGCTGACTGAGACGAGAAGGTAGAGGAGGATACTTGTTCCGATCGTGTCGAAAATTAGACAGCAGCGATATTCCACCCCATTCGAGCATTTGACGGTCGAAACCCGACGATATTAAAAAAAATAAAAAAATATAGGTCTCACGGGCCACTATAGTGTCTAGGCTCCAGAGGGCATGCTTCGGCCATCCCGGCGACGCGATCCTCAGCTGTACACGTGAATCACCCTAGTCGAGCCGGGCGTCCTCACTGGTGAGGGAGTCGGAATGAAGGGGGCATTGAGGACCCCGTCGCGTAAGGATAAGGAGGAGACGAGCAAGAATTTGCAATCAGTGTTTACTACATCAGTTGGGAACATGGCCCTTTCATCACGGAATGAGCCGAGACTCATTCACACAACAACCCCCTGGTAGTTGCTTTTGACAGTGCCGACACCCGAGCCAGTCTCGGGACACTGACCGGCTTGAATCGGGCAGCTGTTCTATAGTACTACAATGTACAATGTAGGTGCAGCACACATAAAGCAGGAGAGGGAAGTGTGGAGACCATGTTTCATTGTCAATGATTAGCCCGTATGCGCTGCAATCGCGGCTGTTGCAGCATGACGAGACTGGGTCCTAGGCCATCGGGAGACTAAGCTGCAAACAGTCTCTCACACATACTTACACACCGATTATTTGGGGAGTCGCGGACGCTGCGGCTCTGAAAATTATTCCCACCCCCTCGTGGATAAGACGCTGGGCATCAGGCACCGACAGCCATCCTCGCTATCGTCGGGCCGTTTTGCTGTGCCATAATAATCTTAATGTTTGCTGCGAACAGTGGGTCAAACCTTTCACGTGGATGTGGACCAGGACAAGAGTCGAGCGAGAAGAATGAGGCACCACACGACCCATGGGAGGGAGCACGGGGCATGTGCAGAGTCCTTTCGTTTGCTGTTCGTTTTTGTACAGACGGACAACCCCGAAGCCTTTTTCTCGTGAGGGAGCTCCACCGTCGACGCGATCTGGCATGCGACGTGGCCAATAGAGGCTCCCAACTTGGCATGTACTGTATGGTAAGGACACCGCATTGCACATCTCGAGACTAGTAACCAGGCACGGCGCCGTTGGTAGTGTTCTCGTTGGAGATCTTGACGCCCTCGGTGGTCATGCCCTGGCCTTTACTGTTCAGCCAGATGCCGCCCGTGTGCCAGTGTGGTCCAGCTTCCTTTACGAACCCCGAATGTCCACCGGACGCGCGTGTGAGATTCGGATAGTGCCCGGTGCTCCAGTGTGGGAGAAAAAAACACCCAAAAAAGTAAAAAGAGAAGAAAGAGGGGAGAATTAGGGGCCAATTGGCGGACGCACGAGGCCTGAGCCGAGCTATTGTTACAACCGTCAGGCCCGCTTCATGTGCAGTGCCAGGTGATCCAAATTCAAACCCCTTGTTCGAAGTCGAGCGATTGGCCACCCGATCGACACAGTGCCAATCTCCGCTGAGTGTTCCTCGAATGACGATCCCAACAGAGCGCCCCTCATTGTTTGGATCGCCGGCTGCTTATGACTGGGGCCAACATGCGGTCTGTGTACTCCTCTTCTCTTATGTGAGAGGCCGAGAGAGGTTCACAATCTGCAATATGTGTACTGTACATACTAGAAAAGGGAAAGGAGGGGGGGGGGAGGGTAAAGAAACGCAATTGCGGCACAGTAGAATATGAACATGCGTGCAGAACTGTTGTGTAGGGAAGTCTGCTGTGGGGAAAACCCGGAACAAAATTCCGGGCAATGAATGCAGAATAAAGTGGATTGATTGACAATACCACAAGAAGCAAGAACAACACCCAATGAAGGAATGGGCCCTGTGATCAGTGTCAGAAAGCAGCAGCCTTGCAACTATGCTCGAAATAAGGCTGGCACGCGGGCGATATGATGTCGAAATTTGGGTGTATTACAAAAATTCCCGGCCCTTTTCAAATTTCCCCTCCTAGGCACGACACACAAGACTTCTAACGGTGGTGTGTGATGAGACGCGGAAAAAAATTCCCGCTCGAAATGACGCGAAGGTGGGCATAGTCCGACCACTTCACCTAAAACGCGACACAGCCTGGCTTTCCCTGCGTCCCTGCGGCCCGATGATGTCGGCCGAGGCGACGATCTTTCCTCGTGGAGGCAATTGATGTGCAGGCTAGAGAAGAGAAGAGTAGAGTGTCAGGTATGAGAGCAGTAGGTATTAAAAAAAGAAG